ATCGTCAATGATACGGCGCAGGAAAGTCCTGTTGAGGGAGAGCCAGCTCCTGAACCTCAAGTTCCCCCGGCTCCCCAACATGACACCGAGTCAACAGCCTCAACTGAGACACCGCTTGCACAGACGAAAAAGTGTCCGGGTATCTCTTCAACCGACCTTCTCTTCTACTCCACCTGCTTTGGACGATGATGAAGCTCACGCCCGTTATCCCTGGAGCTCAACGAAGAAGGACAGCGACAATCAGGAGGCTCCCAGCGAACCTGGCGTATGGCAGGACTCGAGCGACGAAGATGAAGAGTACAGTCGTGCACGGAAATTGCTCAGTAGAGTCGGTAAGAAAGACAAAGGGAAGAAGAAGAAGGTATAGCCTGTTATTGGATTTTGGAGGCAGTCCCGATCAATGCAGGTGGGCTAAATGAGGCTCGTCGCATCCCTTTGACGCTTGATCGACGTTCTTTCTTCAAGTTATTTTCAGCGATTCGTTTGCGGTCCTTGCGTTAATCGTCACATTACTTCGCATATAATTTTTTTTCATCCTTGTGAATATAGTTGAAGATTTTTACTCTATAGTTCTGAATACATAGATGGATATTTTCTCGTTTGCAGATGCGCTCGCCGTCGAGCACGGATTAGGTAAAAGATGCTGCACAAACACCGACAATCTCAGTGCTCACCATCCCGTATTCACAAGTTCCTCCTTGTCTTCGTCACTTCCTTGCTGAGTTCACCTCGCCCACGTTATCCGCGTTTCCCGATCTTTATTCGCATTATCTGTACAATCATACTTGCTACTATGGCTGAAGAGCAGCAGCAAAATTCTCAAGGACAGGAAGACTTTAAGCAAGAGGACAACGCGCCAATTAACGTCAAGGTACGAAAATCGATGGCATCACGCGACTTCCCCATCTTACAAAGGATCGCAAATCTGATCTTCTTACCCAGGTTGTAAGCTCAACTGGGGACGAGGTTTTCTTCAAAATCAAGCGCAACACCAAGTTGAGCAAGCTTCAAGGCGCTTATGCTACTAAAGTCGGCAAAGACGTGGGCAGCATTCGGTGAGCGAGTTTTTTCCTATCTTCCTTTTTGGAAGTAGTACAGGTAGATTTTTCTTGGCGGAGTCATATTTGTTGGTTCCCTATGTGCTGAACTGAACGCCCTTAATCAGATTTTTATATGACGGAGCGAGAATCAATGACGACGACACGCCTGCAAGCCTCGACATGGAGGATAATGGTGAATCTTTCTGCCGTCTTATCTTTGTCCATTTCTGACACTACTCCTATCTAGATACGATCGATGTGATGGTAGAACGTGCGCACCCTTCCAGTTTCTTCGTTTCTTTCCTAAATTTTGATCTCATTGTCTTCTTTTTGGATATGCAGAGGTTGGCGGTTCATCTCCTGCATATTTGTACAGTCGTCGCCCTTAATTGTATCACTACCGATTATTCGCTTTTCTGGTCAATCTCACACACATTCATATGCATCGACCGATACCTTTTGCTCATTTGGATGAGCAACCACTTGGCGCTCAGCCGCTCTGGTGATGAATGTATCCACTTCTCTCGCCGCTCAGCGCGTTTTTCGTTGAGTGGTATATCGCTGTAGAATCTTTTCAATGTGAGGTGTGTCTACTTTATCTACCTGGGGTGTCGTGAATATTACTCTCGCACTCACAAACGATCTGTACTGTGCATTGACTCGGATCTATTCCACGTCATATTTACCCGAGATTGTCACTTTTTAGGGGGTTACTTAGCGTCAAACCCAGGGCCAAGTACTCGCTGAGCAAAAGCCCCGATAATACTGAGTCTCGCCCTTCAAGAACCACTTAGAAGTTTGGAAGCTCACGAGTGCAGAATATATCTCTGTGCGACGTGGAATAGTTATGGCAGGCTTTAGGATGCAAGAGTTCAAATTCATGAGGGTGACACTTGGATGTGAGCTAGATACAACAGCAGTACCAACGGCAGTAGAATTAAACGGTCTCGCGCGGGAATAAGTGTGAATGAAATGTAACTCCAGTGTTGAATTATGAGATGAAGAATGTGAAGTTGCGGGTCATGATGTGAGAAGGATGTGAATAGATGATGTCAAATAAGTAGCATGCAAAAAATCAGAGAAAATCAGGCAGTGTTCATGCAGGTCTCCACTCAGTACCTGGTCTGTCAAACATGTGCGACGCTTCTTGCCAGCTTGCTGGAACAGGTTCACCGGAGACAGAGGAGCCTGCTAATGTAGCAGGCGCGGTTATGAATGACTGAGCCGCGGTACTAATGTCGGGTCGGCTATCATCGCTTTGCATCCCATACGGCCGCGTAGGGATATCTAATCGCCTGAGCCCACGCTCGCAGGAGGTAGGACGAGCAGTGAGATGAGAGGTAGTGGCTTCCGAAGGTGCAGAAATAGAGGGGGCAAAGAAGGAAGGGTTCGAGGGAGCCTCTCTCAGACGGGACCCGGAGCTTTGACCTACATGTGGCCTGACTCCAAAGGTATAATTCTCGTTGCTACTGTGCACTCCCTCTGACCCACTACGTGAGCGAGAGTCGGATGAGGACACCATGTCCTCCTCAAGACGAGCCATAGACGAATTTGCACGAGAGCGCATGGTCTGGACAAGGTCCAGCGACGATCGCGAGGCGGCTCCGATGCTCTGTATGAGTGACTGCGCCCGCGAACGGACGGCTGAACCAGCACGGGATCTCGACGAACCCGACAGAGAGCCAGAACGAGAATCAGATCGTGAGCGCCCAGATTGTGAACGTCCAGAATCTGAGTGATGCCCACGGCGGCGACGGCTGCTGACCATCGAAGATTTCGGGCTGCGAGGACCAACACTGAGGAGACCAACGCTATCCTCGCCTTCTGCAGCTTCATGGGGACCTTCGGGCACAGGCTGTTCCATCATCTGCGGCTCTTCGTCATCATCTTCATTATCTTCATCTTCATCTTCCTCCTCCCCTTCCACCCCTGCCTCATCGTCAACCTCTTCGCTAAGGAATGATTCATAACCACCACCGCTGAAGGTCTCTGTCTGGCCGCTGTCGACCCGGATTCTGGTAGAAGCACCACGACCAGTGTACACAATCGGAGAGGGAGATGAGGACAACACTGATGGAACAGTTCCTGCACGAGCGCGACCACGACCTGGTTGGGGGTGACGAGGCGGCATAGGTATTGGGCTACCATATCCGGAGCCAGGACTGGACATGCCCTCATGGGAGTTGGGAGACTCAGATGAAGTATCCCGATTGCCGGTAGATTGTGTAGAATGTGACGCTCTCGACTCCGTTGAGCGGGTATTCGTAGATGCATGGGTCCTAGGAGTCGAGTGTGTACCGGGAGCCGAAGATACAGAGCCTCCGCGGGCAGGACGGCGAAGTTGGAATGGATAACGAGACATTACAGGCTGCCCAAGACTGGACATCGAACCTGAGGTGCGTGGCTGAGCTTCGCTGTTCTCCTCGACTTCGATCTCGACCTCCCCTGCCTCTTCGTCGTCGTCGTCGTCGTCAGTATCTTCATCCTCTTCATCGTCTTGTCCTGGATGTTCAGAGCCGCTGGTGATTGGCGACCTACGTTTCTCCTTCCTGGAACCAGGGGAAGGCGGGAAAGGGATTTGATCCTTGGATGACACTTGAGCGCTATACGCAGCGAATGGATACGGAAGTTTCAGCAGGGGTGCTGAAGGACCAGTCATCTCCTTGTCCTTCGATGATCTCTTCACAACCTTCGGGATGATCTCAGACAGTTCCGGTGGGGGCGCTGGCGCCTCCCCAGATTCCTCCCTTGGATAGGAGAAAAGGTCCTCGGAAAGTGCACCGCGTCTTGCTGGCGGTGGCGCCGAAGGGAAACCAACAGCCGCGAGCACCTGCTCGACCTCAAACGGTGGGGAAGTTTCCACCCCTAGCAGTCCCGGGTCTTCCTTCTTTGCAGTACCAGACCACCGTGCAGGAGGCTTCACCGTTAAGCAAAAGTCATAAGCTTCTTGGATGCGGAGACGTGTACAAATTCTCCAGCTCCAGAGAAGAGCATCTGTTTCAGAGGCACCATCGCTGTGGTTGGGCATAGACTTCTCGTGATCCTCCTCCCACCTATAGCGTGGCCCACAGAGTCCGGCGCAACCCTGGCCACTCAGAATCCACAGACCTATCCTGTCGGTGTCAAAAAAAAAAAAAATCAACAAAAAAATCAAAAGAAACATGTTGGCCTTTGATTACTTACCAGCTGAGAAGCAGGACAAGGACACGCCACGCCGTCCAAGCGGCATTGGCAATAAGGACGCCACGGGCGTAATCCGTTAGTGTACCGTCTGACGCACGGAAGTAAGTTGCATCGCGAAGATTGAGACCAGCTTCGAGCATAGCGACATAATCAGGAGACGCAGATGTGAATGCGAATAGCAAAGTGAGGGAGAGACCCGCTCGAGGTAGCAGAAGCGCGACAGTGGGCAGGTTCTGTGAATAAAACCAGAACGTTTCCGCGATGCCATCACGAAGACTGCCATTTTCGCCAAAGAAGGCCGAGAAGCGGATGTATTGCATGAAACAGAAATTGGTGTAGGACGTCATGCAAGTGAGATTGAAAGCAGAGGAAGAAAAATACAATGGTGTGATAAGCGGTCGCTCTGCATCGTCATTCAGCCTGGAAAATAATTTTACAGATAAATGGCACTCACTAACACGCCATCGGCGCCAGAAGGAGTAAACAAGATCGTATAGAACAAAGACCATGGCGATCCAAGCCAGCCAACAAGCTATGTACGCGGCAGCACCGAGGGCCCAATTCTTGCCAGAACCTGGCACGCCTGGTGCGGACGGATTTGGATACCTAGCAACCCTGTGAAATGATAAAGTTTAGACTGCGCCTAGTAACCCAGACAGAAACATACTGCAAGAGTATAAATACAGCATTGAAGTCGAAGAATGTTTGCAGAGGAATGTGGTAAAAGGTCATGATAGGAAGTAAGCAGAAATAAAGACGAGCTAGGATGGAAGGGTTCCGAAGGAGTTCCGGGTGAAGACCAGTTGACCGAAACTTGGGTGCTTGAAGACGCTCTTGTGTGTTAACAGCTTGTGAGATCAAAGTTCCACTCAGGCCAGCAGTTGTAGCACGTGACCAGACTCGAGGACGTAGAGGATTGCTCAGCGCAGTGTGGTCTGTGGCATCCCGGCGATGATACGGATTAGCGCCAGGCTGGGCAGTGTCCTGGAGGCTCACAACGCGCACAGAACGTGGCGTAGCCTTTCGACCACCCGAGAACGTCTCGGGTGGAGGAGGCTCGAACATTCCAACGGAGGAGTGGAAAGTTGATGCCGGCGCAGGCGGAGGAGGCCTACTGGGGAGCCAGGAGGGATAACCTTCTGAGCCTTCGGAGACCCTCGGGTGGGTAGAGGAAGAGGGGCGTTCAGAGACGTAGCCTCTGTTGGATGGGGAGTCACCAGGCGCAGATGCGCTTAGAGGAGACTCGGAAGACGTGCTGGGCTGCAGTCGTGACATATCGTTAATAAAATGAGAATAGCATGCAATGTATGAAGTAATAAGCGAGTTCGTGAAAACGTAGCAGAGTAAGTTGATATCACGTTAGAGAATTTGTTTTTTTTTTGTGGTAAGTTGAAATATTAGAAAGTGTCAGATTGAGTTGAATGCGAGTAAGATGAACGGCGAGATGAAGCGGGAGGTTAAGATAAAAGTCCCAACGACAATGCCAAAGAGATCAAAAAAACAGGCAAGCCTCGTATTCCACGACCACGGTTAAGAGCCTCGTGTTTTTCCCTTTCGTAGGTGAACAGAAAGGTGGGAAGAAGGCGCGCACAAAACCAACACGCGCATTGCCCTGAAAAACCAAATTCCTTGCCCAAAAAAGGAAACCGAACAATAAATGCTTCCGCTTACCAGCTTTACCAATTCTTTACGGAACCAATTCTTTTTTGAGCGATAATACCCAACCTTGGGCTACCTTGGGTTGAATAAAAATAATGTTGGGGAACGAGAGGACGCGCAAAGCGTTCGCTGGAAATACGGGCAGCTACCTGCGCTGCGGGAAACGAGTGAATACCAGCAAGCTGGAATGGTGATATGATGATGGTACGGGAGAGAGTTGTGTTTATGTGTTTTTCAATGTCACCGTCGTCGTTGCTAGGCAGGAAACACGAGAACAACAACTACAATTAATAACGTTACATTGGAAGCTCGTACCTACCGTAGGATCATCCATCAGGTGCTTAATCTGCAGTACAATAACTTTAACACCGAGGCGGCTAGTTCTTATGACTCCCTCAGATTGAAATGCAATACGTCGGAACCCTCTCCATACACCTCTTCCCAGTCGAAGTCGCTCTGCTGGTTCTCCTTACCAAACGCTTCCAAGAGTTTCGCAGCTTCCCCTCCCCCGTTAATTACTGAGTGTGCCTCGTCGCATAACTTCCCCCTGGCCCCTTGGCCGTAGATACGTGATTCATCTCTGGACAAAAATGTCCCGATATGACGGAACGTGAGACTGATGCGCTCTCCGCTCATAAATTGTTCCTCGGACGACTTCAAATGAATCGGTCGTTTGTCATGGTTAATTGAGTGCAACCATTTCGCATTCGTGTCGAGACCAAGGACGAACATTGAATTATTAGGTAGCGGGATTTTCTGCGATGGTCGTGGGGTAGCACTGTCACCCGCCTGTTGCACCCCATCTCGTTTCAAGCGAAGCGTCATCACCCGCTGAGCGCCTAGGCTGACGTTGACCACCTTCGATCCACGCACGACGTCGATCGTTTTGTCAGAGTGCTCTGAGATGTAGTCCGCACCACTACGGTAGTGTTGAATTAAGACATGGTTCACGGGATGATCGAGAACCTTTTCCACATGCTCACGGATACTAGCTACCGTGGGTGAAAACCGTCGAAGCGGTGGGCACTCATCTGCAGGATGCCGGTAAATCGGGAAGCTGAAGTTGAACAACATGAGCCCATCAAATAAGCGGTGGGGATAGAGATGCTTGGTACCTTCCATCATCTGCGATTTCCCCTTCAACCGCCACGCGCCTTGGTACCTCACCACCTGATTGCCCAACCATGTCAGCGCTTGGGCAGCCGAGTTGGCACAATGACATACCACGATGATACATAACATTCCAGTCAACCTCGTCTATCATCTGCTTGAAAGCTGTGTCACATAATTCGGGGGGAAGCACATCAAGCACGAGGCTAGAGTCCCCTTCTCCAATCTTGTCACCCACACCAATATTCGGTGGTGATTTCTGCTTCCTGATCCCAAAAATGATCAGCGTTCATTGTTTCCATCATGTGAACACTTACATGATTTAGGCTAGTGACCCAAAGCGTTTTGTGAAAAGTACTGATCCGGCGGTCTGAGTGGAGAAGATATGGATGCTCGTTCGAGTTGAAACAAGTTGGTGGCAGTAATAAAGGGCGCGCGCAGACTGGTCACCCGTACTCTCAAACAATCTGGCCAGGAGTGGACTCAAGGAGTAATAATATAATGTTGTGTCTCGTATTACGTAATACATAATACATATATCTGCCAGTGGGACTCCAGAGTGCTTGATTACTACGTAGTCAACCACGAAAGGACGGAACGTTTAGCTCACAGCTAAAACACGGCAAAAAGGAACAGCATCCTCAATTTGCCAAGGGAGCATGTATCCACAACCGTGTGTATTCTCCGTTGTATTCGGGGCACTGATGCCTTATGGGTCGCTGATTTCGAGTTGTCAATGAGTAACGGCAATAAATATTCCCGAGCGGCCGTAATGCCCGGTCGATCACTAGGTCAGTTGAAGGTCAGTAAATATCGTAGTCAGACAGAGAATATGTAGGTCGGTTGTTCTTGTATACTTCATTGTGTGATCAGGCTGATCAGCCGCGCCCAGCATCGCTCGTGCATCAGAAACTGTCTCAAGGATTGTAGGGAAAGCATGGAGGTCATAGTACACGGGGTCATACTTGCGCAGGTTATTCTTGTGCAGATGTAACGCGAACACCCTCGTGGTGGTGATCTCCCAGACATGATTAGACAACTTAACTTCCCATCACAGGCGGGATCTTTCCATAGAATTTCGATTGCGACACTCGGGCAGCGTTCATGGCAATCACCCTCTGGTTCATAACGCACTGTCATACCTTGAAATGACTGCAGGATAGAAACTCTGGCGCGACCATGAAAATCGCACGAATGGGATTGGCACAACCCGTGAGCTAGTAGGATGCAGATCACCTCAAAAATGACACCTGAGATCGTCCTGCAAGTCTTCCGGTACGATGCCTTTGGTAACGACAAAGAGATGGTATGAATCATGCTTGTCGGCGATTATCTTCGGCGCCGGGTAGTGGTCTCTAAAAGACCCTGCATTTCCAGCCCTTCCTTTCCAGATATGCTATCGAAGGAAATGCACTTCATCGAAATATGCACCGATATCAATTCACGTAATTCACATTGGCTCGCGCAACGTCAGCAACCACTTCATTCTCTTGAGAAGATGTCTCCTCGATCCGCGAGATGCCAAATGCGCGCCCTCTAGCAACTGTTTTACTCGCCCCTGCGTGGGGCAACAGAAACTGCCGTCCCGAGCGACCAGAGAACTAGAAGCATCCGACTTCGAGAGTTTAAAAATGGCACCATTAACGCATGCAAACTCAATCCAGCATGAATCGGTGTATTATGCACCTAGGGAAGCGTGCTCGTCATTGGCATCAACGCGACGACTCTAGAGGACGTTCAGGCTGCTGTTTGATTCGCTAAAAAGCACTAATTAAAGATCGTCATCAGAAGTACTTACAGAGTCCGTGTCAATGCTGTTGAACGGTCTGCTCTCTAATATTCATAACAGACGTGTTTGAGACGAACAACCTCCAACCTAGGGAGGGTGACATATGACCTTGCATCACGGAGCTCTTTCGTATTGTACTGCGTCGGACCCTGTCAATGATTTATTGTGTCTTGACCGCACAGACGAGCAGCCAAACTGACAAGTTTGATATGCCCGGGAAGTAATGGAAGGTTTGTGTAGTGAAGCTTTAAAGCTTTTAAGCACATGCAACTCCGGATGGCAATTCGATCACGATCGACCAATGATCGACACGGACATCACGTGCCTGTTTGACAATTGTTTGGCAATGGTAGCAGAACGAAAGGTAGAAACATTACAAGAGCACGGAGTACAGCTGACTTGATAGTAATGCTACAATCTCCGGAAATAAGTACTCGTCCTCATCCCAAGTAAGTGAACAGATATCAGTACAGTCACAACATTACTTTGTGACTCGCAGTGGCAATTATTGTCAAAAGAAAAAAGAAAAAAAGGCGGAAGTAACGCGGCGTGAATTGTTGTAGGCTATTCATCTCGAAGTAGCATAATTTAGGACGATACGCGCTGAAGCGTACGGGAAGAAGTTGGTTGAAACAAGGATGATGACTTTTGCATTTCTGCTGGATTGCCAGCTGGGAATTGTTGAGGTGGCCGACCATTGATTAGGACAGGTGGTTGGCTCGGCATTGGTGGCAGAGACCCTGCCTCTTGCTGTTCCAACCGTCGCTTCTTTGTCCGCGGTGAAACGTCTTCGTCAGGCCCCTCCTGTTCGTCAGCAGCACCCCGCTTTTTGTCTGCGGTCCCGCCAAATTCAAAAGGCGCCCTAAACCGTGAAAAGGGTCTGGCAATTGTCGCCAGCATTTGTTCGGCGGTAAGCTCTTGAAACCTCATTCTCCACGTCTTGGCAAGCGCTTCCCGTTTGGGTTTGGGAAGGTTGAAAGCGCGCCATGGGTAATGAGGTCGTTGGTCGTAGGCTTCGAGTGCCTCCCTGTCCTTGCTACTCCATCGCTCCTCTTCCTCTGCTTTCTTAATCCAGCCCATATCAATCAAGCGACGCGTTATTTTCCCTGGAAGGCATGGCCGTATCATAACGGGGTGCGAAATTACAGTTTCGTACGTGTTCCATGCCTGTAGGGGATCAAAGAGCTCCACAGCGCGGTGGGGAATTGGAACGGCCTCGTGCGCAAAATCGCGAACTTTTATTCCCATTTTCTGGATTTCTTCTACGATTTCCTCCTGTGTCAGGTCCAGGGGGATGATCTCGGTGGGTGCGGGAGAAGGGGCCGATGAGCGAGAAGGCTGTACACAGGTATAAAATTCTGCCATTTGTACGATTAATGGGTGACTCACTGGTTCCTGGGTCTCCAGTAGTGGTTCTGTCGATGACCCTGGCGTAGGAATATCGAGTGTGGGTACACTCTGAGTTCGTCTGTCAAATAATGTGTCCTGACTTGACTCTCCTGTAGGCCGAGAGCCTGTACGGGGGAGTGGATCCTCAGAAATAGGAGGAAGGTGCTGAGTCGAAACGCTGGCGGGCATGCTTGTTCGTGGGTCGAAGTCGAGGTCGAAGGGGGAGTTTACTTGGGAAGGCGGCATCATGTATGATACGAAAGCAAGCTATAGCTAGTATTTATGTGAAGAAAGTGTGTACACTCCACATCCACAGTACTTGCTCGGTGTGATTCAATTGCGTTGTTGTCAATGGCAGATTTTGTGGCACTTGCCAATAATTGCCAAGCGGCAATTGCCGGCAGTAGGTGGTCAGTTGATTTAGAGTTAGACAACAAAAGATTGTCTGTCTTAGAGCTATGCCAAGTGCATGTTGACGATTACAATAGAGCCTATTTTCAGAGACAGTATGTCTCACTTTTATTGAACGGAGGTCACTGGAACAGTCTGAGCGAAATTTTAGGACCCCTAATTGAATTCGCGACGCGTCGCGTCGCGTCAACGCCAAGTTGCACGCGCCAACGACCAACAAGCCCACTGAGAAATTCCAAGAGTGGATATTGCGATATGATACAAACGATACTTCATGGTTATACCAATCTACTGATTATTGTCTGCTTGCCCATGCCAAAGATCTCGCGACTTGTAACGAGGATCTGAGACGTCGAAGTAGTATGGTACATGTACGCGGCCATGCCACTGAACTTGTGCAAAGAAAAAGTTGAGGCGAAGAGTTTGAAGGTATATTGTTTGTGCGATGCGATGGCGACTGTTTGGTGTATGTAGGTCACGGTGGAGGACGCATTAGTTGCCTCCACTGCGATATGGACAGGCCATGCATGGTACATCAAGAACCTCGATACCAACGAGGGGGGCCGTCCATTTGCAGCAGCTCCCTCAAAGTCGCGTATCTTTCCTCCGGCGGCGGGCTGGTCGGTAAGCGTAAGGATCGCTCGAGGTGAAAGCAATGTACCAATAACTGTTCCCCTTGAGGGTCCGAACGTGACGTAATTTCGTGTAGGCGTGAACGCCAATCTGAGTCCTGTCATTCCTCGAAGCCTGGAGAATGATATCCTCCACGTCTTGTTGCGTCTCGGGGGGCCCATAACCAATTCCTCCCTGGAATAACTAATCGTCTCCCATCAGATACCCACAGAACTTGACCATCACGTCGATACTTGAAGGAGAGCGTTAGAATACAGAAGCGATTCCGACGCAAGCATACGCTTACCCGTAGAACTTGCGAAGGTCAAGACTTAGATCTTAGACTATGATGATGTGTTGTCATGTGACAAGGCACGTGAACGGACAGCCACAATGACCGTCCTACTACTTGTTGAATGTTCTTCTCAGTTGCTTTTTTCCTTCAAATCAGTCGCCCACCAGTTATCAAATTGAATTTCTTTGCGTGTATGCCGTCGCATAGACACGCTGATACAAAGGTACCAAGAGCTGCTCAAGGCTATCGTGAACAAAGCGCCTGAAGGAGATAAGGCGGGTGAGTAGGGTTGAGCTACTGCCACTAGTGGATGTCGAACATTCATAGGTGGTCAAATGGTCTCCTTTAGTGGATGACAGCAAATGGCCTTGCTCGCCAACCTCGTCACTTCTACGCAGAAGTCAAGAGGTCTGACGAACGTGGAGCTGGGGCAGGAGCGGTTGATGAGCGGATCGAAGAAGCCACCAAAGACCCACTCTCAAACCACGCACCGCCTTTCAGCAAAGGATCCGACCTATCCTACCGAACAACGCTCTGACCCCAAGTTAAAGTGGACTAATCTGCTTCTTCTTGATGTCACACGGTCTGATGACCGCTTGCGCAAACAGCGTTTACAAGAGTTTTAAAGGGAATGAGGGCGTTGGATACACCTGCGAATGTGACAAAAAAGTGCCTCCAAACGTTAGAACAGCTGACCAGAACAAACGGCGACGTGGCGTGTGAGGCTCGAAGTCGACAGCACGCGAAGCTCTATGGATTCCCTGAGTTGTTTATGGCATTGAAGCAGCCTCGACTGACAACAAGCCTGCATATCGCGAGCAAAGCTAGATCTCACTGATTCACGAGTCCGATTTAATGCCGGAAGGCTCAGTGGCCATTAACGCCCCTCGAGTCGCTCCTACGTCCTCTAGCGTGTTAATCACAGTGATGTGATCAGCGGCGCTCGCACGTTCCAACATGTAAAACGATCACCGCAGGTGGCGCAACTTCTTCAACCATAGTACTAGAGTGACCGATATTGGAGGGACCATCTGAATAGAAACCGAGCCTGGATATCGAAAGTAAAGCAGAGTGTTTGGATCATATGGCAGAGCGAGGCTAACATGAATACTATATGAAGAGCAGGACTGGGTATCGCAATGTGCTCGCGCAATTAGATAAGAGAAACAATTCGAAGATCTGGATGATCTACGACAGGGTGCTCACATTCTGAGTTCAGCGGATCAAACTGTCTACTCCTTCTTGGCCTCCCTCTCCAGCTTCCTGAGTGCCCTTCTCCTGATATCCTTATGAAGCGAATGGGTATAAACAATAAACTGGGTCTTCAATCCAACGACGTGCATAGCATAATCGACGAGCGCGTGACTCCAGAACGCTGTGAGCGTGTCTGGGCGTCCAGTAAGTGCTGCGCCGCAGGAGAACCCAATTTTGGAGAGGCATGCGCGCACGTAGGATGCGGGGCTGGGGATGAGTGCAGACGTGCGTCGGATGTTAGACATTTTGGAGACCTGGAAAAGGCAAGTAAAAGAGGTGCATGAGATGTCACAGCGAGAAGAGCGATGTGATGGATATTACGCACGACGAAGTAAGTATTGAGGTGTTGTACGACGATACCATGGGACCGAACCTCGTCTGCGAGGGCGCTGGTGAAAGTTGCAAGGAATGCCTTGGTACCACTATATGTCGCCAGCATTGGAGAAGGCACCAGACCTGCGAAGGAGCCAAGGTTGAGGATCAACCCACGTTTCCTGGGTTCATCCACATTAACGCAGTAGAGGCGAGATGCAGGCTAGATGGCTCACCGCTGAACCATACCAGGGAGGACTGCATGCGTAATGCGGATCGTTGCATTCACGTTAATGGCGACGATGTCAGCGTTTTCTTGCTCCATAGTTTCAGCAAAATAAGTAGGCATGGTATGGGATTTTCCGACGTTGTTCACTATGCTGTGTCAAAAGCGAAGGATTGAATGCCAGTAAGCACATACCGAGGACACCAATGTCGAGGGTCTGAAGGAGAGCTTTTAGGTCATTATATTTAAGGTCGTCGTTTTGGGTGAAGTCAATAAGGTAGATCTTAGTTTCAACTGCAGATTTTGTTCTCGTAGCTAGAAGAGATGTGAGCCTTCAAAAAGAACAGCGAGACGAAGAACTTGTACCAATCTCGACTGCCACGTCGTTCAACATCTTGCTATTCCGTGCAACGAGCAAGACATTGAACCCTGCTGAACCTAGCTGAATTGCGAACTCCCTCCCAATTCCATCTGAAGCACCCGTAACGACTGGAATGAATAGGTGAGATTTGCACGTCAGCAGAAGTCACTGAGCCCACCTGCCCATGCTCCTTTCTTAGCGCCAAATTTCTTGAGCTGTAGCAAGGTAAGTCAGGTCTACCAGAAGGCAAAAGGATTATAATGTACACACATTTGTCCCAGAAAGAATGAAGGTCTGCAAGAAGACCACAAGAGTCTTGAAAGTAAAGCGTGCAAATGTCAGGACACCGAGAGAGAGCAATAGTGCATACGGCCAAGGGCAGTTATTGACTTTTACAAGTTAAGAAAGAGATTATCACATGAGAGAAAATACACTGACCTTGATCCAGAAACCTAATTCTGAGAGCAGCAGCGTCCATCGTGGCGTTGAAGTACGCGTCTTAGACTACGGGCTTTGTTTTAGCAGTCACGTTACTCGTGACAAAATAACACGGCGCATGTGACGTCAGACGCGGCACAAATCAAATCTTGTTATAAACAGTACTTATTTGTCCGAGTCGTACATGGACTCCGCGGTCATACGGCTCAGGGTCCCAGGATGTATATGTATCAACCAAGTTGTAGTATCCGTACTGTCTCTAATGGTGGACTAATGCTAGCTTTCATAAAGGACCAAGGTTAAGTATGTCACGGTGTCATCACGGTATCGACATGTCAAGCTTGTCAAGTTTCCCCATGGAGCCTCGGTACCATGTCAAGCCCTCCATTCATGCTGCGTCAAGCCTGACCCATGCCACGTCGAGCATTACCCATGCCGCGTCAGTACCGCATTTGTCGTCCAGGGGGCAGGTCTCCTTCCATGCTAACGAGTCTTCGCGTCACTGCCGCGTCACCGCTGCGTTACGACCACGTCAAAATAGCCACACTCGACTTTGTTCCGAGAGCTTACCGTGGCCTACCGACGTCTCAATGTGTTCCGCAGTACCATCCCAATATTAATACAGAGACTTTTGAATATTTCCTGATTCCTTCGCCCCCAATTTAAAACTTCATTTTGGGCCTTGGCAAAATGTCAGTCACGTGGTTTCTCACTGGGTAAGTCGATCGTACTATGTAGTTTCTTACCTTATTCATGCCATGTGCGTCCAGTGCATCCCGTGGAATTGGCCTTGAACTTACCAGGCAGCTCCTAGAGTCATCTTCTAACACTGTGTTTGCCACCTGTCGTTCTCCTGCCACAGCCTTTGCCCTCGATGCTCTCAAATCCAGTTCCGGGATACTCCACGTCGTCCAAATCGATGTAATGGACGAAGTCAGTATCAAGGCTGGGTGTTCAAGAGTTCTAGAGCTTCTCAATGGCACTGGACTGGACTACGTCATTAATAACGCTGCGATCGTGCGTTCTGCTGTGCTAGCTGTTACAGACTGTATGACGATTCTTGCACTGCAGAGCCCCGTCACAGACTTGCCATCTAGCTTCGATCCAGCTGTGTTTGCAGAGACGATCAAGTGCAATGTCACAGGTCCAGCACTGGTTACACGCTTCCTTCTCCCAGCCATCGAGAACAGCAGCCGCAAAGTCATTGTCAACATCAGCTCCTCTCTTGCCAGTATTAGCAAAGATCTCGGGCCCAAATTAACCGGCTACAGCATCAGCAAGGCGGGGCTTAACATGCTTGTAGGCGATCTTGTCATCGATCTCTTGTTGCTATATTGCTTTCATGAATGAATTCTTTTCCGCTGTTCTTTCATCTGCCTGTCTATGCTACCTTAACAATTGGTCCTGATTAACCATGCGACAGACGTACAAACAAATGCGTGAGCGTCCCGACTTCATCCCCATCCTCATGGACCCCGGTTGGGTAAAGACAGACTTGGGCGGCGAGCGTGCGAAGATTGAGACTCATGTCTCTGTGACGGGCATTCTGAATGTCGTGACACAACTTACGTTGGCTGACGCGGGCAAGTTTTACAACTATTTGGGGAAGCAGATTCCGTGGTAGGGTGACGTTTGCGAAGCTGTATAGCTATCAATACAAATCCCATTCCTGTGAGCGGCGGTGCACGAAGTATGAGCTCCTAGATTTTGCGCCTTGCGCATCCGCATTCGTCGTAGGCTTCGTACCAAAGGCTCTGATTCGAATCCCTAGCTTCGTCGATCGTGACTTATATCCGATAATGCGCCGAAACCGAATCGAAGAAGTTCTGAGAGGGCGTAGCACGTCTGGTATCACCGCCCTCCGGATGTTGGTCAATCTAATTGCGACGTAAGCATCCGCACCAAACCCGCACGTTATTCACCTTAGCCATCTAATCGAACCTGCTGTTCACATTGCCCACCTCACCGATCACACGTGCTAATGGTTCTTCTCCCACAGAGCCTTGACTCATCAAGACCTTCATATCTCCCGACATACGACAGGGTGACCCAGAGCTAGATGATGATGTATGCTCGATAACTCTAAATATCTGGTTTCGTGCTGGATTGGGATCGATAGACTTCCACTAGCGCGTCCCAAAGCACGCGGAGCGCCAGAGAATGCTTAGGCACGTGTTTGACGCGTGGTGGCCTTAAATCTGCCCAGCGTTATTCTCACGTCCCAAGCATGCGTTTTGTGCGTGTTGGTCTTGTATTGATCCATTCGTCAATTCTTCTCCTGCAGCCCCCGATATGCTGTTGTTGATCTCCCCAGATGATCTATTAGCCCTGCAAAAGACTTAGTCGGAGGGGCTCAGTTAGGCAGAAGCGGTGTTATCAAGGGGCTCTAATACGTTCCTCCATTTCGCGCATGTGCGCCTCCTGATTTATGGTCTGCACGCTTCAGCCCCATGCGTTATTGTGTCAGGAAATGGCCGCGTGTCGTCCAATAGCTCGGCTCGGTACATCTGATGGCCGTGTGTATCGAGAAGGTTTAAAACGACCCGGGGAAGGATTGACCACGCTAAACCACTACATCTAATTCTCTTCCCATCAGAGCTAATCCACCAACCCCACTAACGACTTGCAATGCCTGAAGTTCATGGTGTCCTTATCATCGCCCGCAACGGCGACCGCACCGAGTTCTACCAAGATCCGTATACCTACGAGCCCTCCTACACCGAGTCTACGCCTCTCGGCGCTGTATGTCTACCTCGTCTTCCGTAAATCCCACCTAATATATGACCCTAGGTAGAATCCCACCAACTTGGAAGCTATTTGCGCTCGACATACCTGAACCCCTCTTCCCCATCGTACATTAAGGGCATCCATGCTGACCTCGTGCAGAATGATCAATTGGCCGTGCACGCCAAGGCTGGTGGGGAAGGCACTGCGATCTTTGATAGTGCCATAGCCGTCCTGCAAGGCCTCTATCCGCCAAATTCGAACAATGAGATCGAGCTTGCTAACGGAACGAAGATCGTTACTCCACTCGGCGGTTACCAGTACGTTCCGGTTGAAATGGCCCCGAGTGGCGTTGACCGTGCGCTAGAGCCCTGGACTCAGTGCCCTGTAAGTTGCATGCCTCTATTGAGTCACTGGGATGCTCATCTGGGTGATACTATAGGCATTCGAGCAGCACATCAAGGATGTGTACGCATCTAAGGGATTCGAGGAGACTGCGACATCTGCAGAACGCTTCTTTAGTGTCGTTCGCGACTACGTCTTCGGAAGGCCTACGGAGCTTGAAAACGCTGTACGTGTACTTCTGTTTCATCCTTGCTCATGCTAATCGCCCTATGACAGTGGAACGTACGTATCACGCAGCAGCTCCATGACGATTTTTAACTTTACGATATCTCATGTAGATCTATGACTACATTAACTCGCAACTTACGCACAACCAGACCTATGCGTACCGTCTTCCACCGACTTACATCGAGCAGGCCCACGGATATGCTAGCTACCACGAAAACGCTATCTTCTCTGACAAGGAAATAGGTGGAATCGGAAACAGTGCGTTTCACTCACCTGTATGGTTTGCGTCTAACCTCCTGCATAGTTGCTGGCCGTACAATCCTTCATCCCATTCTCCACTCCCTTGAGCGCATCACCTTTGATAGCGACCCCCTCAAGTTCCTCCTGCTCGAGACGAGTTACCAGCCATTCATCTCGCTATTCCACATGATGGAGATGGTCAATGAGCACCCTCAGCTCGCTGCTATTCGTGAGTAATCGGCTTCAGGCAACCATACAGCTACTCAATATTGGCATCACTATAGCCAACCATGCATCCGCCCTTGCCTTTGAGATTCTTCGTGGACCTCCTCCCGAACTGCGTGAATTCCTTCGAATCAAATTCAAGAACGGAACCAGCGGGGAATTCGAGACTTATCCCATCTTCGGTCACAAAGGAGACATTGCGGTAACAGAATTCTTGTATCGCCTTGAGGTACGACCTGTGCATGTCGTTTTTCACTGGTCTCATGTGTCCTTTAGAACTTTGCTATCTCGAGCCAGAAACAATGGGAATCTGCGTGTGGAGTCCATAGCGGCTACTTTGGCATCACGTCTGCTGCCGAGAGCATGAACGCACTGCTCACTGTCTTCTCAGCATTCTTGCTCCTCGGCATGTTTGCTCTGGCGTGGTTCAAGCGTAGGCGTGGAACGTCTGTTCGTGTTCATGACGTGGTGAGTCGCTCGAATCCGCGCTGGGCTCGGTTGGCTTACGGATGGTCTCTAGCTTATTGTGGGCAACGAGAAATCGCAACTTTTGCCATGAGTTTGGGGTGAGGTCATATGGGTGATGCAGGCGTGTCATTTCATTTGGTTTGAGTAGTATTGCATGTGTTTAGATCAACATTCTTTGTTTTGCCTGGAGTACGTTTCTTTTACGACTATACATTTCTGCATGCCGCTACGTAGTAGACAGAGACTGCCGGGAGAGGATCACTACACGTGAAACCCTTCAGAGAGTACGTGAGCCTTCTTGGACCCTTGCACAAACCGTGCGCCATGCTTTGAGGTCAACTAAACGCGGCCACGTGCATCACGTCTCCGATACAAACCGCAAACAGAAACCCCTATCAGTGACGAAAGTGATTTACTTGACTTCGCCCTACGACACCAAGTGTAGTACTTGGCCATTTTAGTTCGTTTGCAAATACTCACAAACCCACGCGTTATAATTAGTGAGTATTTCAAGAGTGAGCTCTTTTGCCTTTCAGCGTGCTTAACCCTAGCTGTAAGCTGTTCAACGTCTTGCATCATTCTCAAATAGGCCGCGGCCCAAGAAAAGAGTCTCAGCATAGACTATGTAGTGCCAATTTGAAGACAGCGACCCAGCAGATCGCGCCCTCGCTGCGCACGTACCAGTCTCACGTACGTCCTACCCCAATCATTTCGTCACTGAAGACAGTTTCAAATTCAATCATCCTAGTCTCTCCTTTCGTCCCTTCTCTTCTGCGCATTCAAGCACCTCTCGTCTCACAAAACCAACCCATTCTCTAGATGGGCCTTCATCCTTTTCCTTCGCGTCGCCGTCAGCAGGTACCACAACAAGCTTCTCAGATTCTAGCTGACAGTGACGGTGCAGACCAAGCAGAGGAGAGCAAGGGACGACGGAGACAACGCGGTCAAGAAGATATGATTGTCCAACTCTTTGCCCGATGTACTGCCGCTCAGCAATGGGCGGGTGTGAGGAAACGCGTTCCGTTCAAAGCCAGGTCGGAGATGCTGGCTTCGGACACGTATGAGGTTTGGAAGGTATGTACATTAGTTGGTGCTGCGAAAAGCGTGGCTGCTGTGCGTCGATCGTTTACATCGTACTGTTACCAGAATATATGAATCGGTCGATCTATGACGTCGAATCGGAGCAACAGATATCAAGTTCTATATGATTACAGGGCAGGATTTACAGCTGATCATTCCAGCGCGCGATGCTCCCGACACTGCCAGACATAACCATGTCTGACCTCAGGGAAATTTTGTATTAGTAACTATTGTTAACTATCATCCACTTGCACGCTATTCAACTCCTGCAGCAGGTCCACATCGACCATCCCAGCAGCACGAAGGATATCCTCTCGTGGACCTTCCACGTCACTTACGAGATCTGGTAGTACACGGAGGCGACTCGTCAGCCAAATGATCTGCAGAACGCCAGCGCTATCGATAGGCATTGTACAGTTCTGCCCATGCATCCCGTTTGTCACGCGCATCGATAACGCCAGCAAAATCAGAGAGCAGGTGAGCGCCATTGCAAGCTAGATTATTGCTTTGGTTAGTGGTACATAAGTTCTGACACGCAACAGAATACTTGCCGGCCATAAGTTTATCTAGATGATAGAATGTTCAGCAATGAAATACACTATTGAACGATTCTGAGCCTTACACCAAGATGCCACTGCAGAAGCTGCTGCGAAATGGTGGTATTTCCAACGCTCCGATTAAACCCACCACCGTCGGCGCCGAGCTGTCCACCTTTTCAGTCCCAGTATGTCAGCTACCGTTTCGGTACAGATCAATCGGAAGTCGCTACATACCTGTCCATAGAACTGCGGCATAGGCCCTTGATAGAGCCGATTCAAATCGGTCACGACTGCACAGAACCTCCCTCGGACGTGGCGGAGCTCTGCCCAGGCCCCCAACAAAGTTCAATGTTGGGTGGGGAAAGACAATATTTATTCCAATCTGCTGCATAAAAAATCTGACGTGATGATTAGAAAGGACTGAACATTGTTGGGAGCTAAGCGTGAATTACACTTCCAGAAGAGATAGTCCATAGCATGATGCTCGGTCTTGATTCATGCACCAGTTGGTGGGATGCTGTGCCCCACTTGCGAAAGGAGAGACAAGCTTCCGGAAAACCATTGAGTACCAGAAACCATACAGGTAGATCTCAAGGGGTCCAAACAATGGCATAACTTACCCATTTTTCATGATGCAATGCACTTGCTGATGGCGGTGACCAAATATCCCATTTGGGTTCTTCTTCCGGCGCGGACCATACTTCCCATTCCCTGAAAGCAACCGGCCCAGGGGTGGGGAAAGACCCAGTAGTTGATTGGTTTGTACATCAATAGTTGCGGCATGGGGTTGAATATCAATTGTGCATGCTACTATATGAACATCGTACATGCTGGAAATTAGGGGGGGCTGGGGACTACCTATAGTCGTGATCAGCTGATATTCATGCGTAGTAAAACCCCATACCTATAAAGGTTATTGAAGGATATTCCCAATACATGTGTTGAACAGTTTCATTGTCGAATAAGTTGCCCGAATTCACAGCAGTCGAAACCATGAAAGCAACGGTCGGCTGTGATAATGCAGTTGAGTGAGAGATTCAAAATTTCAGGAAGATTGACTTGTACTCCTGGAAAGAACGAGGACATGGCAGGATTGATCGCGACCTGATCTGGGACTAGTAGATGATGAATGAATTTATTCCAGGACTACGTAGAAGAAATACATACACGGAGCTACAAGTCTAGCCCTAAATTTCATGGTGCGATTTGAGATCGGCGGTTTGAGTGTATAATATCCGAAGTTGTCAGTATCAATTTCATAAGAATAGGTCAATACCGAATTGCGAACCAATCTGCAATTCGCTCTGAAAGACGTCGCATTCACGATGGCGTGGCCAGATATATCGTTAGACTGAATGGTGTCGTACAGAGTAGCACCCTCGAGCCCCATTTCTTGAAGATTGGCGAAGTGACCTAATGTAGGAACTAATGCACTGATGGTTTGCCACTGAATTGCCATCATATCTACGTCTGGACTAGGCCAGTACGAGAATTTCGTCGCGGACACATCCACGGTGGCGTTGAACGTTTGCAATTGAATGACGGATGACGAAACCACGTGAAAGGTGAAAACACATGCAAGATAGACCGTTATTGATAATATGCTCCACCATGATGCAGGGACAGTTGATTGCCGCCAAAGACATTCCAGAGCAGAACCAAGGCCGCTCCATGCGTTCACCGTGTCATGAAGAACGGTTACCGTCTGGCGTTGTGTGAGGTTCCTGAAGAGTGTCAATCGTTGCATTAGGTAAACGAGTACCGCGCAATAGATCTGGAGGAACATTGGTTCAAGAAAACACAGTTGATATGTCACGAATCCTTACCGCATAAAAGGCCTGTGATGATGCACTCAATATAGTCACCCAGATTTCATTTCCAGATGTGATCGGGACGACTAGACGATGCTCGATACCCGAAATGTTGAGCGCAAGAATAACAACGTGGAGGAGAACGAGAGTGATGTGCAGAAGGGCGCATAGAATGGCAAGAGGTGGCCTCACTGATTCCTCCCGCTGCTTAATAACTGGCGACGGGGCCGGTTGGTGATCTGCAATCCTTGATGTGAGAGAAAACAACGCTATGCTGCATGAGAGTACCTAACGACGTAGTGAGTGTTTGTACTCGCTCGAGTTCCGCAGAACACGTGTGAAGGGTGCCTATGTGGTGCAAGGGAAGGACGCCGTCATCTTGACGTAGCTTGAAGAAGTTGGGCAGTAGTAAAGATGACATGAAGTATGAGAGGACATCATACGAGCCATGCGTATTGCTTTAGGACTTTTGTGTTTCACGGACCTCCTCGGAGTCAGTCCATAACAGGCTTTACAAGAACTTCATCCAGATTCTACTTCAGATCCAGGCAAGGGGGCGGGCGCCGGCCAGCGCAGGACATAAACCTATGCACGAGGAGCAGAAATCTCGCAGAAAATTTAGTGGCACAATGTGAAGAGATCATCATTACTCGCTGTTCAAGCACCCACAGGATTGGAGTATAATGACTATACGTTGGATTCGGACGAGTGTTGGAGGAGGGAGAGACGAACACCCGAATCATCAGCGGTCAGACTTTCCCATGCTTTGCAACTACCTTGGCAATATTGGAAACACATCATCCCAGATAGCTCTGGCGTCGCGCTAGCTAGTTCGGGATCTGATACCATCATAATGTCTGTGCGCTGCGCTGGAAGTAACCGTGAAATGGGTACCAATGCAGCGCTCCGGGTTAGCTGGAGAGCCTGACTCGTGAGATCGCTTTTCCCGATCCTGCGAATTAGAGAGCACAAGAGGGCAGAGGAGACGGCTCCTACTGTTACTGTGTACTTGTAAAACTTTGTGGCGTCAATTCAATGACACCAGTACAATCTTGAATCTGCATTGTGAAGTTAGCGCGGCATGTCCTGAATATTTGATCCTGAGACATTCTCTCTCTGGACTAGTACAATCTTGGAGAGCCTTAAGCTTCATCGATCATCGGTGAGTCCTAATCATTTTCACCGTTACAGCCATGTAATTGATGTGGGTCATCTCAGGCTGCGTAGCATCACGTAGTGGGGGCTGAACACAATACATCATTTGAAGCGACGTAAATACAGCTACCCAGGCTGAACCGTCTACGTATCCTTCATGTTATCTTCTCTACTACCTAACGTGAACCCAAAGCGACAGGACAATGATGATTCCATGTCATTGCAGCCGATTGGGAGTGTCGCCAGTTGTTCTGCACACGAACGAATACCAACAAGCACTCAACTTCAATGCCTGCCCGGCGGCAATACACGTCCGACTCTTGTCCCAGCGGCTACAGGTTTCTTTAATTCATCGCTGTCCACAAAAATGCCGCACAAATTGATATCAACATTTCTATGCACCTTTATGCACATATTTCTCGTCCTTCTCCATCTTATTCTCCTTGCGCTAAGCATTTCGGGTGTCGAGCACCGCCTTGTCACATCTGAGGATGGTACATGGATGACGGTATTGAGTGTATTGACACAGGTCTTTTATGTGGTAAGACTGCTTGCTCGTTGAAATAGAGTCCATTGACCTTGATTCGTAAAGCTGTATTGCACGATACTCGTTTACCTGGCGCAACGTCTGACACTTTACAGGAACCTGTTCCAGCATCAAAAATTGACCATCCTCCATGACAATGTTAATGCATGGAGCGGCCTTGGTTCTGCATTGCAGTGTTTCTGGCAGCAATCGAGTACCACTGGATCATTGTGGTGGATTGCATCTATTACTACTTATCTGGGCTGTGTATTCGCGCTTCACGTTGTATCATCATCCATATTTCAGCTGCAGACATTCAGCTCAACCACGAACGTGTCGGTCACTACGTTCTCTCACTGGCCTGGTCCAAATGTAGACATGATGGGGCTTCAGTGGCATACCATCAGTGCCATCGTCCCCTCTTTGGGTCGATTTACCAGTTCGTCGAACGCAGGACTTAATGGTCCCACACTGTACGACACTGTTCAAGCAGATGGCGCCACAGGAAATGCCACAGTAGATGCAACTACTTTCCGAGCAGAGTGCGGGTTACTCCATAATTCTGAGTTGAGCTACACCCCTAGGCTCAATGCCAATCAATTCGGAGACTACGTGCTCGAGCCGCAAGTTTCAGGCCTCGACCAGTCCATGAAGTGGCTAGCCAGACTCGTACCGCCCTGTCAGTGTTTTCTTCCTATCTTGCAGACCTGTATCTTACATTTCATGTCATTAGATCAAGATCAGGTCGTGGTCAATAGTCCCATATCTGCTGTTTTTCCTGCAGTATGTATATTTGTATTTTATTTGCCCATACATCGTTCTCTGATCGACCCATGCAACCTTTAGTCTACTATTGCATTCCTAATTTCCACGTCCATCGACGTGGATGACTCACTGAAATCAGCAACTGTGCAGCATATGGAGTGGGAATATCAACAAGTCCCATTCTTTGGTAGGTGCGCGTACTACCACCTAGTTGTGTTTGCTAACGACCATGACAGACAGTTCCCAAGCTCAGATCCTTTCAAGTGTGCTTGATGCCCACATAGTAGCTTGCAACATATATGTTGAACGCCATGCAGCGACAGTCAATGCGGAAACAAATGAATTACTAGCACTCTTGCCGCCTCCAGCTCCAATTACTCCTTTGGACTGGAAGGAATGGACAGCACCGAAGGGAGACAATACTTGGGACATCTGGTCGCCGCCAGGGCGTGGTCAGAATGACTACAATCATGAAAAATGGGTCAGCAAAAGTTTTATCACCACTCCGTCTGCTGAACTTCTCGAAAGTTTGTATCTGCATTCACAAGTGGAGCTAAGTACCCCGTCAAAATTTGTATGACTCAAAGTCAAGCAACCTGCTATGGCGTTTCTCTTCTGGAGTTGTAAGGCAACCAGGTAGAGGGCTTCCTTAATACTCACTGACACCTCGCCTCTCAGGTATTTCATGCAAGAAATCGGTTTAAACGTGGATTTGGACGAGCACGGCTCCATGCCGCCACCTCCATCTGGTCCGAAGAAGGTTCTCTGTAGTCGTCGTCAATTCGAATCTAGTCTCCCTAAAATCATCGCTTCGTTGTTGTGGACCGGTACAGTGTTTTATTGCTTTCACGTGTACCAGACTTGAAAGACGACAATGTAGGCGCAAAAATTGGTTCCGATGCTGGTGGGTTTGACCCAACAATAGGCAGTACCGTTGTTTCTCGGCAGGTTATAAAATGGCATCTCAGTGTAGGTACTTCAGCATACATAATGTTCAATTTCGCTGAGCTACCTAAATTTTAGATTAACTCATGGGCTGTAAGACCCCACTCCCAAACTGACTTGACAAGGCTTTACTGAAAAGATGCAGCTGGCCGTTGCGTTGACCGCTTCCATGATCATGTTGACTCTTTCGATTTGCATGTCAGGGGGCATATATTGGCAGAAAAATAGGACATCCATCGATAGTGCTGGCGTTCTCCAGATTATCTGGCTGACAAGTCGTCTCCGCGTGCTGAAAGACGTCATGAATGGGGTGGATGATCCAAGAGAAGACGTTCTTCGCGCTGCTGGGATGTTGGAAGTAGATCTGTTACAAGAGCTAAACAGGCAGGAATAGATATCGTTGTTTGGTAGGCATCGAAAATATTTGGGCAGCCAGACGTGTTCTAGAATCCAGACACTACAAGCCTTGATGGCATCATGTTCAGGGCGATGTGTACGATCAGTGGCTGGCTCCCTCAACGAGACTATATATGCCCTCTGAGACCTTGAGTTTGTCAAACGTGACGTTGGAATATGAAAGTCGACTTGCCCTCCCTATGTTATCATAATAGGGGATGATCCTAAACGCCGAGTCAAGAGATTGAACAAAGATCTCAGAAATATATAAAATCCGTATATCCAACATACATCATCGACATCATGCACTCTCCTCTGCAACGCCCGCAACGACAACATTCCCTCTCAACGTTCTCTTCTTCCTATCCACATCCCCGCCGCCAAGCGCCCGTTCACTATAACCTCTCACCAAGATCTCATTCACGCGCTCCAAGCTCTGGGTGGCAGCAAGAATCGCGAGCATCGTGGGCGTCGGCGAAAGCGCGGGTTGTGAAGTGCTCGAGGCAAAAGACATTGAAACGGAGGCCTTATGTCCTGCGTGCACGAGATGATCGGGATACGAGGGGAACGGGAGAATCGGTGAGGACTTCGTCCCTTTCCCCCTGCCTTTGCTGGATCTACTCTGATTCTTCGGCTTCTTGAGTTTCTTTGTAGACGAGGGAAGCGGGAAGAGCGAGATGTCGGGGGAGGTTTCGTATGTGCTCTGATTTACGTTCGTAACTTTGGACGATCCCAAGTTGGCCTTCGACGATTTTGATTTCGTCTTTGACCTTAAGGGGCTGTCATAAGCCGCTGTATAGATATTTGCTTTGGACGTTGGAGGAGAACGTGAGCCCAACTTCGGACCAAGCGAGGCAAAACCGAGCGCAGCACATGAGGTGGAGGTGAAGAGCAGCGCGGCTTCGAGAGGGGGAGACATTAGGAACGGGGGGCTGCGTGGGAGAACAGAAGAGTCGATATGCGGAATCGAGGTGCGGTGCTCCAGCGAAGTCGGTTCAGACTCCGTTCCTTTCTCAACGTCATCCCGCCTGTTGCAATGGAGGTCCTGCTGCGCATGCCCTTTAGATGATCCTTCAGCCCTCGAAATGGATGCAGCGGGGAGAATACCTGCGGGCGAAACAGCAGACCGCGGCATCCGTGATGGGGAGCTCGGGGGTTGTGAAATGCGCGTTGTGGATGGAGAAGGTTGAGCGGGGGAGGGAGATGAATGCAGCGGCAGCGTTTTGTTCTTCTTCCAAGGAGGGGTCCAGAATTGACCGACCTTCGAGACAGGAGTCCGTGGGGTGTCCGCCTCCACAGGTGCGTAAGCAGTACGCTTATCACCCGTGCTCTTGTATTTTCTGGCCTTGTCATCTCCATAGCTCTCACCTCCAGGAGTCTCACCCGCCCCTCCAGGCGTATCCAACCATGCCCTTACAGGACGCTGCACCTCTCCTTCGCCACCATCAAGCGAGCGCAGTGGAACATCCACCGCACTGCTCCTTCCCCCGTGGGAAGTCGTACTGTTCAAAGTGTTCGCGGGGTGGATGCTTGGAGTTAAGATGGGGGCTGGGTTTAGACGGGCGTAGGTACTTGGGGAGGGATCGTGCACCCTGACCGCGGCATACTGCATACTATCAGCTAGGGTTGGGCGATTTAAGATCCTGTGGAATATGCTGCGTCGAGGCTCGTCCCCATCTGCCCTTTCTGCGTCGTACGTGCCTGAAGAAGAAGGTCGATGCGTCGATGTGAATGGGTCGCCATGATCAGGATCCCCGTTCCCACCTGAATGGAACTTGCTTGCACCCATAAGGAATGGTGTACACAGTGGTTTGATCACAGCGCTGCTGCCGGTAGTTGGTTCACGCATGTGCGCGGGGAAGAGGTACCGCGTACCGTGCACCGTAGTTTTGCTGGGCGTACCCGCTGCAAAGAGCGTGACTTCTTCCATGCTTCTGTTGCGATCTGAGGAGGGAACGGTGCCCTCCACATCGTTGACGCTGCCATCACCCTCATTAGGCGCAGGCGCATAAGCCGGGCCCGGTTGAAGGCTAATCCTACTCCCCCTTCCATTCCTCCTGCCTCCTAGTCCACAGACTCCGGAACCAGGTGACCGTGACTTCCACCAGAGACTCGCGGCGCCCACGCCAAGTATAATACCCAACACTGCGAAGAGCGGGGCTAGAAAGATGACATTAAGGTGCTGGTGGTAGGGGAGCTTTGCGAGGGCGTGAGGCAGAGTTGTGGTAAGCGGAGGGAGAGCGGAGATAGAAATGATGGCGGCTGCGTTTGCACTGGTAGATCCGGGGTCAAGGACAGCGGTAGGGCTGTCCGTGAGGGTTGAATCTAGAGATGTGGAGGAAGAGAGATACGACGACGACGACGATGTTAGGCCATCGTCCTGACGTTTGTGTGCATGCGCATAATTGATATTCCAGTGGGTCAAAGTTCCAGCTCCGCTCGTTTTTGTAGTATATTCATTTCCCATCGTGCACACTCACCGTCCAACACTGGGATACAGCTGCAAGATATGATCGGGGCCGAGGACAAGGACCGCGACACGACTTTCAACGCCAAGCGCGCTGAGGTCGGCGACAGGTGCGTCAAGGGAAAGACCGGCAGCAAGAAATGTGGAGCGTCGTACGAGATGGGAAGCAGGCGAATAGGATGCGCCTGTGACACCTGAACGTTTCGTTTTGCGCCAAAAAGTCCTCGGGCGGACTGTGCGATAGGGATTAGATCAAAAACAAGTACATCATAAGAGAAGACTTACAGAGAGGAGGTGCTGGGCGCGGGAGCTCACGCGTATCCGCAGATGTGGTTGGAAATGTAGAGAATACACGTCGCGGGGGAGGCTTGACAGCTTCAGAGAAGGAGACGTGTCTGGGAGGAGCAGACTGTGGACGGGAAACGCTCGACTGGTTTCGATGCCCTTTGAATGTACGCTGGGGCGGTGAAAGCAAAGCTTCGTCAAAGGTTCGCACTTCGACGGGGGAAGAAGGGGCTGTCGAAGGATCTGCTGTCTCAAGAGTGACCATGACTGGTGATGCGAGATCAGGCTGACTGCGACGAGCAAGATTCAGGCTGAAACCAAGTGCAGATTGAGGTCTCGGATAACGTGGAGTCGGTGAAACGAGTACGGTAAGATCTGTCATGGTTTGAATTGAAACGAGCGACGAGGTCAGAAAGTAAGTTGGTCAGCTTGAGAATTGCTTGCTTGAGAAGATAATAAATGGATGTCCAAATACGGAAGGTGTTGTAGTTCGTTTATTTTGCTATCAACTTGAACGCCCATAAACGTTCTGATTCTGAACGTTTAGCGCTCAGATCTCTAGAGTCACAGCTGAAAATCCCCTCATTCCGTCAGAGCGCCCAGTGCTCAAGAACTTCAGGCTTTGGCATCAGCATCAATATTGATCTGCTCATGGACAAAGCAAAGTTCAGGCTAAGATTCGTCCAGTAAAGTTTTGTACAAGACATGAATGCATGACAGGAAAATATGGGCTATCATGGTCATGTGCCGAAATCGAGGGCTGTGTCCTATCCCCTCAAGTGACGCGTGACCAGTGGTAAATAACTTGAAAGCAACGAATGCTAACCCATCGATACTCACCACCTTGAGGCACAGAACACTGACAATGTGCCAGGAAAGAGGGCTGTGTTTGTGGATCAGTATAAAGAGCCTATCAAACGTTACCTCTCTCACTAGATGCGCTTTGATACGGAGGTGAGTCTGGTGTCGTGCTCCTAGGGCCTGGGCTAACAACCTCCATACTCTACAGCTCTGTCGAAGGCAATTTAATTCAATCCAGATAGCACGACCGCTTCCATCTAAATGTCATTCGTTCGAATTTTCTTAGCATCAGACTTGACTTCGTCGAGGTGGAGGCACTTTTGAAGCCTGAAACAAAGCCATCTTAATAATCTAACATGCAATGCCGAACATGCCTCCAACGGACCTTCAAGGATACTTCATTAAATACGCTTATACCGATCCGCTTGATCAATCTCGAGACAATGCAACTCGTAGACCGCAGCTTCGTCAGGAGACACTTTCAACAGCGTATGGACGCGTTGACAGAAACTGCTTTACGTGAAATCAGCAGCGACCGTCCAGTGGCTATCTGAACCTTCGTACAAAGCACCGTGAGATGCGCTGTCCTATCCCATCAATGGGTAGATAGCGAAGAGTTTTCGTACGAGGACATGATGAAGAACAAAACGACTGGATCTGGACATGCAAAGATCCAAAGGTTCTGTGAAAAAGCGACGTCAAATGATTTGGAGTTTGCGTGGGCGGATGCGTGTTGCATCAATAAGAGCAGCAGCACGGAATTGGATAAATCGTTTCGGTTGATATTTCGATGGTACCAAAACTCTCTGACCTGCATCGTTCATCTTGCGCAGACGACTACCCTCGGTGATGCGCGGAAAGAGGAGTGGTTGGAGATGAGATGAAGTTCTTCAAAAATCACATTTTATCACCTTTGGCAGGGCACATTCAACCCTGGTCTCCGGAACACGTCAGACAGGATCTTCGAAGAGTAGGTAAAGGTTTGTAAAAAGCATTGGACAGGACACGATGTCTATAGCGATCAATAATGACCAACTGGGACTCTGTTGGAATCTACGCATCCGTAAATATGATTTCATTTCTTGAAAAGCAAAGAAAAACCAACAATTTAGCAGTTTTCCGAGTCGCTGTCACCCGCCATTTCTCCGGTAACACGATCCTAGCGCATCGCATGAACGGACGAATGCTTCTAAGTATTTCCCGGAGAGCATCCAGTGCCTGCTCCGAGAAAGAGCGACATGTTAGTGTAAGGGCGAGGAAGCACCTTCCTGATTTGAAGCTGCCAGACTTCGTCACGGTGTCAGCACTGTTGATGGAGCTTATGACGGTGGAGAGAATTTCGGAAACAAAGAGAGCGCGAGACCAATAAATATTGTAGTGTTCACAGCTGTGGACAAATATTTATCGGAAGGCGGACTCGCGGATCCGGAGGTTCGGGAATCGGCAGCGACTATAGTTGACTAGCACTGGGTTAACTGAAGTTGCTGAACGTAGGTTGAACCTTGAACTTATGGAAAGACTACTGTCTTGATGTCGGGCACATATTTGGAAGCTTCTGCATTTCTCTATGCGCTCTTGTCTCATCGTTACAGCGGCATGTGCGTTGTTCTTCTCTTTGACGCTTTCTCTCCTGAAGGTTTTGCAGGTCCTTGAATAAGTTGCTTTGAAGTTTGTAAGGCCACTCGCATCCTTAGTATCTCTTCCTTTTGATCTACCTCATCTCGTGAGTTACAGTTGGTTTGCAAATTTGCGGGTTGGGGTGTTGTAGGCTTTTTTCAAGGGATAACGGCCACTTACAGGCATTCTAAATCCCATCATCTCAATCAGAAACTTCTTCTTCCTCTTTCACATCAGATTCGGAGGCGACAAATTGAACTTGTGCAGTGGATCCGAATCGATATACCTGCATCTTAGAGCTGATACTATGCCCCGTACTGCGATCGAAGCACGCGATGAGTGTATTGTTGCCGTACGGTTTCATTGAAACAGGTGCGGCAATGTATTATGGATGTATTTGACCGCAATCGTTCGATTTGGTGTGGCCCCGACTTGTGTACTGGACAGAAACTGGGCTCTGCCGCCTGCGTGACATGCACGTATGCCGTGGACCTGCAAGGCGATGAGGTACGTATCGAGATTCGATATGGGTTCCCTTGATGGGGGAACATCATAATAGATCGCAAATTTCCATGGTGGCTTGTGTCTTGCAAGGTCTCTTCTGTTCCATACTTGCATGCTAACAATTGTATGTAGAGAGTTTCAAGTTGCTGGTCCCCCGTAGCATGTGTCTACCGTACTTGCGCACTCTTTGTGAACTGTGAGTCACAGTCACCAAAATGCGCGAGTACTGTCGTGCACGAATGAAAACTCTTGTGCAAAGATACTTCCCTCCGAGTACCCTCTAAAGTCTAGGTGTTCTCGCTATTTGTCGAACCTTTCGATCGAATTTACATTATCCTCTAGTCTCACCAGACGTTCCCCTCGTGCCTCCCCATGCACGCCGTTGGCATACGTAAAGTCGGCGAAAGATGCAACACGGCCATCACGTTGCATGTCCAGACAAGTACATAACATCGGCCTTCTTTAGGATTGAAAACGTACAATTGAGGAAGGGCCTGTGCAAAGACAACCGAAATGAACCTAACAATCTGGAAAGCGTAAGTTGGAGGAGCCCTTGCGTTCGGCGGGAGAATCTCCCCGGTCCAATGAAGAAGCCCAACCAAGTCAGTCAATATCTCACACACTCGCACCAAGGATCCAAATCACTCACCAGACCATTATCACACTCGGGACAGGGAATAGTGCGATACATTAATTCTCGTGCTTCGTCTCAATCCTCGTAAGGACCGCGGACTGCTTGAACCCTGCTAAATCAGAATATATATGAAGCTTCTCGATCACATCGGAAGCAAAACTTGCTTCGGGGATCCCTTCTCTGGTCTCAAATTCAAATGTAGACGGGTTTGCTTGTTTGGAGGAAGCGGCGAACGATGCTATGCCATGCTGTGATGGTATTGCTTGAATTTCTGGCCCCTATCAAAGCTAATGACAAAACGAAGTTGATGCATTAGTAGGCCAAGAAAGACGCATAAAAGACGCAAGGGAGCGAGCTCTTGTTGGAATATATCGAATCCTCGCATTTACTGAAGCATTATCACAACCATGACCCTCCCAGTTCCAGGTACATATGTGATCTACAACATCCAATATTCCACCCAAGATGTCGATCTGAGGGCGAGCAATGTTACTGTCGGTACTCCTATCGTCGGTTATTCCTATAACGAAGCCACCGAGAACATGCTGGTTGGTGCAGATGCTTGAAAATATGTGTGTTGATTTAACCGGAGTCGACTCTGCAGTGGTACTTGCAAGTTGTCGATGAAGACAAGGGCTCGGTGCAGTTGGTCAGCCTCGCAACCAACACTTACGCTGGACTCACTGGTGAAACCTCGGGCTCTGGGATCATAGGAACCGATGTCGAAACCACTTTCAAACTCCACGAGAGGAAAGATGGAGAATATGAGCGAGTATCCTTGCTCTATTATGTGTCTTCACGCTCAAACAACGCTCTCAGGATTCAGACAGATAACTCTGAGCTCGTCTGGGAGCTGCCTGACGGAAACAACTACACCCAGGTAAGCTCGTCTGATGTACTGGACAGGTTGGGTATACTCATGGGTGCAGATTATCCTCTCTCCTCCTGTTAGCTTCTATGACAACCAGTCTTGGCAGTTCTATCCAGTCGATGGTAATTAGTAAGGGGTGAGGACACTGAAGAGGCAGAGTCTTGGTGGCGATGGCTTGTAATTATTGGCAACGACCTTATTCTTTAGTGAGGAAAAGCCAGTCAGCGGCCCTTGATACATGTTGAGGTTTCTACTAACGCTGCTATTGTTTGGCTACACTTATTTACTACTTGACTTGGAACAGTGAGATATTTTGAAGGAACGTGCAGTGAGAACTTGCCAGATATCTGCCTAACAGGACCAACGAACCATCTGCGAGTATCCAAAATCCGACGCTGTACACGATGTCAATTCCGACAGCAACAGCGGCATAATTCAGCGTCCGAGTCTCTGAGAGTTGACGAACAAAAGTTAAATGGCCCAGATGAACTTGATAACAAGACACCGCATATTGGCTTGAGCCTGAACATACGCAGCACTATGTAGTACTCCAGATCAGCTGACATACGCTGGTCCAGAAACGGCACTTGTGACTTGTGGGAGTAGGTCATGACTCGATTTGAGGGAGGAGTTGGATCCAACAGACCTACTAGCTTCGATGTCCTCGAGAACAAGATAGGCATCGAGATTAGTAATAATATATGAGGTGATCAGATTCAGAATGATACATACGTTCCGATCTGCCACTGGGGTAGTTTCAACTATCGAGTTAGTTCTGCCTAGGAAAGGTTGGGGATGCTTTATGCCGCATCTGGATTCTAAAAAGGAATATCCCCTCGGAGCTCTCAGCTGGATTCAATCACGGATTCGGAACGATGGCACACGCGCACTTGCAAAATCATTATCATTATAACTTCCTCGTCCCAAATATCTCCAGAACAGAATCTCTTCCATCCCACTTGAAATGATTCGCGACTCCACGTAAGCCTTCTGACGAAGATAGACGTCGGCTGGGACCGGCCCATCAAGTTCTGCGTCTCGGAGTCTAAGCCGCGAGCGTCCCAGAACCTAGCGTGTACCATATACGTTATATGCGGTTAGTGTTTCAGAGCTTCGATAATCGATTAGGGATCTACCCGTGCCAAGCTCGATCGACGAAAAGCATCGATCGAGGTCGGGACGCGACGACACCTTTGATGAAACCAAAACATGCGGCATACGCACCTTTACAGATAAATTGACGGGGGAATCTACCCGTGCCAAGTTCGAGCGATGTGGATAATACATTAGGCAAAATGCGCCACGCGATGATACCTTCGACAAAATCAAAAGATGCGGTATAGGCACCACTAGAGATCAACCGATATACGCTGATCCTGTAGGGATCGAGATCAATGATAATATCTGAGGTGATCAGATTGTTGCAATGACGCGGTTCACATTTCATCCCGAACTTCGCACGCGATCATCCCTTCGAAAACATGTGCCATACGTACCACTGCATATCAGCCAGCATAGTATACGTGACGGGGGATCCGCCCGTGCCAAGTTCTAGTGACGCAGGGTCCGTCACCACCTCAGTGGAAGTAGGCACGCGATCTTGACGCACACACCACTGCATATCAGCCGATATATGCTGGATCGAGATTAACAATAACACACGTTCCAAAATCTGTAGCGCCACTGGGGTAGATGGTGTGGCGGCTGAGCCTGTGGATCCTTGGACGAGCGACGACGCCACGAGGGATGCCGACTGGGGGATCTGCGGTGCAATTCATTATGGGGCCGCGGGGTGGAGGTGGTGCGAAGGAGACATGATTCTGAGCGAGTGGCCGAGGATATCGGGAATAGCGGCCTGGGTCAGGTGCTGTTAGCTATTTTTATAAAGTTGACGAGTTGAAGGTATGGGGTTTGCTCGACGTACTATTTTTGGCTGACTGAGATTTTTTTTAATCATTGTTTATTGTCCATTGGGGCAGCGCCCTATGGTAGACAATACGTACTGTTTGAACTGTAGTAGGATTACATATGTGATGCGGATGATGGGTCTCGATCATTGGTCCTGGCCGGGGCGGGGACGGTTAACACCAGCTGAAGGTGATAAGATAAGGATACAATTTGGCGGGTTTTCCTCTCGACTCTTTGGTTCCCGTCACTTCTCTTTTTCGTCATCTTTTGGTGGGGAGACGTCCCCGAACACTGTTTCGAACCTGCAGGTGCGTGCGATAAATTTGAAAACGGACTTTAGCCATTTGATGTCATTGATCAAGTGTTTGAGATGGTGTGCGCGTGTACCAAGCTTCAATCTTAGGACGCTTCGGTGACGAATGTAGGCAGGTCACGTGACGAGGAAGTGATGGACTGATTCTGGGCCTTCGTGGCACTGTTGGCAGGTTGCTGTTGGGGATCTGGAGATTCGGAAGAGGTGTTTGTTGAGAGGTGCGTGTCCGGTTCTAAGTTGAAACAGGAGTGAGCTGTGATGGCATGGGAAACTTTCGATGATGCTGGCGAAGTGTTTGGATGGTGTGGATGTGTTGATGACTTGCAGTGATGTGTAATGGGGGGATTTGCGCATGGTCTCGTTCACCTCATGTTTGATCATTGCGTAGAGGTTCTGTTGTGTTGCAGACTTGCTGATGGGTAGGATCTTCGCTTGTCGTCCTCTTGCCCTCAGTGATTTTGGGAGTGTGTGGTTCTCCAAGCCTTCTCCCCGTGCTGCTCTTTTTGCTAGCTCGTCTGCTGCTTCATTCCCTGGGATACCCATATGGCCAGGGGTCCATCATAGCGTGAGTTTTCTTCTGTCATTGTGTGGTAGTAACGAGCACAGGTTGTCATGGAACATGTTCATGAGATAGTGGCCGGGTTGGGAGCTGAATGCTTTTGTTGTGCAAATGGCTGCCTGGTTGTCCACCCCCAAGGCCATTGTTACTTCCCCCCCAGCCTTGCAAAGTAGCTCCACTGCCAGGATCATTCCCACTATCTCTCCCTCATACACTGTGTGCTCCTTGTTACTCCCCAGGTGAAAACATCTCTCCTTCCACACCTCCTCGCCTCTCATCAACACTGCTGCTGCTCATACTCCCCCATCTATTGCCGATCCATCTGAGTATGCTCTTAACTCTTTGTCTGCTTCCTTATCTTCCCTCTCTGCCTCTTCCTTCTTGTGTGCGATCTGAATGTTGACGTCCACCGCCCATTTGGGGTAGTGACGAGTTGGTAGAATGGTTTCCATCCTGTGTGGGTCTATCTTGAACTCGTTCATTAGTTTGTGCAGTGGCGACAGGTGGCGTTTATGGCCCCCAAATTGTCTCTTCACACAGAAATTGTAGGTGGTGCTGATGCCTTTGGCCAGGGGGTGAGTGTTGGGAAGGGTTGCCATTCTGAGGGTGGCTTTGAAACATATCTTTTGAAGTGTCTGTTGAAATGGTAGTATGTTAGTGTGTGTGTCTAGGAGGTCAGAGGCAGTGGATCTCATTCCCCTGGTCATCAGTAGAGTTGCCATCCTCTGAACTCTTGCCATCTGTGATGTGAAGCCGCGTGCTCCTTTTCCATTGAGTAGTTTTCCTCTTCCTTTTGAGATAAGTCCTGAGCACCAGATGTCAGCAGCATACAACATTTTTGATATGATGACCCCCTTGTATAGACTCTTCATCAGACGACTACATATGCCTTTGGTCAGGTGGATCATTTGATTGCATGCCATCATGTATTTTGTTCCCTTCGCCAGAGCATAAGACACGTGTTCCTTGAAATTGAGGTTCTCGTCAATGATGACACCAATGAATTTGTGTGAGTGTGATGGATGAATCATGTGGTCACGTATCATGATTGGTATTCTTGGCATCGGCTCCGTCTTGTGGGGGTCTGTTGTACTTGTTACACGTTTCCTTGAGAGGCAGATTAGCACTGTCTTATCCAATTCAAACTCAGTGTTCTGTTCCCTGCTCCATTCCAGAGCACCTCCTGGTTTCTCCATCATGTGGGTAAGCTTCGCATTAGATTCTTCATATGATGCACCCCTAGCAGCCAGAGTGATATCATCGATGAATCCTAAACTGAGCTCACCCTTGCATGGATTGGGGCCAGCCACACATAAAACATCGGAGTTGTAGAAAATGAATGCCACTGGAGACAGGGGGCATCCCTGATTGATGCCGTCAGCTACATTGAAAAGATCAGATTGATAGTTGTTGAATAATAGGAAGGTCAAGCGATTGTGGAGATGTCTCCTGTACCACTTGATTCCCACGGGCAAGGGCTCAAATTTATGCCCCAAGGGAGTACTACAGAGTACCCCACTAGCATAACCTTGGTCTACCTGTCCATTCATATACAATAATGTAAATAGTGAAAATAGCACAAACATGTGGACAGTTTTTTGAGCCACTGTACTCTACTGGTACTCCTGCTTTCCTCAAGTTGTGCAAGAGCTTGTTGACCACTATGCTAGGAAAGGTGGCTTTAATGTTGAGGAACAGTAGAGAAACAAGACCTTCTTTGGATGCCCATGCGTCTGTTACGAACTTTGTGAGCAGGTGTAGGGAGTCCGTTGTGGAGTGTCCCAGTCGTCCCCCAAAGTGTGTTGATGCCAAGAGGTTGTTCTGTTCTGCTATGTAGATCAAGTCATCAGTGACACAGGATGAGAGAATTTTGGCCATGGTGTCTAGCAGTGTTATTAGGCGATATGCCTTTGGGAGACTGTAGTCTGGTCTTCCTGGTTTGTGCAGAACAATTGTTGACGACCTTTTCCATTCATCTGGGTATATTCCTAGTGTGAACGTTGCTCGGAATATCGAAGCCATGAAGGGTACTAAAAGTTCTGTGCAGTGCATGAAGACGCAGTTGCTGATCCCATTTGGGCCTGGAGCTTTGTGTGGGGAGAGTTTCACAATCGCCTGAAAGATCTGCTGGTCTGTGATGAGTTCAAATTTGCATATGGGAGGAGGGTAATTATAGATAGGGTCAACATATTTGTTTTCTGGAAGTGGCCAGAAGAACATGTTGTGAAGAAGTTCGCTTTTTCTTGCATTGTCTTGAGGGGCTGGGTTTTGTTGTACATTAGTTGGGTCTTTGAGGGTCATAATCCTGGTGTGAAATTGATCAGCTGGGTTACTGGCTGTGTGGTTGTGAAAATTCCAAACTCCCGACGGCTTCAAGGATTTGAGCCAGTCCTTCCAGTGGTCTTCTTTTGCATTTTTATACTTTTGGAAAAATTGTTCCATGGTACTCGGTACTTCTCATGGATGGGGTCATTGTGGTGAGCTAACTTGGCCCTGGATTTGCGGCCTAGTTTGTGGACAGCTGTGCATTCCAACTCTATGTTTTTTGACCACCATCTTTTTGCATACGGGGAGGGTTTGGAGCATGGGATGTGCTGTTCAACTACCTGGGAGATGACTTGTGTGAGGTTCATGAAGGCTGCTTCGAACTGTTCTTGCGTAGTGATCTCCATTGGTGGGGGGATAGTGTTTAGCTTTTCTGAGAGACCTTCGTTTAACACATCCCAGTCGACATCCCAGTAGTTCAGTCGAGGGTTGGTTGAGATGCACTCTGGTTGGAGATCCAGGGAGCTGATTATTGGAAAGTGATCAGTAACTACAGGTCTTAGCTGATACTCCACTTTGCACACCGTGAACACTTGTTCCAGTCCAGCTGTGCAGAACACATTATCAGGGTGTATAAGGTTCTTGGTGTTGGAGGCCTCTAGCATAGTCAGGCCAGGGGGGAGAACCTGGACTAGGTCATACAGAACAAGTAAGTTAATTAATACACCCATGGTGTCAAGATTTGCCACGGTAAAGAGATGGTTGTTCGATATTGGTTCCCACATGGGATGATGACGGTTAAAGTCTCCCATCCAAATTATGTTTTTAGTAGCTGCACCGTTCTCACCTTGAGTGAGTTGTTGGGGGTTACCACAATGGGTGTTCTGCTCAGAATGCATGTGTCGCTTGAGGTAATGTAGCATGTTGTTATGGTCGCATGGGTTATATATATTATAGACATGTACCTTGCTGAACGCTCCGGTCAAATCTATGGCCATTATGTTCAGCGAGTTAATGGGAACAATATGCCATGTGTTCTTGGAGATGCGCTTGTTGATTAGTATTATGGTTTGGGAGCGCTCTGGGTTGGTGTGATGATTCAATGGGTATAATACATCCCAGTGACATCTGAGATTAGAAGCATTAGCAAGGTTTATGGGGTGAAGGTAAGGTTCTTGAATGCATGCTAAGTTGTAGGTTTCAGGATCCAGGTTTTTCAACATATTTTCTGAGGTGTTCATGGATTTGCGTAGATTCTGTTGCCATATTTTGAAATCTGTCCTCTCTGGGGGTTTGATAGGTTGTACTGGCATTAGTCCCAACCTGAGGTGTTGATAGGACCTTCCGAGTTGTGCATGGCTGGTGATGGTGTTGAACCATGAGGAGAGTTGGCATTGGTCTCGGTGCTAGGTTGGGTTGGGGTCCACTCAGCTGTAGGTTGGTGTCTTGTTGTGGTAGGCTTGGGTTCCAGGTGTCCGTCAGACGTGTCTGGGTGCAAATTAGGATGTTGTTTGAGGAGCGGGTGGGTTGGTGGTGTTGCTGGGGTTGACATTTTTGGTTGACAGTTTGCCATCTATGAGTCCCACTTCACGATGGGGGGGGAGGGTGGCATTGATTGACGAGTGTTGGGGGCAGGGGGTTGTTGTTGGGGTCATGCCAGTCATTTGAGCTGTCCATTGTTGTTTCCCAGGTGAGTGGATTGTCTGTTAGGAAAATTTGGTATTTAGATTCTTCATTTCTTCTCGTGTACTTCCCACTTTTGGATGAATGTTGGGCATTCCCTGCTCCAGGATGCATGCCCATGGATGTCACAGTTCAAACAGTAGAAGAATTCGGGGTTGTCCACTCTGCACTCTGTGGTCTGGTGTTGTGCTCTGCATGTTCCACAAGTGTCCTGTTCTTTGGGGCATTCCGCTACTACATGGTTGCCATCGAAAGAATGGCACTTGAGACATCTGGTTGGTTCTGGTAAGAGCTTCCTGTCATATACTTTCTTTCTCACTACTGAGAGACCAAATTTGATAGCTTGGTTGGTGCCTTCTCTGCTGTTGAAAGTGAAGATTGTATGGGCTGTCTGCTGTCCTGGGTTGTGCCTCACTATTGGCTCGATGTACCTAGCCTTCACGATGCTACCCAGTTTGAGTCCCGCCTTCTTTTTGATGTCTGCTGTAGCTGCAGGGTTGTTTGGGGTAAACAAGATCAGGACATTCTCGACCAGTACGTGGAATGATCTTTCCTTGATGACAATGTTAATGCTGAAGTGCTCTAGGAAATTGCTTTGGTTGGCTGGGGTGTTGAACCACAGGGCAGAGGCAGGCGACTCTAACTCACATAAGATCCCTCCATGGGGAAGACAGTGAGCTGAGAGGAAGGCCAGTTCTTGTGGAGCTGCAACATTGTCCTTTCTCATCAATTCCAGAGCCATTGTTGCCTTTGACACCAGTTGCACTTCGGTTAAGTATTTGAGGGTGTCGTCCATGAGGAGAGATCTTCTGTCCAATAGTATTTGTCTAGACTGTCCTTTGCTGCATAATAGAATTTTGGTCAGTGGGGCGGGGATTCTGTCATATCCTGTACCTCTGGATCTGGAATTCTGGAACCCCACCACTAAAGTCCGGCCCTCCATCCTGTTATTTCACCCGGCGCCCCGCCTTCATCTCCATACTCACCCCTATCTCCTTTTAGAATAGTTATTGCTCCAGCTACCAGTTATGTCCTTTCCGCTATGCTTACTGATCCATCCGTTCTTGTTTCATTTCCGACCTCACTGCTTTGATCCGTGTGCACTTACTAATAGACTTTCCACATGCTTCGTACATAGCCCTTACTTTGCTGACTGAGTTACCTACATGATACCTACAGTATATAAACTCCTGTAATACTCCAGAACTCCTCAGTTCAAATATCACCTTAGTTCCTGCTCATTCCTGTACCTCCAGACTTGAGCTTGTCTCTTGTCAATCTCCGAGTCTTAGGATTGATTCCTTTGACTATACCTCCGACTCTCGATCTTAGTTCTGCTCATTCCTGCATCTCTGGACTTGAGTCTCATCTCTCATCTACCTCTGAGTCTTAGGGGTTAAACCTTAGGACTAGATCTCTGGCTCTACCTTGGGGTAGTCTAACCTCTGTTCTGTTTCTACTCCGGACTTGTCCGCAGTAGCCTTGCTCCGTTTCCTCATAGTCTTCCGGAGTTCTGCTGAACTCCACCGATGTCTGTCCTCCAGAACTCCCTGGACTTCCGTCGGACTTCCCCTCTGCCTCTTGGAAATTAAGGGCACATACTCGGGTAAGGGGCGCAGCGCACGAGCTGAAGCCGAAGCCCTTTGAGTAACCTTTTTCTTGAGCATGACTGTCATATACCTGATTTGACTGCTCCAATATTAATATCTGCTCCGCTTTCCAACCACCTCCGCCCCCTCCATCCTCTGCTCTGTCCAATCATCGTCCGCATCCGCCCTTACACTTCTGCTCGACCGCCCAACCAGTCCCCTTCAATAATGTCTCCATTCAACTGGAACCTCTTTCCCCTTTTAGATATATACTTTCCCCTTCCATACATAGACCCTTACTTCCGGATCACCGGTAATTCTTCTTACCACTTGATCACTGATCCGACACATACATATTGATATCCGCTCTGACTTATGTCTTCGCCTGTGTATGTACTTACAAATTATATCCTTGGTACATAGCTTTACAACATAGTTATCCTGACCACTGCCTCATACTTAGAAGTATATAACATATCCTGTACTTAGATATTTTCCTCAGTCTTAATATTACTTGTCTTCTCGCAGTGTCTACTTGTGAGGATTCTCAGTAGGACCTTGCCTCCTCCAGACACAAGTTTCATCTTGTTGTCACCTCTGACCCTCCGCTCCAACTTAGAGCCGCACTCTAAGTCTTCTCCTTACTCCCCTGCCCCTATCAAGTATTCCCCCTGCTCCTTTCCCCCTTCCGCATTATCCTCCGCCTTCTCCGCTCTGCTCCTAGTCGGCCCGCCACTAGTAGCACTTACCTCCCGACCCTCAAAGCGGACCTAAGCAGTCCACTCGTCCTATCGTCGGACAACATCAGACCCACTCCAAATTCAGGGCACATACTCAGCTAAGGGCGCAGCGCAAGAGCTGAAGCCAAGCCCCGACCCCTCTGCTTCTTGAGCCAGTATGGTACCTAACAATGACCTTAACAGATTCCCGTTCTGGTCACTGTGGCATATGTTTTCGGTCTGTCAGACCTGATTTGATCTGTGTCATTGTGCACTTGTTGGTTAATGATGTGCGTTGCATGTTCCGTGACTTTATCTATTCCCACAGCTGAGCCATTCAGATTGCCATGCACCTCTAGTACTGCATTTTCCAGTGTGTTCTTGTGTTTTTCTGTGACTTCTGCAAGTTCTTCCACCTTTTCTTCTAGGATGGTGAGTGGGCCTCCAATAAGGTTCTCTATTCTATTGATGATGTTGGTCATGTCCATTGATTGTTCTGTGTCATGAAGAATGATAGCAAATGCCCTTAGTATCTCTGTGTAGGTGGCACCCAGATTAGCAGAGATACTGAGTTTGAAGATAGACACAGCAAGTTGTTTGAGTATGGTGCCCGCCATAGGTAGAACCAGTCCATGAGTGGTAAGGATCTTCTTTACTGTGGTCGTGTTGGTTATGTCCATTCTGATGCCTGACCCTGAGATGTGTTTTGCTATAGACTTGTTAATGGACAGTAGTGGTTTGCTTGCGGTGGTCTTGTGTGCTGCCTGGGCTTCTGCAGTCACTGGGATGGTTGGACTGGCAGAACCACCTGGTGCCATGGGGATTTTTTAAGGATATTAGGTTGTTGGAAGAGATTTGGGGAGCTTGGTTGGCGCCGTTGGGCGTCGAGCACATTATTGAGCGTGATGTTGAAGATTGGTTTCCAGGGTCCTGGTAGGGGTGCCACTTGGTGTAGGTTCAAGAAGTGTTCGCTGACTGAGATAAGTTCATGTGCCTAAGCTACCCAATGGCTCCAGGATGTGTTCCGATCTGTGGCGCTACTGGAGTAGTTTAAATCTGGAGATGTGGTGGCTGTGGATCATCCAGGCAGCGGTAGTGTAGGGGGCAGAAAGGAATTGAACTCATGGCAATTGGCAAAATGGAAGAAGTCAGCAAAATGTATTGTGAGCGCTTTTAGCTCTTTTCAATTATAGTTCTACTATGGAAAAAATAACTTTAACTGCTACATTGAGGCTATACCTTCTGATGTCAAAAGTGCATCGATATTCCACCCTGACGCACTCTCTGAGCCTCAATTGAGTACATCAATCTCTTCAATGAAGCCAGTTGGCATGATACCTTTGTTAACCCTCTCTAGCTCACTCTAGTCGATGATGCCGCTGTTCAGAATGTCCATCAGGAAAACAACAAGTTCCTTAATTCAACTTATTGTTGCTTTTTCACACTCAATAAGGTGAAATAAGCAAAGGCCAAAATAAGTGGCCATGAAGCAGAAAAAGGCCACTCATCATCTAAATTCTCACTTATTTCTGACTTAGTTTACTTTTTGCATCACAAATAAAGGAGAAAAAGGGCATTGTCCATTCAGAAAAGCACAATGTGAAAGTAGTTAAGGAAAGATAGAATTGAAAAAGAATGGTAACCTATAATCAGAGAGCAGTACCAGTAGCCTAGTACTAGTACTAGAAAATAGCACTAGTTGAGATGTATAACAAATGGTGATAGTAGTAGTTAGAACAACAAAAGAAAATTCAAACAAAATAAGAGGCATAAGAGGATAGTCTCACACATACATAAGAAGGCACGGTCATCATCAGAGCTCTCAGAGATGCCCGCATCCATGGTGGTACTTTCATTCAAAGCTGACCGCACCATGTCTACTGTAGTTTCGATGAAGCCCAAGCCCTTCTTCTTGATGCTCTTCGTATACCCAGTGTTTGCTTTACCCCAGAGATCACATGAAAATAGATATGGGGCGCTGATCTCCTTCCCAGTGGCCTTGTTGAGTACTTTGGGGAGCTTGATATTCAACTTGCTGCATGATGGGGTTGATGCTAAGATGTTCTTGACTTTGATATTGCCCTCTGAAATCAATGTAATGACACACACTCAAGCTATGTGAATAAATTGAGGGGGACTTGGAGCATTGCTAACAAGAAAATGAACAGATTGCTGTAGCACAAAATGCAATAATACCGGCTATCCCTTTTGATGTGAGGTCCTTGGTTTTCAATGTGGGAATGATAGCATGACTGTTAATGGCACTAAGATGGGCCTTTCCGAGGAGCTGCAGCATAAATGCAGAGTGAAATGCCCCATCAGGGTTCGCACTTGTCCATGTCCTCAAAAATGAAGGCAAAATTCTTCAAGAGGAGCCCTGCAAGGACCTCTGGGTCACAGTTGTTGTTGCTCATCAGAAAATCAAAGATGATCGCAATGGCTGTAGAGCTGAAGTTGCTCTGCCACTCGGAAAGATGTTGGACAGTCTATGAGTGAGCAGATATAGTAGTAAGGATGTATCATAGACATCTGGCAGGACGAAAATGTACAAGTGAGAAAACAACACTGTTCTGAACAATGGTGAGGTTCAGCTCTGGGTAGACTGCCTGAAATATAATTTGGATATGCATCAGTAAAGTTGCATCTGGGATGCTCCAGAGGGATTCCTGGCTGCCGGCCCACAACATCATTGTCGGAAGGAATTTTTTAGCCCAACAGTGGTCTGCTTGGACTTTTTCAGGGAGATCAGTGTTTTGGTATTGCTATCAAGGCTTCAAATTGTTGTGTGGTGTGTCGGCTTTGACTGATTGCTGTTCCTTGGGCTTGGCAGAAGTAGCACCAAGAGATGTTGAAAACTTGACCAATTCCACCTTTGCCTTCTTAGTGAGAGCAGGTTTGATGTTTGTGATCACAACTGATGTCTAATAATAAAAATTGTGTCAGGAAGGACTACTATAGATTATTAGATTCTCACCAAACTTGTGGTGCAGGGGGGCTTCTCAAGCTTCACACTAGGCTTCTCAAACTTCACTTCATGCATCAGATCACTCTTGTCTGGTAGGTCGATATCCATTGTATTGTTGACTAAAGGTGCGGTGAGTATAATAGCATTGACTTCAATGATCAGTGCTGACTCACTGGTATTGTCCGAAAAATCTTCGATTTTACTCCCAGGGGTTATATCAAGGTCTTTAGAGGCTTTCCTTTTGAGGTTGCTGACTGCGAAGGAAGCCTTGGACAAACCTCCTTCTGATGGCTGGGTGAACAGAGCACAGAACTCTGCTGGAATCTCCAACTCATCATCGGAGTCATCAACAGTGAGAGTCGGTTCCATCTTTGAACTACTATATCAGATATTTCTCGCGAGTGAAAATTAAAACATTACTGTTGCAGCTGACCTCCCTTCCTTGGTAGTTATCCCATATCCAGCCAGGCATTCCAATTCATCAGCCTCATCTAGTGATGCTGCAGCTCGACTCAGCTTGGGCTTGGCTTTTGCTGGTTTGCCTGTAGTTCGGCTCTCCTGGTGAGCTAAGCTACCTATGTCCAGCTTGGTCCAGCTGGCTAACCACACAAGCTGGCTCAAGCCAACTTGGTGTTTTCATTACTGATGGTCTTGATGTTCATACCTTATTTCTCAGGGATTGAAGGAACCGGCCATTCCCTACAGCCTACACAGTGCACTGTGCATACCCTAGCTATCCCTCAACCATCTGTTGTTGAATATATTGTAATTGTTCTTACCTATCACAGCATGAATAAAGTCCCAGCTCGAGTTGACAGTATATTTAGGCTGGAAGACATTCTGGGATCTGGGTCATATGGTATGTTGTGACATGATGTTGAGATTCAACATATAAACTTGCTAAGCCTCACTTACTGGCTGTTGTATACTGCGTGCAGAACTTCCTTAATGATGACATAGTTGCCATCAAACTTGAACCTCTCATGTCTCTCCCATCTTCTGTGGAGCACAAATACCACATTCTGAAATGACTCAAAGATGGAGTTGGGATCCCCCATGCCATTTGGTTTGGTAGAGAGTCAACATATCACGCTTTGGCTCTTGAACTCCTTGAGTGGGTCATCGCAGATGCTAACATGTTTTCCCAGCTTTCACGCCTTGAACACATCCACTCATACAACTACATTCACAGCGATATCAAACCACAGAATGTTTTGCTGGGTCTTGGTGATTTGAGCCAAACTCTCTTTGTCATCAATTTCAGTATCACAAAGAAGTACTGGAATGCTGCAACCGAAACACATATACCATTTTGCCAGGGTTGACATCTCACAGGCACTCCTGCATTTGCTTCAATCAACAACCACTTGGGCTTGGAACCAGGTCGTCATGACAATCTCGAGTCTCTATCATATATGTTGATTTATTTCTTGCATGGCACCCTTCCATGGCTAACTAGCAGCCATGAGAAGCTCTCCAGATCTGACATACTTGAGTGCAAAGTGGACACCACCATCACAGTTTTATGTGATGGTGTTCCTTCTGAATTCGCAAACCTTCTCGTCTACTTGCAGTCTCTTTCATTCTCAGAAGACCCTGACTATGACTATCTCCACTCATTGCTTTACAGTCTTCACACCACAGAAATGTGCTTTCTGGATTTCATCCAGCCCAATGACCCCATTATACATTCTCCAACCTCCAATGTTTGCTTGGTGGCTGAGGCAGTGTCACTGTGCCTGCCAAAAGCAACACCTGTTTGCAAATTGATTCATGTGTGAGTACATAGTTTTTTTATATCTTCACACACTCACGAGTCATGAACTGATTACAAGTTTACACCCACATAATGGTCCCCTACTGTCTTCAACTACTTCTGCCCCATGTCGGAAAAGAAACTAATTGCATAGTATGATAGATGTATAGTTTTTGATTTGTTGGGTGCTCTTGTGGTATCTGTATGTACACATGTATATAAATATACTACATACAAGCTTGCATGGAGTGATGTATGTCAATGTATGAACATTGTTTCTAGACCTCAGATATACTTTGCACATTTGACAGTGGCTCAAGTTATCTCCATTGAATCCATGTCTGCACTCCTCCAATCGTTTGCTGCTTGGTTTTTCCTACAGACGTGACAGAAATGCAGCTCTCTGTGCTATTGAGGGTCTGATCATCATGCGCTGACTCCCAACTCCAACTGGCTCCCACATATCTCATATCTTCCTTTCAACGCTTGCTGCCAACTTGCTGCAGCCTTGTTGTGCACTGCCATCATGTCGCCACTATTCTTTTTACAAGATTGCAGATGCCGGCCATACAAATGAGTGCCTTGTGTCATACTCCATCTCCACTCACCCCTGGTCTTGAATCTTGATCATTATCGGATTTGATCAGTCTCACACAAGCCTTACAGTCCCAGCAAGAATTCAGCCCATTCTTGTAATGGTGGTAGTTGGTTTCTACTCATGGAGGTCCCCCCTTACCATATGCCTACATTTGAGGCTAGGATGTGATTTGAGACTGACATGCAGTGTGGCCTAGGGACCTCTTGCCAATGTGCTGCAATCTCCCTTCCACCCAACACTGGATGATTTTGTTGCCTTGTGAGCAGGTTTCAAATTTTGAATGAGTGAGGGTGAAGGAATTAGTGTATGGACTGAGATTCACTTTACTTGATCGATCCAACTGATTGCAATCTAGGCAATATTACTGATCCCCACTACCCTTATCACTTCCTGCAGGGACGGTTCCCTTGAAAAATTGGGATTGCTTTGAAGTCTTATAGTACGTACTGGCATGCATTCCGTTGTCCTGTTTGTATATTGCCATTAACACTATTGTGATCAGACCCTGCAACCCTAATGATCCCAGCAAGTTCAAGTCTAGGTCTAACTGGTGTTTCCCCACCATGCACATTGGGATTTTCCAGGGTCTCCCAGGATGAAGTTTTCTATATAAACAGGTGATTTGTTTGTTGCATCTATAGCACTACTGTTAGGTACCGTGCCGGCTCAAGAAGCGGAGGGGTCGGGGCTTGGCTTCAGCTCTTGTGCTGTACCTTTAGCCAAGTATGTGCCCTGAATTTGGAGTGGGTCTGACATTGTCTGATGGTAGGATGAGTAGACTGCTTGGGTCCGCTTTGAGGGTCGGGAGGTAAGTGCTACTAGTGATGGGCTGACTAGGAGCAGAGTGGAGAAGGCGGAGGATAGTGCAGAGGGTGGATAGGAGCAGGGGGAATACTTGATAGGGGCGGGGGAGTAAGGAGAAGACTTAGAGTGTGGCTCTAAGTCGGAGCGGAGGGTCAGAGGTGACAACAAGATGAAACTTGTGTCTGGAGGAGGCAAGGTCCTACTGAGAATTCTCACAAGTAGAAACTGCAAGAAGACAAGTAATATTAAGACTGAGGAAAATATCTAAGTACAGGATATGTTATATACTTCTAAGTATGAGGCAGTGATCAGGATAACTATGTTGTAAAGCTATGTACCAAGGATATAATTTGTAAGTACTTACACAGGCAAAGACATAAGTCGGAGTGGATATCAATATGCACATGTCGGATCAGTTAGTTGAGCAGTTATAGGAAGTACCAGTGATCCGGAAGTAAGGGTCTGTACTGAAGGGGTAAGTATATATCTAAAAGGGGAAAGAGGTTCCAGTTGAGTGGAGATGTTCTAGAAGGTGACCGGTCGGGCAGTTGAGCAGAAGCATAGGGGTGGATGTGGATTGTGATTGGATGGAGCAGAGGATGGATGGAGTGGAGGTGGTCAGAAAGTGGAGCGGATATTAATATTGGAGCAGTCAGATCAGGTATATGACAACTACCATTACTAACATGAACAACCGTCACAGCAAACATCAAAAAATGCCAATGCTATCCATATTGACACCCCCACTGCTACTCTCAATCCTGCTACTACTCCCACTGCTGCAGCAACCATCAATACCACTGCAGCAACTTCCACTGCCCTCCAATGCCCTCAATGAGAGTGACAGCATCCTAGAAGATATGAAGATGGTGATACTGAATTCTTCAACATTAATGAAATCAGCGCTGATGATGAGGAGGACGGCGCTCCTATAATAGTTGCACCCAATACAGCCCCTAGCCCACTTCAGACCAGCAACAATGCCCTCAATTCTGCCCCAACTGATCTCTTGGCCATGACCCCAACCAATCCCTTAGCCACAACCTTAGTTGATCCCTTTGCCATGACCACAACCAATCCCTTGGCCATGCATGATGGAAAAAGAAAACAAAAGGGTGGAGCAGTTGTTGACATCCCCCACTTCTATAGGATGGATGCATCGCATAAATGTACCTGTATCCCTTGCAAGTAAGTATCACGTCTAGGAGTATTTTGTTAATCTCACTCCTCCAACAGGGATATACATAAGCAAGACTCTTCATGGAAAATCCAGCTATACACTGCTATTTCAACCACAGGCACTCTTTGCACCCATGTGCATGTCTATCATATAGACCTTTATCTAGCAGAATGTGAGGGCCAGGGCCCAGTGGCCTGGCCAATTTTGATCGATGAGGTACAATTCTGACTTGATGAGAGTTGGACCATCCTGCAGATATGTGAAAGGCTTAGCCAGGACCCAGACTGTACAATTGAAACACTTGGTGTTCCCCCCAATCCTGTATGCAATGATTTGCTGCCCATGCAGTCAGAAGCTGTTTTGCCGGACTTTTCCATTGATGAGATGCACTGACATATCATGAGATTCATCATAGCTGACAACCAGGTGAGTAGTATCTATTTTTCATGCAACATTATTAATGGCTGTCTTCAGCCAATTAATGTTGTTGAGTGCCCGGAGTTTCACTGACTGCTCTGTCTCATGCATCAAGATCTAAAGGAGTATGATATTCCTCACCACACAAAATTTCATTCATTGATCATAGATGCATGGTGCAACTACTTCCCGGTCATGAAATGTGACCTTGCAGTAAGTGTTTAGCTGCTGATATCATGTAGTATGTTGTGTCCTGTAGAAAGCCAAAGGAAAAATCTTGTTCACATCTGACCTCTGGTCAGATCCTAAGCTCCGCCCCTTCCTAGCACTTACTGCCCATAGCTTGCAAGGGAAAGCACCAATTCAGCACTTGTCTTGAAGGCACTCTAATCACTTTTCATCACACCCCAGGTAGTCATACAGGGAAGGCACTCAGGTCAAAAATATTCAATCTGGTCAAGCATGCCAGTGTGGTAAATAATTTTATTTGTGCCATGTGACATGCTCTGACTTGGTTTAGATGGGACACTTCACACTTGATAATGCTTCCAATAACCAGGCTGCAATGGAAGAACTTTCTCACCAATTGCTGCAATGAGGGATCAAATTTGATGCCATTGATCGCAGGATCCCATGCTTCCCACACATAATCAATATATGTGTGCAGCACATCATGGATGAGCATTCTACCATGGACCTTTTAAATGTGGCTGGTCCTTTCATAGTGGGCAATGTCTCTTTCAACAAGGTAGTGTATATCACGGCTCTGTGAGATGATGTTATCTGTTGGGCCAGAGCTGTCATGCATGCGATCCGTGTGTCAAACAAACAATGTGATAATTTCAGAGACAGCATTTGCTTGGGCAATGATGCGAAGATTTTCCGAAATGACAATAACAAGGAGATAGTGCTTCCAGTTGTTGAACTGCTGTGTGACAAGCCCACACATTGGGATTCAATCTACATCATGCTTAATCACTTAAGAACACTTTTGCAGGTAAGGCCTCATTTCATAATCCTTGGCATAGACTAAACAGTGGCCTAAACTGTTGATGACTTCCTTGATGACGATGATCAAAGGACTATATCCAATCTAAAATTAGAGCCAGTGGAATGGTAAATCTTGCAATATCTTGAGGTGGTCCTGAAGGTCAGTCTTAATAAGTGCGAAACTGAGTGTTAGAGACCGTGCTCAGATGGAGAAGCAGAGGGGTTGGGGCTTGGCTTCAGCTCTTGTGCTGCACCCTTAGCCAAGTATGTGCCCCAAATTTGGAGTGGGTCCGACAATGTCCAATGATAGGACAGACAGACCGCTTTGGTCTGCTTTGTGGGTTGGGAGGTAAATGCTATGAGCGGTGATCCGACTAGAAGTGGAGCAGGGGGAAGTGGAGGGAGTGCATTGGGATGGAGGGAAGTAAGGGGATAGATTGGTTGGGTCGGATAGGTAAGAGTGAATACTTAGAGTGCGGCTCTAAGTCGGAGTGGAGGGTCGGAGGTGACAACAAGGTAAACTTGTGTCCAGAGAGAGAGCAAAGTCCTATGGAGAATTCCCACTAGTAGAGACTGTGGGAAGACGAGTAATATTAAGACTGAGGAGTAGCTAAGTACATGGTATGTTTTTATATACTTCTATGTAGGGGCAGTGACTAGCAGTCCTTGGTATGAGGCCATGTACCGAGCATAATTTGTAAGTAGACACAGTTGAAAAACATAAGTCGGAGTGGATATCAATATGTATGCATCGGATCAGTTAGTCGAGCAGTTATAGGAAGTACCAGTGATCCAGGAAGTAAGTTATATGTGCAAATGGGGAAAGTATATACCTAAATGGGGAAAGAGGTTACAGTGGTGTGGAGACGATATGGAAAGTAACTGATGAGGTGGTCAAGCGGAAGCACAGGAGCTGATGTAGGCAAACTGGGTCGAGCGGAAGGCGGACAGAGCAGAGGTGGTAGGGAAGCGGGGAAAGTATAAGCTTGGGCGGAGCGGATATTAATATTGTCGGAGTGGTTGGATCAGGTATATGACACTGAGATGTATTTACCATTTTATATTAGGCACTGCATGCTGTTCAGCAAAGCATGTCCAGCGAAAGCACTCCTGTGCTGAGTTGTGCCATTCTAGCCTTCAAAAGGTTAGTCAAAAAGTGGAAGGACTTGGCACAGCACTTCACACACTTGGCACCTTTTGTTGCCATCGGCCTAACTTGGACTGATAAATACCATGACCAGATGAGCCGCATGGGAGCATATGGAGTCGCTATGTGTTAGTTCCACATGTTTTTTTAATCAATGCTGATTCTCATGTGTGTTTTTACAGTTATTGATCCTGTGATTTGTATGTCTTGGATGAATGATAATTAGGACATGGCTTAAGTCAAGGATACCAGGGATTATATTCTTAAACTGGTACGTCTATTTGACACATTTTAACTGATAGAAGTGCAAGTTTGAATTGATACACTGTAGATGCGGAAGAAAAGAGTGACAGATACCTCCGACTCCACACAATCTCTACCCATGGAACACCAGTCACGCGCTGCTGCAATGCTAGGCTCAACGATCTATGGACTTCATGACATAGATATACTGCCACATAACGAGGGTGGCACCCAAACGATAGAACAGGAATTTAGTGCTTACAGCACAGCTGTCCACAGCCCACAGGGAATGGATTTACTTGCATTTTGGACAGTAAGAGTCCTGTGTCTCCATTAAGTTTTGCTGATCATGAAGTGTTGATCAGACTGCACAACTTATGTTTCCGACCATCTATTCAATCACAATGGACTATCTTCCCATACAAGCCTCTGCTGTTCCCTGCAAACACATCTTTTCATCCAGCGGTGAGACATACACAAAAAAACAAAATTGCATTAGCCCACCCCTGATGGAGGCCTTACAGATGGTCAAGTTTGCGCTGAGGAAAGAGCAACTTAACTTTACTGAAGGTTGGCAAGCCTCACAGAAAGACATGGAGTATAACTTGATGTGTGCCATGAACTCTGGTGATCTTTTGATGTCTGGCTCCAGTGATCTTTTGACTTCTGCCATCAGTGAATTCACTCCTGAAACTCCCGAATATGAGGCCTTTCTCAGAATCATTGCAAAGCAAGAATGCGATGATGTTCCGGATGTTGCTGCTGTTGTATGATCATTGACACTTACTTTTCATACTTGATTCTCACTCACTTTTGCTTCTTGTCTACTACTACCTATACATGTCCTAGTGTCTTGCTCCTCATGGCATTGTTTTTTTAGACTAACTCCAATTGTTGACTCATTTCTGCTCTTAATTCTTGAATGCGTCTTTCTGACTGGGCAGTCAACATCCGGCACCTTTCCAGAGGAGTCTGGACTTATGACCTGAAGCTGATCTCATATGTGAAAGGGTGTTCATATCCTGCGTGCTAATTGTGCAGAAGGCAAGGAGGAATGCGAAGGCAAAGGAGCAGGACTTGATATTGTCCAGACACAGGGTATGTTAAACCATAGGTGGTATTATTACTCCAGAGTCATTGTATGTGCTATCATGTTCCCTATTTCCACTGACTTCACCTTCTCATCTCAGGCTTAAATCCCACCATCCTCACTAATCTGCTTCACCACTTCAATGGCCGATCCAGGACATAAATCATTTCCACTCCCCTCTGAGCCTGCATCTGTGTCTATGGGGTATGCTGCAACTCCTTTACCTCCTTCACTGCCCTTGCTGCTGCCGCACTCTTTCCTACATGATCAAGGCTACAATTATGTAATCTATTTGAGTGCCAACTTAAAAAGCCAGGCCTAGGGTCCAGCTGGACCCCTGTGCAAACTGTGCCAAAAATATTTAATACTGATAAGCTCCTTCCTTAAGGTTATCAGTAAGACCCTGTATATGATTCATCTAAGCAGCTTATTGATCAGAGATTCAGCCTTTGGATTGGGTAGGCTTCCTTTTCTCATTTCACTCAAACAATGTGCTGAGCCAAAGTAGAGACAGTTATCCTCATGTGAGTACTCTCTTTAATATGTATCAAATGTAATGAAAATCCTCTCAGGTTCATGAAGAAGGAATTCAGCACACTTTCAGAGATCACTGTGTGCTGAAAGACTAGTTTGACTAGGTGTCCTACTGACAGTTTCCAGCTCTATGCTGCTATGCCTTTTGCTATCACTGCTGTTTTGTCTGATGTCTTCATTGCTTGTTCACTGTGCATTCTTCTCCATGGCAATCACAGTCCTGTTATTGAGTAGGTCTTAATCCCGCATTGTTGGCATTGCTGAGATTGATATTGACCATTAGCACTAACATGCTCATCAATACATTGATCATATATGCCATCAATCATTGTATACTGACTTTGTAAGTCTCTTGTCTGATAGACATGGGTGATGGTATTCAGCTCACTTCTTATCTTCTAGAGTCATTGCCATGGCTGAAGTTATCGCAGTAAGTTCAGGCAAACGAGGCAGGTCAATACTTTTGAAGCTAATATTTGTTTGCCACACAGTTTGCTATCATCCCAGGCAGTCTGTGGTTCATCGCAACAGATTTCATCATTGGAAAGTGTGAGTGTAAATCCACATATCTCAGGTGATAAGACATCTCACCCTTTTATTCTGTAGTATACACCAATTCCATCCTTGCATCCCTAAATAGCCGAAGTGCCCTATGAGGGCATGATCACACTCATGATGGCAGCACTACTTTCTGTGTCAATACCATCAACCTAACTGGTCTACAGTCCTCAAGTGACAGGGACAGCAGCGGAGGCATGCAGAGTAAAATGACAGCCAGCACTGTCTCCACTCATGCCCATGTAAAATTGGCTCCAGATGAAGATATTGCCCAGCTTAAGGTGAGTTATTGTTCTGCTTCTTCAGTTTATCCCATCAAATGACAACAGAAATGAAGATGGGTAACTTGGGCGAAGTCTGATGTTTGTGTTTTGCTGTGCATGATTGCAACATACTCCTTATCTATCAACCTAGCCCTAGAGTGCTTCATACTTTGCCATCATCATTATTATCACTCATCTTCATCTTCATCTTCATCATGGGATTCTTGTTGTTGACATCACTCTTACTACCATCTCATCTACTCTTGCTTGTATCTATGTATCTTGATACTCCCCAAAAATAAGCATATTTTCATTAATGATGTGTGATTGAACTGCTGTCGAGGAACCACGTCCGAGGCCTATTGCTTATAAACAAAATTTTAACTTATATCTAAACTATATATGGCTGCCAGCTGGCTTGAGCCGCCAGCCGTGGCTAAATTGGCCGAGCCGAGCCCTTGAATATGTAAGCTGTACCTCTGTAACGGCTTGGCCAGCCACATTTTAGTTTCGGCTAAAGCCGGGCTCGAAGCCGGCGCCGCGGCAACACTAGAACTTATAAGTACTTCGGACACATGCTAATAATGCTATGTATTCAAGTACTTGTTTGAGACTTTCTCTATTCCAAAATCTCCATTGCTCGAACGACAGTGAAATTTTTTGAGAAGCAAGCACGTTGATGGACTCAGCAAAAAACCACTAGTAACTCACGCGTCGTGCCATCAACCATACTGCACCGATGCGAAAGCAGAAACACAACTCACTGTAGTTCACTGTCGCGTGCCACTTACTCAATCCTACATTCCCAGACGACCTATCACGTTGGTGAGTCATGCGGTTAGAACCAGGACCCAAACAACTCATGCTCACAATGCCCCGAAACGTGTATGCCGACACGCATTTTTGCCCAGTGCAGCACTTTGAAGTGGTGCAATATGTGGGACAATAATTACTGGCGTCAGCCTCACTGGCAGATATTGATGCTGTTAAAGCAGCAATAACAGCGAGGACGAAGGAGAAACGCATTTTTTGTGAGGATCTGATAAGGGATCAAATAATTCTGAAGGGAAGGCAGGCAGGAAGATGGCTTGCTTTTATGTGCTGGATATTGTGCTGGCAGACCTCCATTGCGATGTAGCTTACGGAAAATATTCCGTCCGGCCGCACCTCAGTTCGTCAAGATCGTGAGTCATGACGTGGCAACTTCAATTACTAACTTCCAAACCTCCGATAGGGCCAGTAAGAGTCTGCAGTGGCTCAGTGCAGACCGAAAATGCAACCATGAGGCCCAGTAAATAGCGCCTATGATGGGAGGAGTCGCGACTTCTATATTGAAGCTTACAACGAGACAACAAAACTGCGTTGTAAGCACTTGAGTCATATGCTATATATTTGAGATTTCCTCTATTCCAAGATCTCCATTCCTCGAGCGGCAGTGAGAATTCTTCAGAAGCAAGCACATTGATCAACTCGGCAAAAAACCACTAGTAACTCATGCATCGTGTCATCAACCATCCTGCACCGATGCAAAAGCAGAAATACGACTCACTGTAGTTTACTGTCGCGACATGCCACTCAGTCATGCACACATTCCCAGATGGACTACCACACCGATGAGTCATGTGGTCAAATCCAGGACGCAACCACTCATACTCATTGTAGTACCCGCGTATACCGGAACACATTTTTGCCCAGCGCAGCACTCTACATTGAAGCAAGATAAGGGACATTCATCACCAAGACTGTCGATGGGACTGGCAGATATTGATGCTGTCAAAGCAGCAACAACGGCGAGGACGGAGGAGAAACGCATTGTTTGTGAGGATCTAATATGAGATCAAATAATCGAATAAATCTGAAGGCGACGGTAGAAAGATGGCTTGCTTTTATGTGCTGAATATCTGGCACAACTCCATGGCGAATTGGTGTTGTGGCTTACAGACAATATATGGTCCGACCGTAACTTAGTTCATCGACATCGTGGCGTGGCGCCCCCGACTACTACCACCAAATTGTCTCCGATAGGGTCAGTAAGAGCCTGGAACAAGATTAATGCATGCATTGACAGACAGAGATGCTGAAACACATTATATGTGTGAGGTTATTTGTCAACGAGAATCTTTCCGAGGTGGGGGGATGTTGAAGACGGCTCGCTTTTATACCCTGAAAATCGTGTTGTGGGCAGGACTCGAACGTTCTGCTCACATGGTGAGAATGTAGGCAAACCCTAGTAGAACTTGAGGGTCGGCGGATGAACACAAACCATAAAAATAAACACAGCCTGAGTACTGAATGAGGGAGAGGCATGTTGTAGCCAAGGCCGAGAGTTCATTCCGACGAAACCTACACCACTCGTTACAATAAGTTCAACTAGTCCACACGTCATGGAGCTCACGTGCACTAGTTGAAGACTTGCAGTCCTTTCCCTTGAAAACTCGCTTGCTCAGGGGGGAGCATGCATGCGAAGCGTTTTTTTGTCCATCGTTATTATGCAGCTTCTCTGGCGAGACATCCATACCCAAGAATTACGAGAGTTCTTAGGCCGGCAGTTGTTAGACATGCATATCCCGAAAGGGCACTGAAGACACAACTGTACATACTGGTACTAAGTATCCACGGAGTTGGTGTATCAGGGGGAAGTGGTGTTGGACGCGGCGTTCTCTACCAAGCACGGGAATACACGCTCCTTTCCTCGAGAGCTCGAAACGTTTGGAGTGGGAGGATCTCGTGTTGCATGGGCAGTTCCCATCTCAGGTTGATCAAAGACTTTGATTCCGCGCGTGGCATCGGCAAGGTAGTTCGTGCACCGTCATCAACAGACTCCTGTAACGTGACTTCCTTGAGTGGAGGTAGTCACCGATCGCGTTTTTGACTGTCTCGATGATATCGTAGTGGACGAGGAGAGGCTGTTGGTATTCACCTATGCGCACGTGAGGGTATTTTCCCCCTATTGCGCTAATGAAGATACATAACCATCTCTCTGAATAGGAGCAGACGGATGATCTATAATTGACATGTAATAGTCCGTGTCTCGCTGGAGTCATCAACGGGAGGATTAGTGGAGAGATTAAAAGGATGTTTGTGGCGGTTGGGTGAAGAATATACATTAAAGGAACCCTTTATATTTGAGGGTTGTCCCGTACTCCTTCACCCATTGCTCGTGAAGCACTGAAAGCGACCGGCCGAAAGTCTTCGTTTGTATGATATACAAACGAAGATCTTCGGTCGGCGATGATATTAAAACCTAAGTTGCCAACTAGTAGCGAACATTTGGACCAGGCATCGTGTGTTCTCGCTTGGGCAGTTCCATCAACCCTATTACAAGTGCGATGTAATGGAATCTGGCGATTCCTACTGGCTGCTGCTTGTATACATCCCGAAAGATTGTTGGTGTCATCGTCAAAAAGACTGATCTAGACTGTGTAAGACCACATCCACATCCACAGAAAAAAACAAATCACATGCGATCGTGTGTCCTGTTTAGGTACACCATGTGCAGTGGATGTGAGTGTGTTAGTTGGGGTTGGTGTGGGCGTGGGTGTTAGGAGGGTTGGGGAGGAGATTGGTAGGCTGTTAGAACTTTAGGGAGAGGGGTGAAGTGGGATGTGAACATACGTAGAGGAACCCTTTATATTTGAGGGTTGTCCCATACTCCGAGTTCACCCATTGCTCTAGAAGCACTGCCAGGTTCTCCTGGGAATTACCGATGAGGACGTGACGTGGTTAGTGTGATGGATCATACCGCGATGTAGATGTCCCTCGAATTCCCATATATCCGGCTTATTCCTTTGGGGCCTGGCATCGCGCGCAGGGGCGACGTTATATTGCGCTAGATTCACCTAGCTTCCAGCGTTCGAAGGCAATATGTGCAGAACTTCCCGAGAGCGAGAGGAATGACCATGGAGTAAAGGTGATCTTTATCCCATCCTATCAGCGCCTGCTTCAAGTCTGCTCGAGGTTAATGAGATGGGTATCGTTACTGCTCCGGCAAGACACGCGCGCGTCCGTAGTATTAATCGACGCACGGGAATACCCGCGATAGTTTCGAAGATATGAGAGATGACACGGCTTCGCATCGTGCAAAAGCTGGTAGCCGATACGAATCTCGTCTCTTGGGCGTTATCTGTCTTGCGATTGCGATCAGAAGGCTGGGCTTGATGCGATCAACGACAATTCACTGTCACTGCGCAGCATATGATGAACGTTAATTCACGATCCATCGGAGCAATGGAATCCACACATTAAATAAGGATGGGCAGGATGCTCGTCTGCTGAGTAACAGAAAAATAAGTGAGAATGCTCGATTACATAAGTTCGTTTGGTGTCGAGGTTACGTTTAGGACATCGAACTGGAAGTTGAAACCTACTATATGATACTCTTTGGTGCTGCGAGAAAGTTCCTTGGGCTAAGAACGTACCTGCAAGCCCGATGACGTCTAACGTCACTGTACTCGGCCAGGGCATGATATCTATTCGTGGGCCTTTACTCTTTCACCCATGCATTGGTTGTGAAGTAGTGGGTTCTCCTGTGGAATTCCAATGAGGACAGGGTGATAATTACTAGTGTAATATATCACTGTACCGCGATGTAGATATCCCTCGAGTTCCCAGAGGAAAGAGGCAGATCGCCATCCCACCACCCCATAGCACCTGCTTCAAGTCTGCCCGAGGCGAATGATCATCGTTGCTATATAGCCACTCCGGCGAGACACGAAGGCAGGCGGTTCTCATGTAAGTCAGCCTCGCCGGAGGGTCACTATTACTGAGCACACAGCTGTACGTACTTCTATCCACGGAGATTGTGTACACGTATCTTGTTACCACAGTACTAAGGACTTGGAAGTTGATAAGATGGAAAGTGGAGCCGGAACACAGCGTCCTCTAGTATGTATTGTGCCGCATCTTCCCGCATGTGTGGCAAAGGTGACCGTCAAGAAGATGCAGCAATACCCGTGGTAGATCTGAGTCATATTTCTATTAATCTCTAAGAGTCTGTCGAGGCCGCATTGGAGAGAGACTCCTATGAGTGGACGTAATATGAAGAAGTCGGATCGCACCTTGAACTATTAGGATACCTGAAAGTTAAATAGTGTTAGACTGCTGTGAGAAAAGAGTAGGCACGCTGGCACAACGCACCTTCGCCTAAAACGCTAACTATGTGATATCGGAGGTGTGACGGTTTGTGGTAATCGCTGTTATGGTAAGAACGTGGTTTAGTGCACGGGGGTCCATCGTGAACGTTTGAACAATAGGGCTGACTGATAGAACCTCCTGCGAATTTGCGATAAGGACATGACTGCCCAGTGTGATGGATCATACCGCGATGGAGATGTTCCTCGAGTCCCCATATATCCAGTTCGTTCCTTTGGGGCCGGGTAATGGATTGCGCCGGATTCGTTTCCAACATCCAAAGGCAAGGAGTGCGGAACTTGCTGAGAGGACGAGGTTCCGAAGGAGAGGAGTAACCAGCTGGGAGGTAGATGGGGTTTTAACCGTAATAGCGCCTGCTTCAAGTCCGCTCTCGGCATGCATAAGGGTAGTTTCCACGCTTGGGTAACTTCTAACTATCCACGGACTTTGTGCATACGCCTCTTCTAACCTGAACTGCAGTAAGGACTTGCCAGTTCTGAGGGGAAATTCCAGGATTTGGAACGTGGCGTTCTCGGTGGTCGTCAAGATTAATCTGCTGCACGGGAATACCCGCGGTAGCTTTGACACGTCTAAACTCTGAGTTTTATGGGGTTGGACAATCGCAATGGAGTATTACCTCTATGAGCGTGTAAGCTAGGAACACGGAAGATACGTCGTACTGATCTATGCTTTGCAGCACGCAACTTGTTCCCGTTGCGTTGGCAAGATGCATGATGCAATTTCCAGCACTGTGTAGCTAGTGCAAACAATATTTGCATGCAGTAATCTAGTTACTGACCCTATCGGAGGCAATTTGGTAGTGGTAAGATAGACTTCATGCAAACTCATCGACATCACATGACGTGACATCATCTTCAGTGACCTTGGGTGACTTCGTGTTGTAAACAACTGCAACAGAGCAAGGTAGCTCCTAGTATGAAGCTATACTGATGTGTTGCAGTGTATGTATAGTATTCATGAGTGTCTTGGAGCTGTCTTGAGTGGAACCTGCACGCAAACCATTTGTTTGGGCAACCAAACCCGGTGACCTCCACCAAACCTCATTATCGTTTCAGGCAAAACTCTATGTCCGCGGTATTTCTTCGACGGCGCTACCTGCCTGCCTGCCATTGAGACATTTTCTGTAAGCATCAATAAATCTCAGTGAACGGGTGGAGAATCTGGAGACCCCATCATATGGTATGTTGTCAACAACGAACATGACTCGGCGGATGCAAGATTCACGATTCACTGGTTAATGACTACGAGTGGGATGGAATCCAAAGCCATCAAGATCGATTTCTTTTGATGATGCGGGAAGTTCGTGATAAATTCTTTTCGAGTGTCCCCCAGCACTAGCCTAGGATCTATGAAATTAAGCCCACAGTGAAATCTAGGCAAGAAATTGCTTGAAAGCTACGGGCTTCGCAAGTAGTCTCCAGCAAGGACTTGACATGCATGAATTTGGGCTCATTATAGAGCATTCTTCGACAAAAACAACGAACGGCCCCCTTCTCGCACCGAAACCTGGGGATTCTGCCTAAATCTCCAAAGCTCCTTCACTATGGCATTGTCACGCTGCACATGCACAACTTGAGATTCGGGTGGTACGTCGATCACTGAATGACTACTAGTCACTCAAAAATGCGAATTAAGAGAATCCGTTCCAGTTGATTGTCCGGACAATTCACTGGAACGGATTAGCCTAAAAGGATTTAGTTGAGGTTGCCACATCAAGAGCTTGAAGAACTAAGGTATGGTCGGACCGTATATTTTCCGTAAACTACATCACCAATTCGCCATGGAGTTCTGCCAGCACAATATTCAGCACATAAAAGCAAGCCGTCTTGCTACCGTCCCCTTCAGATTTATTCCATCCCATATCACACCCTCATAAACCGTTAATGCATTTCTCCTTCGTCCTCACCTTTGTTGCTGCTTTGACAGCGTCAATATCTGCCAGTCCCATCAGTAACAGCCTCGGTCAAGATTGTCCCTTCTTTTGCTTCGAGAATCATAATGAGTGCTGCCCTGGTCAGATATGCATATCGCTATACTTGGGTACTTCAGTGAGTATAAGTGATTTGCGTCCTGGATTTGACCATATGACTCACCGGCGTGGTAGTCTGCCTGGGAATGCCATATACTCAGCTGAGTGGTGGCATGTCGCGACAGTGAACTGCAGTGAGTCGTATTTCTGCTTTCGCATCGGTGCAGGATGGTTGATGGCATGACGCGTGACTTACTAGTGATTTTTTGCTCAATGGATCAACGTGCTTGTTTCTGAACAAATTTCATGGTTGCTCGAGCGATGGAGATCTTTGAATCACAAACGCTTGAATACATAGAATATGACTGAAGTACTTACGATGCAGTTTTGTAGTCTCGTTGTAAGCTTGAACATAGAAACCCTCGATGACACCACGCCTCCTCCTGTCATAGATGATATACCCAGGTTGTTCCATTGGGGCCTGGTAATGTCCAACATGCGAAGGCAAGGAGTGCAGAGCTTTTTGAGAGAATAAGGAAAGGAGTGAGGCATATCGAGTTGGTCTTTATCCCATCTGATCTAGAATCTTGATAGCGCCTACTTCACTAAGTCCGCTCGCGTTTATATCGAATGCCCATCGTTATTAGACTCATAACCAGTCTGGACTCCGACTTGTCCGTGGTAGTATACGCCGGGCTGGTCACAAGCCTACATCATTACTGCAGCCCCTCCGGCGAGACAGGCATGCATCCATAAATAATATCATGAAAATAACACAGTGGCGGTTTCGGATTTTTCCCCCATGCAAGATTCGAATTGAAATGTGATCAATAAACTAGCGATTCTCACTTACAATTTTGACATTCCCACTAGTGTTGCTGCGAATTGAACCGAATCGAAACGAGGTGGGAGTTCGTTCCAGGTTCGATGGTCGAGGTGGAACGAACCGAAGTGTAACAAATACGGCTCAAAGCTCCAGCCAATGAGAATTGTTTGTAAAGTGAAGTAGATATGAAGTGGCTATGTTTCATTGTACGATATCGTCGTCGACATTTTGTAATAGATCAGCAAGCTCATCAAACTTCCCCGTAACTATCAATTCCTCTGCAGCCCTTCGTGTCACAGACCCCGAAATCTTGTAGTCATCCTCTTTTGCAATCAAATCACTAGTGAAACATAATCTCTCCTGTCTGTAAGAAAACTTGAGAATCTGGAGTGCTTCCATTACTCGTGGTGAGAGTCTGCTTCGACTGAGTGTGCAGGTTTCTTTTCTGGATGAAAATACACGTACACACGGCACAGAGGATGCCTGAGCTGGCAGGACATCCATAGCAACGCAGAAAAGTAGTGGATAGACTTTTTTCATGCGCTGAAATTGACTTTAGTGCCTTCCTTATGTGAAGGAAAAGTCGAGCTCACCTCCCAGAAGTGAACGAGATCAGTCACGCGCTCGCTCGCATTGAACGTGACTGGTTCACGCTCATAACGCTCAAGCTCACGCAGGGCATCTTTTCGGTCCTCTTCGAGTGCCTTAGCATGCTGTGCGATCTTGTGTTTCTTCGCGCGGGATTTCGGTCCTGTCGCAGCCGCGTTTTTGCGTTTTCTCGTAGTAGTAGTAGTTGGAGCGATATTATTGACAGCCGTAGGAGTGATGTCGGCAAATGGATTTGACAGTGTAAAGCTTGCTGCAGCTGGTGAATAAGGGGCTGGCACAAAGTGATGCATGTTTGCCAATGCATTTGCGACAGGCAATGGATGTGGGAGATGCGGAGATGCAGAAGTGTTGTTTGGGAGCCCATATGGTGTGTGAGGGTAAAATGGTGGACGTGCATGAGTGGCGGACCATGCCAGACTTGTATAGCCTGGGTGAGGGTGATGATGCTGTTGCTGAGATGTCGAAGGGATAGCAGAAGTTGCAGAACTGTTCCACTAGTGAAAACTCATGTTTTGGGAATATAATACTAAACTCACAGTACGACGCACGAATTTATATGATGATCTATACATCCGTCGCCTAACCACACTTGAGGATTGCTCTACATTTGTATTGTACAGCATTGCAGGCGCCTGTCCTCCTGCGCTAAAGCAGTACTACGGTCCGACGAAAATACGTATAATGATGTTCTACACCAAAAGGTTCGAAGACGGACAACGGAGGAGCAGAGTACATTGAGGAAATGCTAGAGATGTGAGGCTGCTGGAGTACTACTCTAACGAATCACCAAGTCACAGGCCAGATTTAGCATTTCATTTGGCAGTTCGTTCCTAATTCGATGCTTATCTACAACGAGGCGTAAACGAATCGAGTTGTGTCGAACTGCCTCAATTTCGAACCGAACCGAAGTTACCTCGAGGTCACCTTGGTTCGACGGCAACACTATTTGGTGATGTTACGTGTTACTTTGTCATACGGGTAGAATAGGATGAAGACATAAGTCTGAAACCAAAAACATATGTGTGGTTCGGCCAATGTCACTCTACCTTGCGATGTCATTCTGCATGCGTCACTCTGTGCTCGTACCTGGCTCCTCAACGGCTTGTTCGGACTTCAACATTAGGCATCAAAAAGACTGCGATGATCCGTTTGCAACATAAAGTGGACAAACTTGTTTCTTGCTCCAGTTATGTTCGATATTTTTAATGACAAGATAACAAAGCAGAAATAACGGTATTCGGTAGAACTGTGCTCTAAGTTTGTAGGATTGTGCATAGAAGGTTCCTATAAATTTCATTACATGAATTGATCATTTCAATTGCCTATATTATACTGATTACTGAAATTGCGTACATTACCGGAGTGTGCATAGCATGGTCCATTTTTTCACGGGGCAGTGATGACCATCTCGGATCGTTCGGAGTCTAACAAACAAGTGCGGGGAAATAGTATCGATTACACGGCGCATGCTCCCCCCTCCACAGACTCGAGTTCCTTGGTCGACGGCCGATCGTGATTCACTATTCCGTATGCCGATGTATCGTCTCTGTACGTGAGCTGGGATACATGCACTTCCAAAGTCTTCATAACATATTACCGCGAGATTCCTCCCGCTGTCCCACCAGTCATCCCTCCACGGGTCGAGAGGTAATTGTGAATTTTCTTGTTGATTGCAATGCGGATGATCACCATGTAGAAGGTAATTGAGATAATCGGCATGATCTAATTAGCCAAAGCTCAGTAATGTTCGATAACAGGCGTTAACGACGAAAATCACCATGTCTAGTATAACATACTGTCCGTTGTTCCATTCAATGAAACACACTAGTGCCGAGAGCAGCGCCACGGAGTACAAAACGGCGGCATCCACGAGCACGCGCAGTATCGGCATCATACTGCCCTTCGTAACGCGAATTGCAGAGACATTGCGTTCGACCATCCAGATGCGATATGCCAGAAGTCCTGGACAAACTAGTATTGGGCCCCGACGTTGTGCTCAGGCAGAAGCATGCTTACCCGAAGTCGATAAACCAGTTGCAAGTGTCAAGGCGTAGAATGTTGTGATCCATTAACCAGTTGCTTTAGCGAAGATATTTCCGGCCTCACTAGTCGCTTGTGAAATGCTATGGACCGCAAAAAAGACAGACACTTCGATAGAACATCAGACGAATAACTTCCTGGGCACGATTACGACCTGACCTGTGCTATCGAACTACAGCACGCTTGGGATGATGATAATCAAGATAGATTTCCAAAGGACTTTTCATAAGCCAAGACAGTTGCAAGCTTGCAGTTAAAAAATAGAAACCACCACCATCCCATCGCATGACGGGGAAATTGGCCGTGCAAAGTTCCAGTGACGCGGGATCACCTAAGGTGTTTCAAGCGACAGAACTAAGTCACAGTCGGACCGTCTGTATAACCGTTCATGAACTAAGGAAGATCTCAGGAACATGCGAGGAAGGATCAATTATGTTTACCGTAAGATAAGTTCTTCCTACATCGCCGTGAAGTTCTGCCAGAACAATCTGAATATTCAGGAATTAGCACATAAAAGCAATCCGTCCTCCTACTATTCCCTTCAGATTTATCTGATCCCACATCACATCCTTACAAACAATGCATTGCTCCTTCATGCTCGCCGTCATTGCTGCTTTGACGGTGTCAATAGCAGCCATGCCCTTTGACATCCGCAGTGAAGATGATAAATGTCCCGACTATTGCACGTATCTCAACTGCTGCCCTAAGCATGTATGCGTGGCGGGAATGCCAGAACATAATGAAGTGTGTATAAGTAGTTTGCGTTTTGGATTTAACCCATATGACTCATCGGCGTGGTAGGAGCTCGTCTGGGTATGTGCGTATCCGTCGTGAGTGGCATGTCGCGACGGTGAACTACAGTCAGTCAGTGTTCCTGCTTTCGCATCGGTGCAATATGGTTAATGGCACGACGCATTACTTACTAGTGGTTTCTTGCCAAGTTGTTTAACGTGCTTGCTTCTGAATTTCACTGCCGCTCGAGCGATGGAGGATCTTGGAATAGAGGAAATCTGAAATACTGGGATACATGACATGTGGCTGGAGTACTTACGACAGAGTTTTGTAGTCTCGTTGTGAGCTTGATCATAGAAGCCATCGATGACACCACGACTCCTTCCGTCATAGACTAGGCCCCATGGATGCATTTTTGGTCTGTACTGAGCTACTGGGGTTTATCACGACCCCATTAGATGGTGGAAATTCACTGTCGAATTGCGAAGATCCAGAAACGGCACTTGTGACTTGTGGGAGTAGGTCATGACTCGATTCGAGTTATAAGGGAGGAGTCGGATCCAACAGACCTACTAGCTTCGATGTCCTCGAGATCAGTGATAATATCTGAGGTGATCGGATTCAGAATGATACATACGTTCCGATGTGCCACTGGGGTAGTTTCAACTACGTATCGAGTTAGTTCTGCCTAGGAAAGGTTGGGGATACTTTATGCCGTATCTGGATTCTAAAAAGGAATATCCCCTCGGAGCTCTCAGCTGGATTCAATCACAGATTCGGAACGATGGCACACGCGCACTTGCAAAATCATTATAACTTCCTCGTCCCAAATATCTCCCAAACAGAACCTCTTCCATCCCACTTGAAAATGATTCGCGACTCCACGTAAGCCTTCTGACGAAGATAGACGTCGGCTGGGACCGGCCCATCAAGTTCTGCGTCTCGGAGTTTAAGCCGCGGGCGTTCCAGAACCCAGCGTGTGCTATATACGTTATATGCGGTTAGTGTTTCAGAGCTTCGATAATCGATTATTGGGGGGATCTACCCGTGCCAAGCTCGATCGACGAAAAGCATCAATCGAGGTCGGCACGCGACGATACCTTTGATGAAACCAAAACATGCGGCATACGCACCTTTGCAGATCAATTGACGGTGGGATCTACCCGTGCCAAGTTCGAGCGATGTGGATAGTACACTAGGCAAAACGCGCCACGCGATGATACCTTCGACGAAACCAAAAGATGCGGTATAGGCACCACTGGAGATCAGCCGATATACGCTGGTCCTGTAGGGATCGAGATCAATAATGATATCTGAGGTGATCAGATTCAGAATGACACTCACCTTCCATCCATCTGTGGCGCAATTAGGGTGGTTTCAGTTTGGCAGTGTGCCGGCTGCAGAACTTCAGATTATGACGCGATGGGGGATTTACCCTATGCCAAGTTCCAATGACGCGGTTCACATTTCATCCCGGACTTCGCACGCGATCATCCCTTCGAAAACATGTGCCATACGTACCACTGCATATCAGCCAGCATAGTATACGTGACGGGGGATCCGCCCGTGCCAAGTTCTAGTGACGCAGGGTCCGTCACCACCTCAGTAGGCACGCGATCTTGACAGAACATGTGGCGTACACACCACTGCATATCAGCCGACATATGCTGGATCGAGATTAACATGATATTTGGGGTGATCAGAATCAGAATAACACACGTTCCAAAATCTGTAGCGCCACTGGGGTAGGTGGTGTGGCAGCTGAGCCTGTGGATCCTTGGACGAGCGGCGACGCCACGAAGGATGTGGACTGGGGGATCTGGGGTGCGATTCATTATGGGGCCGCGGGGTGGAGGTGGTGCGAAGGAGACATGACTCTGAGCGAGTGATCGAGGGTATCGGGAATTGCGGCCTGGGTCGGGTGCTGTTAGCTATTTTTATAAAGTTGACGAGTTGAAGGTATGGGGTTTGCTCGACGTACTATTTTTGGCTGACTGAGATAAGTTCATGTGCCCAAGTTAACCGACGGCTCGGGGATGCGTTCCGATCTGTGGCGCTACTGGGGTAGTTTAAATCTAGAGATGTGGCGGCTGTGGATCATCGAGGCGGCGGCGGCGCCACGAAGGACTGGGAGATCTGTGATGCGATTCATTGTGCTCTGCCGCGAGGTGGAGGTGGCGCATTAGGAGACGTACATTGGGAATGAGCGAGTCAGCTAAAAATATCGAGAAGGGCTCGTTAGTTTGGGCATTAGGGGTTCGAACTGACAGACGTGGATACTAATTTTGGCCGATTGATCTTTAAGAGACGATTTCAAGCCATCCGGCGGATAGAGGATGCGAATAAGGACTAGCGATGAACGTTGATTGTCAGGTGATATAAGGAGTAACGGGCGAGGGAAGAGTCGATGACGCTATGCTGGCGAATGTGCGTCCCCAAATACGATACGTGTCATGACCGCTACGAACGTTATGGTGGTGATAAGATAGGCGCAGTACGCGGAAATGAATTGTCGCCCGTGTAGGTCGGTGAGGATGTTGGGGGTAAAGCGTTCCATAGACACGGATGAGGCTGAGGAATGACGCGCCCTGTTAAAAGGTGGTGATAAGAGCAACGTCTCGCCGCATGAGACGCGAAAATACGGTGACTGAAGGCGGCGTATCGTGGAACCGACGATGCAGCGCGACCAACTGCGAAGATCGAGATCACGTGAGGAGAGAGGGTAGGAGGAGCTGAAGTGAGGGCTGAAAGGTTGAAAGAGAGTATATAAAGCGGAAGTGGTGGGTGCGCCAGGAGCGGGGATGGACGGGGAATAAGATAATTTTATTTCAGATTGATATTGAAAAAAGACGTTATCAGGAGGATCATCGTTAGGCACGGTGTCATGAAGCATGTGGTCGAACGAAAATTTAATCATGTCAATGTTGGATGACAGCGAAGACGCACACAGCACGGATCAGATAGAACCTCTACTTGTTGAAATTTGTACAGTGTTACTTGGCAGTGCAAGACATACGTCGTTGTTTTGCACAGATTATTTGAGAGTATTGTGTACCGGGGGCTGTGAGCTTAGAAGGTGCCGAGACCGAGTGATTTGAAGAAGGATGACCGGTTAGTGAGGGAAGCCCGGAGCCGCGGGAGCAAATTAGGATGTATTCGGTTGGCGGCAGTTAATTATCGAGCGTCTTGCTGTTACGGGAGTAGACTAGTTAAATAAGGAGCGGCGGCCATGTGTAAGGTCGACATCGTTTCCTCCTCGTTCGAAGTAACAAGATCACTTTAGAATGCGCGTTCTGCAACTCGTTTGCTGAACGTTCTTCATTATACGAGTCCTTCAAGAACTCGGAGATTCGCAATCCGGCGAACTTGGTTAGAAGAAACGCACGCTGCAGGAAGAAGCTACCTTCAAGGACAACTACTGGATTTACTCTAGATTGTATTCATAACATCTAACCTGGCGATACGACTTATACGATAATTGGGGTAGACTTGGGGTATACAACACTTGGCTAAATCAAAAGTCGGGATGGTAAACCGCCGGACACCAACTGATGGCGATCAAAGTCAATCCGCACTCACTTCCTCCGGTTGTAAGTTAATCTATCTTTCACTTACTAACACCTTACCTTCTCTGCTTACTTCACGTCATCCCCTAGCGAGCGAACAACTAGTACAAGATACCCAACCCCGCACACAAGCACATCCCCTTTCTTCTTCTTCTGCTTCTTTTCACCAACCAACACCCGCAACTACAGACAACCACCAGTGGTTTCCACCCTCACAGCAGATGATCGTCCCCAGCTCTTCCTTTTATGACCCTGCTCAAGCCTCGGGATTTCCAACCCAGCAACCTATGAACGTTTGGAATGCACAATTCACAGGTCCAGGCATTCCAGGCGGCGAATACTATCCCAGACAAGAACAGTCCTACCAGCAACCCTATGCTTTCGAAGGCCCTACCTCGACCCAGTATTCTTTTGTTCAGCCTCAGACACAGGGGCAAGTTCAGCAACAACAGCAACAGCAGCGGCGCCCCACTATTCCCGCTTCACGGCGGTCGGCACGTGGTGGTGCTAGAGCTTCTGCGTACTATAGGCAAGGCGGCGCGCAAAGTCAGGTGAGCTTTCGATTCTCCTTTTCACGTGATTTGCTATTTCGAACCTCTTGAGACTCTGACCATTAGCTCGAGGTGTATCCTTTACCTTTTCCGTTTACTTTCATTCTTCTCCTTATCTATATCTTGACTTTATCCATGCCATATTTCCTCCCTTTTCAATCCTCCTTTCTTGTTCCTACTCTAACCGATGTACTTCTTCCAGCAACTCCAATACCCTACCCTCCCTCCGGTTCAAGCCCCCGTACCACCCCACCCTCCTTCCCCTCCTCAACCCCAACCAGCTCAACCGACAGGCCAAGCCCTCGCCGCACAGCGTACAAGCCAATTAATCGCTCAAGGCCAATTCCCACCAGTGCAGGCCGAACAGCATCAGCAGTACACCTGCTCAGGGGACACTACACGACCCCTCCACCTCCAACTCAGACACAGTTTCAGATCCAGCAAACCCCGTTCCCGCCTTCGCAGACGAGGGCTCAGAGTCAGTTTGCGCATGTGCAGCCGGTTGTCCCATCACAAGCACATACGCACGCGCATTCGCAGCATCATTCTCATGTCCAGACGCATACCCAACCTCATCCTCAAGCTCATCCTCATGTCCAGACGCATACCCAACCTCATCCTCAAGCTCATCCTCATGTCCAAGCGCATACTCAATCTCACGTCCAAGTTCAAGTTTATCCTCACGCACAAGCAACGAATGCACCTCAGCAGTCTCAGCATTACTCATCCTCAGACTCGTATTATATGGCGAGCGACGTACAAGGCATTTATTATGCGATAAATCCTCAGGGGAGTCAGAGTTTGCCTAGTCTTGTGAGTTTTCTTGCTACCTTTTTAATCTTTTTTCGGGGTTTGTTTTGGGGTACCTCGATGGGGTTGGACGGCGTACGTGGATGTGAATATATGCGCCCGTTATCTACTTTTCCTTATTCTCATCTTGTCTCGAATCGCGCTAATGATCAAATGTTTTCCCTTCCCCTATGTTTCGTGCCTTCTTCTCATCTTTGATCTGATGACGAAACATTTCACGTTCTCCTCATCATGCCCGCTACTCGCCGAATCCCGATCCCCTCATCATACCTGCCTCCCGTTTTTGATTCCAATGCAATACGAAACGGAACAATCCGACACGTTCTCTTCTCATACTCCGTCGACTTGCGATCACCGCTCTAAACTTTCTTTTCCATCACGCTCCAAACTTACGATCACCACTTCAAACCCAATCTTCTTTCCCGCTCCAACTTCATTTCCATCACGCCCAAAACTTCTTCCCTCTACCACGCACCAACTTATCCCAAACCGATTGACAGCCCGTACCTGTGCCCATACCAGTGCCGGCGCCCCATGCGCACTCAATGTCTCCTCATTCACCCTTTACGACTTTTGGACCTCATACGCCGCCTGCGAATTCGCTTACGCCTTCTAGTGATGGGGGTGAGTCGTTTTTCTGTTGTTGGTTTTTTCGTCTATTCGTCTATTCGTTGTTGTTCTTTTTGTTGTCGGTTTGTTGGGTGGGGTTTTTGGTGTTTGGATTGGGGTTTCGTTATTCGGCTTGGGTCTTGCGTTTCTCGATTCTCGATGGCGAGCGTTTTCTTCGAGCTTGGATTGTCTTTTGCTTAATCGCTCCGCGAAGCACGCGTGGAGTTATGAGCGTGCGGATTGCGTGTGCCCGAACACGTGATGTCATGTTTATTGGCCGCGCGCTGTTCAAGTGGTTGATTGTAGACGGAGCTCTTGACACATCTATGTCACGAGATGAACGTTTAACTTCATAATGAGGAACGGAGGACACGTTCCCGATTTCGTTTTGGTGCGGGGTCAATGTTCAACGTTTGGGGCTTCATCATGGTATATTACATGATGAGGCATTGCGAGCTCCTTTTGGATGCACTGAGCCCTGGCACTCGTATTACCTTCGAATTGGCGTGCGGCGTGGGCCGTGGTGCGGGTCATCGTTCTACGCGTTACATAGCCGCGCTGACGTCAAGTCTATTGGCCACATGCTGCTCAGGCGATTGATGGGACACTGCGGAGGTCACGTTCTCTCAATTGCGGGGTTAATGTTTAGAGTTTCATCATGGTATATTACATGATGAGCTTCTTTTGGATTCTTGGCCCAGCACTCGCAATACCTTCGAATTTACATGTGACAATGGATCCGATGCGGGCCATCATGACACATGCGTCCTGTATGAGGCCGCGCTGACGGCGCTAACTGATTACATCATGACCGGTCTGTGATTTGGACCCAACCTAGCGCCCCAGCATAATTAATTCATGGTACCACTTTGTACTTTCCTGTTGTCACATTTCCTTGCTGTCATATCCCTTTACTACCACCTATCGCGCGGTTCCGTAGCGCAGCATGTTGATACTCCTCTCCAATCGCTTCTTCTCCCTTTCACACAAGTTCTGACTCTGCCCCTCACCCAAATAGGTCCCATGCTCGGACTCCCGCGCCCACACGATTCCGTCTCCCCAGCGTCGTACGCGAGCCGCCCTACGTCGTCCTCATTCGAGGATTCGTCTGCGGGACTCCCAGCATCGTCTGCGAACCCGGGTACTAATGTGCATATGACTACACAGCCAATGGGACATACTGCCAGTTCGTCGATGTCAACTGTTACCCCTGGATCGCCACCAATCGCAGCAACGCCACAACAGCAACGTGTGCCGATGCCCCAGCGCCGTATCATGCCAATTGCCTCACAGACAACGACGATGACGACGGCTCAGGCAGGTCCTGCACGCCCTCCAGTCCTACCAAAGCCGCCCGCCCCTCGCCCTGCGCCAAACCGAAGACGCGCTCCGAAGCGAGCAAGGCCATCGACATCTCAAGGCGGGGGTGGGGGCGGAGACAGTGACGATGATAGTGATGATGATGATATAGTAGAATGGGGTGGCCCATCTGCACCTGCGCAAGGCGCGGCTACAGGGATGCCGGGTCAACGCAAGTGAGTGAACTCGTAGTTTGACGAGTTGGGAATAGTGTGCTGATCGGGCTGTGTTTCTATTCCTTTTATGTTTATTTCTTTACCTGGTTTTGTGGACGCGTCTTTCACGTGTCGTGTATTATCCGGGGTCGTGTTTCTGCAAATGGTTTGGTTTGGTGTGCTAACTGGATTTGTTTGTGTCGGCGCAATGGTCCCTGGTTTGATCTTGTGCTGCATGCTCGATACTGCTGGCTCTGGCGATTGCTCCTGGGTTGTGTCGATTATTGGCTCCGATACTAACTAACCAACTCGATCGCTGGGTGTGGCCTACATTGGATCCGTTTCCATGTTTCTGGTGACTCTTCAACGGTGTTGCTGCGGACGAACCTACCCAAACAACCTTGATGCACGCATGATATTGTATGCTGGATGCAACCTTGCTTCCTGTCTTGCGCTGCTCTACGTCCTTATATCGTGATCCTGGTGCTGGTTCTGGTCTGGTTTCGTTTTCTTCACACACAATCTCCGCTGACGTCGGTCACTTGTCAAACTTGGGTTCAATTACTTGTGATCATTCTCCATGGACCTTGGCATCTTTCATCTGCGTTTGCTTATCCCGGTACTTTCCGCTTACTCGAAAATCGTCGGTTCATGATGATGTGATGCTATCTCTCATTTTTTTCATGTCGGTCTTGGATGCGCGCTTACCGGACGTGCGTTGGCTTTCACTTTCATTCTTTTTTGTTGATGTTCCTACCTTTTCGGCGGATTCATTCCGACCCTTTGCTGCGTTTTTTCTGCCTGTGGTGGTAAATTTTCCTTCCACATTCCAACCCTTTGCTACGTTTTTATCTCCCTTGTGCAACGTATGGCATGGCCCTTCGATTTCTTACCACCGCGGATATCTTACTGCTAAAACTTTGATACAACCTTGTTCAATTGACGCCTGCAACCTAAACCGGCTATTCGGGCATTGCTCCTGTACCGACTTCCCGACTCCGGCTACCTTTTCAATCTTTCCGCTCCGGCTACATCTGTCACCGACGCTAAACTTGGCCGCCGACTCGTCCTTGCCGCGCCTTCTTTCACTGCCGACTCGATGCCTTGGCTCAACTTGCTCTGGTTCCGTGCCCCGCCTCTCACCTTTATGATTCTACCGGTCTGACAACCTCTCAATTTCTCCTGCGACCCTGTCCACGCACGTTCTACACGCATTCGTCGCCTTGCTTTTTCGCATCTCTATATGGTGTCTTTGGACTTGAACTCTCCTGGGATGATTGCCTCGTGAAAATACACGTGCCGATCATGATGATGTCTTTCCTTGCCTCACGAACCTGTTTTTCGTCCGGCACTGGTTTGTCGCGTGTTGTCATCTTTCGGCTCGGCGATACTTGTCCCGCCAACCACTACGTATTTTTACCTCCTTCCATCGTTTCCCCGACTTCGCGCTCTCACGAACGCCACAACAGAACGGGGGCATGTACACATTGCAAACGTCTGAAGGTACGTTATCTTCCTCTTCCCTGCACTTCCTTCCCATATACTGTGATGCTACGATCTGAATGCTTACCAAATCCTCGTTTTCTTCTCCTATTCACTGATGAATTGATAACATTGCAATCTACGACATGATGCATTTGGTCATGATCTCATGCTGTCTCCGGTGCCCTTTTGCTCCGAACATCCCTCAACGTTGACATCTGCCTCGACGGAAACTCGTGCCTTTACTCTCTACCCCCTTTTGGACTGACGCTTCCTTTGTGGGCTTTGCACGGCGTCTTCATTGCTACTGCAACTGACATCTCTTAACCTCCGGTGTTGGCTCGTACATCATTCACACCTGTGGTCTTCCATCCATATCATCTATTATGTTCATCTCCTATTTTGCTATTCGGTTCCGCCGATATCGTTCCACTCGGCACGACTCAAATGTGCGAACATATGTACCCCGCACCCCCGTGCGCCGTAATACCGGCTCCTGGACCCTTTAATTCTCGGAATTTGACTCTTTCCATCTAAAATGGGCTGCACTCCTCGTTTGGTATTCCTCTGATTACGACTGACTTCATTTCGATGATTGGCACATACCTGTTCGATCTCTACAACATCGGTTTGCTGTTTTATTCGTTTCCGGTCGACACCACAGATGAAATGCGACTTTCCGGATGGGGCCAGCACTTGCAAGCGTTGTGCAACCGGAGGGCATCCATGCATCGTAGAGGGTCGTAAACCTAGGACAGCACCAAAGTAAGTCCCTGATTCGTGCTTCTGACTTCAATGCGACGATCATCATCCTTCATTTCGGATGTCGTAACTTTCCTTTTTTTGGAACCGGGGGATGTATATACACCGATTTTTTTTTGTGCCCTTGTCTCGGCATTGGCTGGCCTTCCCGCTAAGTCAAATGGGATACGAGAGCCGTGAACCCAAGCGTATTTTCAGACCTGGGCCGGCCTCGAGACTCATCATTCAATTCAATTCAATTCAATCTTCTTCATTCACTCGGTCATTTTCTCCGTTCCTTCTTTCACGCCTTCCGTTTCCGCTATGCTTCATTCGTCATTCATACTTCGGAGCAAGCAAGTGCATGTCGTACTAGTCTTGCGTTGGGTTTGTAGATCATCGCATTTGTCCTGGTGCTACTTAAAGCTCGTTGCTTTTGGTGCCAATTCTCATCCCCACTGTTGTGTTCGTTGACTGTTATTCACATGCCCCGTTCGCGGTCTTCATCTATTGACTCTTCTACTTCGTCTTCGTCTGCTTCATCTTCTGCTACTATGTCGTCCACGATGTCGCATTACTCATATAATCCTCCCCGTGTTAGCAAACGGGAGTATCTCTTGGCTCAGATCCGTCACAAAGATCAGATCATAGAGTCTCTGCTCAAGCAGGTGGGCCACTCGCCATGATACTTCAGGACATTCGTCCACTGACGTCTTTTGCTGAGCAGTTGCATAACCCTTATTTGGCGACGCCGCTTTCGGTTGCATCCTACAAAGCAGCGACATCGCCATCTGACAGTGACAACATGAACGTTGTTGACTGGCTTGATCGTCTGCAGGCCAGCATCAGGCAACCAGGAATGGGCCCGCCCACTGATGCCAACTTCCTTCGTAATCTGCGCAATCCTTCTGCAGTTGTCGTGGATGATTCTGAGGATGATGACCCTGAAGCCGACGAGGGTCCCGTCGAAGAAGAGGACGTTGAGAAAGTCAGGGATAGTCTTCCTGATGCTGCTGTGCCTATTGGGCTGCTCGCAAACTTGTCTCTAGACAAGGATAAAGACAAGGGCAAAGGTAGAGGTCGCCAAGGTGGAAACACTGGCGCTGGTGGAAGTAACGCGAAACCTGAAGACGATGATGACAATGTGGTAAGTAATGGCTGTTTTTCATACCGTCTAGCCCCTGGATGCTTATGACGGTAATTACTTGCAGGGTGTGGCTAATAAGGAATATTTCTTGCCCGGTAATATGCATTGCGGAATAATGATACCTGTGTTTCTCATGATTTAGTAGGTCCTGCCTCGAATTTGAATATTCGCAAAACCCTGGTGGAACAGCACACACCGGAGATAGTTCTCCACGGACTCGTCAACAACGCTGACGTTGAACGGCTGTTCGATATGTAAGTCCACATATACAATTCTTTAATTTCCTTCAGCTGACGCATGTCCGCAGATACTGGAAGCAAATCAATGTGAGTCTAGACTACCCAAGCTAGGAAGAAGCTGCGACTTATCCGTTTTTCAGCCATTCATTGGTCTCCTTGATCCTACACTGCATACATCTCAATCCATCTTCCAAAGGTGTCCCTTCCTATTCACCGTTAGTACGTAACTATTCTCTCGACATCCTCGGATAAATCCCTGACTTGAGACGCCTAGTCTGCGCTATTTCGTCTCGTTATTACAAGGAGAAGTCTGAGATCTATCCTGTTGCTATGCACTTCGCAAAACACTCCGCGGCTAACGCGCTCATCGACGGCTGGAAATCTGTCGAGTTATGTCAGGCTTATATTCTCATGAGCATCTATGCTGTCCCGGCTCGCAGATGGGAGGAAGACAGGAGCTGGTTATACACAGGACTTGCTGCGCGGTATGCAATACGCGCCTTTCTACTTCTGCATCTGGAGCTTACCACTATTGCTTCAGGATCGCGACAGACTTGAATTTGCATCAGGTCTCTACGACAAGGCCGCAGACGGAGCGCCAGGAGCGGGAGATGTTGAATCGCACTCGCGTGTGGATGATATGTTTTAATATCGACAGATCAACTGCCACGCAGTTTGGCAAGCCCTCGACGATCAAGGAGGACTATATCACTCGTCACTCTGCGGACTGGTACAAAGAATCTCGTTTCAGAGACAAGGTACGTTCCAATATATCATCTCGTTTCGGGGTGCTGATAAGTTGCACTGAAGTTTGATATCCACCTCTGTGCTTATTCGACACTTCTTCGCATCGTGGGCCGGTTCCACGATGATATCTTCTCAGACCCCAACTCGCCAAGCGGTTTGAACAAGGTTTGAGCGCTTCATCGGCGTCTACTTTTGCAACTAAAGCGCCTCGCAGGGTATCAACTTCCTTCAGGTTACGTTAGAACACGATCGTCATCTTACAAACTATTTTGAGGAATGGACCAGGCGCTTTAATGAGGAATCTGACCCTGGAGGTACGATTTTCATTCCAGAAGACATGGTTAAACACGTGCTCATTCCTGGTGCCTTAGATCCCGGAAGTTTATTCCGCTGCACTCTGCTCCCCTTGTGCGATTTGTGTTTCAGTCCTTTGCGTGCGACCAGCTGATGTGCCTCTATAGCTTGGTTAGCTATTCACGTCTTGTCATGTATTCTTTCGGGTTCCAACATGCCTTCCAACGAGGCATGGAGGCGAGTGACAACGTCTTTCTTGATAAGGTTCGTACTCTTCAGGCCTCACCTCCTATTCCATCTTACTGGAATCTCGTACAGTGCTTTGACTCTGCAAAGGTGGTCATCAAGCAAATGATCGAAGTGCTGGCACCCAGTGGTCTTATGCGCTCGGCCCCTGACGGTAAGACACCATTCTACACGAGCGACGCCCTTGGTCTCATGATATTCCAAGGTCACTTTGTTTTTGCATCTTTCGCTTCTGCATTCATGCTCAAGGTGAATAATTCATATACTCAATGTAGCCCTGTTCTTACCTCGTCACTTAGCTTCTGCGTCCTGAGTTTGCTCAACTGTTGACCCGTCAGATGGAGGATGAGATCTTTGAACTCATCGGCCGCCTAATCACGACGCTTCAAGATGTTGCCATCGACGAACGTCATACGCCACGTCTGTATGCCCGATTCCTCGCCAGTCTTCTTACGAGACATAGGAAAGGTGGAGGTGCTGTTGGTGGGCGCCTTCAACACATTCCACCCCAAAGCCAAATTTCTCGCCAGCCTCAGCCTCCCACCTTCACTTCGCATCCTTCGCTATCATCTTCAGGTTCGGGATACTCTGGCGTACCAGGGCCAGGCATGCCACAACAAGGACGCGACAATGATTCCATGCAGATGACTCTCAACCGAGACGCTTCGAGCTCTTCATCGCAGGCCACCACTTCTCCTTCCACGACTCCCATGATGCATTCCGAAGCCGCTTACTCTCACACTCGGCAGACTAACGGAGCTTTAGATAGCGATGTGGATGTTGGGATGGCAGATGTCCTATCGGAGAGCGGGACACTGGCAGCAATGCATGCACTGAACGATGCCTGGTGGAGCAACATGATGATGCCAGGGTGTGTTTTATGTCTGCGCTTTTCTGCAACTTGACCAATCGTTTCAATTTTAAAGGTTCTCCTGGCCGGAGGGACCACACCTGAATGGTGTCACAGAAGTTTACAATCACGGAATCCCAGGTATCCACACAGGCTTTGGAGGGTATACAGCAGAACCACAGCTAGCGATGTAGCTTTCGCCCGTAGAACATTGGTGATATAACGCTATCAAGGCTTGGAAATTTTCTTTTTGGGTGTTCTTTGCTTCCATTCAGCGCTACTGCATTCCTCATCTTGCCCTCGCCACTATACACTGTAGATCTAGTCAAGTTTTCCGTCCCAGAATCCTACGCACCTAAGTATAGACGATCTTAAATATCTTGACTCGATTGGCTAGCTTTGCTCAGGATGATTAGCTGAATGCCAAACTTGACTTCGTCGCCCTTCGTCGAACTCAGGCGCTCGACAACTTGAAGCAACAGTTTTTCTATGGCATACTATGATAGTGACTGTGTTGGACTCTCTTCAGTGTTCACAACAGCAGTGTAGCAATTAAAGGAGCAATTTCGATCACGAAGAGGGCCTGGCTCGAAACTAGAAGGTCACGTACATAAAAATACTTGGCTGGGTTAGAGCTCTAGCACAACTTGAAGCTGCGGAGTGCTATCACGGAGCTACTTAATAACGCTTTGATGGGTACCGATATCTGGAGTCCAGAGTCCCTGCATCATTCTCGTCATCTCTGTTTTCCGAGGTGCGGACGTCTCCGGCGAGTATGGACTTGGCTGAAGAAATTATTTTCGGTCACTGCGTTGTCCCGTCTCGCCTTCGTTGCTAGTGTTCTCCGGTACAGTGGCGCTGGTGTCATCAGCCTCGGTCTCGCAACTTAGTTTGCAGATGCTCGTTTTGAACTTTTGGTGGAATCACTGATCGACTTTAGTTTTCCGTGGATATCCACCGAGGAGAAAATTGTGGTCAGTTATCCACCGGCGGATCCGTGCGCTGCCAAATTTTGCAATTTCTGGTGCGCTTTATAAAATTTTCGAATTTTTCGTTGAATCACAAGCAGATCTATTACTGTAGACTCTACACCAGCCCGTACATGGTCCAGTCTGGTGACTCTGGTTGAGTCCCAATTGGAGCAGTGTTTGCCGTGCATGTTTTTCCTTCACTCACAGCCACGCATAAAAATGCATGCCTACTCAATATTATCCTATTTCATGGTTCGTCCATGGAATATCAAAAGCAGGCTTGTCTTGAGTCTAAGGCATCAGACAATCTGGACATATCGAGTACGTGACTAGTAACCGTGTGCTATTCTACAAAAAAAAAGATAAAAAGTTCACATAGAGACGATCGTTAGGAAAACACAACCTATCGCAGTGTGAGAGTATGCTCCGCGACTCGCTCTTCCATTCCAGTTTCGTAGCATGGCTCTTGGTACTGATGACTCCCGCTGGTCACCAACTGTGCACATCCCACCTGAGCTCATACCATCGATTCTACAACATATTTCACCCACTTCTTCTTTTCCATCTCTGCTCTCCAGGCAGGTATTCACAGATGGGTCATGGCAGCAGTACCGACATGATCTTCGTGCATTCGTTCAGTTTGCGTTGGTCTGTCAAACCTGGACTACTTTTACCCGCGAAATCATGTTTCACACCCTGATCATTCCATGGCTAGATGAGAGTATTCTCCAGCTGTGTTCAGTTCTGCGGCAATTTGGTTCCTATTCGCGCGCCATGATAATCTTCACAATGGACACAAGCGGTCCGATGCGGCTGTTGAACCGCAATGATTTTTGCGTTGCCTTGAAGGGTTGTTTTCCTTCAATGCCACAGATAAAGAAAGTGGAAATCTACGACACCACGGACAAAATATTTGCCCACTCAATACCAACTCAAGTTGGATGTTTTGAATTCCCGTCAGTGTGCTCTCTTAAGCTGTCGGGGAGCGTTGGGAGAGGTAGAAAGTCACTCCTCCATGCCCTAGGGCACGGTGCGGCGTTCCTGGAGACCTTGGAGATCATGTATTTGGAGACATGGCCATCGGACTACAAGCTTCCTACCCGGCTGGGGAAACTCCGCAGCCTCATCTTGCAGTGCACCTACTTGTCGGTTCCAGGCGTCATTGACCTTCTTCGTGGACCTGACGAGGATGCAAGCAGTAGGTCCCTACGGAAGCTCGTCATCATCCCCAGTCACCATCAAACTATCCCGCCGGATATCACGCCTTTGCTCACATTCGACTCAACCGGTGACCGTCTTCAATTTTTGATGATACACAGGCTTGATCCATGCAGGTCACTGGCATGTTGCCCTTCTCTCGAGACATTCATCTATGTATCTCCAACGAGTTCGAACATCTTTCCGTTTTTACCACGCACGCTTCGTCGACTTGCCATTTCAGCGACTTTGCTATCTCCTTTGGATCGGTTTGTCGTATACATCTCATCCGAGAGAGCACAAAACCTGGAGCAACTTGCCGTAGCTCTCAAGCATGATGCCTATTTGGCGCTTACAACTACGAGCGAGCCGTTCGTTAGTGTCACGAAGGCTTGCAAAGATGCTGGAGTGACCCTCACCTGGATAGTTCCGGGTGCGCTAGGGCTGGGTCTTGAAAGGTGGGATGATGTAACAGAACTATTCCAGACCGTCCAATCCTTGCCGAGGGCTAGGCTCAAGTTGACCTGATGACCTTGAATGTTCTATATTTACCTACTACTTTTCACTTGCTATGAATTTGGTGCTTACGTTCGAAATAGTTGGACGTAACTTAACGTTATTTTCAGTTACAAGACAACCATACTTAGGATGACAGGTGACGCTGAACGATTCTGAATTCAGTTTAAATCTTCGCGACACAGCTGAAGCGACAAGGTAGTACGAATTTCTTCCACAGTTCCATCGATCTGTACAGTACTTCCAAAGCAAGATGGAAGAACATGTAAGATAGGTATTATTGCCGTCCTCGAGAGAAGCATTGATACATATGAGAAATGTGCGGGCAAGTAAGTATTCGGCAGCGTAGGAACGGAACACCTGTGACGCGTCGTGTCTAACCGTTTTAAACAGGAGAGGAAGCGGAGAGAACCATAAAGAAGAAGATATCTCACAAAAGATAGAACATTGAGCATAAGAATGCGGATCATAATGGGGGCCACGAGAGCGATGGGTCATAGCTTAAGCTCAGTAAGAACTCTCCGCGCAAGCATCTGGTATTGCCAACCATCGCCACCAGCCCTTCGGAACTGTATACCGTGGAGCGGCAACCAAGGAACCTAAGGGAAAGACTGTCAGATGTCTGAAAAGACAGTGAATAGGAAGATCATACCTTAATAATGTTAATTTCAAAACGGACTGATAGTGAACTGGCACCGATAGACTCGAATACTTCACGATCAACTTCACCGGTAGGGAAGGGTGCTGGCCTCGAGGCCTGCGGTTGTGGTGTAGCAACAAAGTCGCGGGGTATAGGCGGTAGAACCTTGCCCTTTGCCGGTGAATGTGAGCGGAACTGTTCCTCATGGGGTGTCCCCGACGCGGCTTCGCTATGCCGAGAATTGTCCGCCATAATGGTATGGGTGTTAGAGGAGACGTTAAAGAATGAAGATGATCCGCTGCTCGGGGTGGCGCTCAATGCAGTCCCAATTGATGGCCTGTGAGGGAGCTCTTTTTCTAAGGGAGCCTCTTGCTCTTTCTCCTTGATGCTCTCTCTTTCCCGCTCCTTAGACTTCATACCGAAAGACATCTTCGACGCTTTCTTGACAAGCGATCGAGCCGTTATTCCGGTCTCGTTGGAGCCACTAGAACCAGTCCTGCGGTGATGGCTAGAGCGCGCTTGGGCCTGAGTTGATTCGGGGACAGACGAAATGTCAATGGATGGTATATGAATGCACTCAAAGCCACCCCGTGTCTCCCGATATTGAACTTGCATTCGGTCCAAGACCTTCTTGATATCAGCCTTGAGCACGGAGGGAGGTTTAGTAGAAGTGGTCGCAACACTGTCGCGTATCTCAGCATTGTCCAAAAAAAACGGTACCCACGCTCACCTGAAAAGCCCTTTAAGATGCACAGGCTTGAATTCCTTGTCGCTATGGTGTCCACTCTGCCCATCCTTGAAGCTCTCGTCTTGATCAACTGCCTCCTGCTCAACATTCTCCTCCACCTTTTCAGTGCGTCCAAAACCACTCAAGCCAGTTGGACGGCCGCTGCTCGTCCCATAACCAGTCGATGGCCGCCGGTGTCGTCCGATGGTTCCACCGATACTAGGCAGCAAAGCTCCACCAGTGCTACTCCGGCGTTCATGCCGTATCTGGCGACCCTGGGGATCAAGGATCGTGGCAGCCCGCCTGTGTACATTTCCGAGAGGCTGGCTCTGGCTAGCAGCAATAGGTTGAGGAGGAATGATGCTCGATCTGCGCATATCAGCGTCTGCACCCTGCTTCCAAGACCCATCAGAAGTCTTCTCGCCATCATCCCCTGAGGGTCGCAATGGCGCACCACCCAACATCGTCGTCCGCTTCCCAATACTCCGCTTGGCATCATCGCCCTTTCCAACAAGAAGTGTGCCAAACCTGCGCACGAGTGTCGCGCCAGCGGACAACGGACCTTCATGCGTGTGCACACGGTCGTCCTCAGATAAAACATTATCCTGATCCGCAAATTCACCCTCCAGACCAGCCGTATGGGGGACCTGCTCCTCACCGTGCTCGTCTACACGGCTTTCGCCACTGACGAACACTCCACCCCATCCACGGAGCGCAGTTGGTCTCTGGCTCATACTGTGGCTGCGGCGGTGAGTAGATGCAGGCGGGGCGCGCGGGAGTGCTGTTGCCGGCCCGGGTGTTGGCGTAGATGGAATATCGATGCGTTTCGTAGCAGGTGGTGGGGGCAGCCCCGAGTCACGTGCTCTCCCTTGTCCGTGGAATGTAGCCGAGGTCGGCGACGCCGCAGCGGATGCCGCGTCATAGGACATGTCGGAGTAGTGCGACGTCTCAGGCGCGGGCAGGCGCGGGAGAGGCATGCTGTAGTCTGCTTTAGTAGATGCAGGCGTGGGGAGCTGCTGTTGCTCCTTCTTGACAGGAGGGGCTTGAGAGAAGACCTTGGTCGGGTAGGGAGGTGGTGCAGGAGCATCAGCGGTGGGTGCATTGGCAGGGGCAGCCGTTTGGAGGGAGAGTTGAGAGCTAGCAAAGCGCCCGGGGCCATAGACACGTTCGCGCTCCAACTTCTCGCGGGAGAGGTAATACATAGCGACCAGAGGATGGAATCCCTGCGTTGGATCGAGGGGATCGCGCGCGCCATCGCCAATGGAAAGAAGCGATTGTGAGGTAGGCGGCGAGTGGGAAGGGGTGGCAGGTGGCGACGAAGTTGGAGAGAACAGCTTCCGACGATAAAAGTCAAATCCGGAGAAACGCTTCGACTTCTTCGAAGGGGTAGTCTCATTCTTGTGAGTATTCGTGGCCGATCCATCGAAGGATATGGCGAGGGAAGAGTTAGAGAACTCGAACCGTTGATTCGCGCCATTGCGACCACGCTTGCGGTCCCATGCCTGGACCGCGCGGATATAAGCGTCAGATTCGAGCACTTTTCGGAGGTTTCGTTCGATTTCCTCCTCGGTTCCAAATTCGAAGCCTCGCATGCCTTTGATGACTTGCTTATCAATATCATCAGCGCGGAGCGGGTCCCGGATAACCATGTGTGAGTCAGGGGGACCATTAAAGCCGCGAACCATCCATGGATGTTCAAGTACCTCGGTGAGCGAAGCACGTACAGCGGGATTAGTGACAAGCATGCGGGAGAGCAAATGCTTGCATTCTGGAGAATCGATCAGTGAGCAACGTGCTTCGTAACATAATTTGGACGCACCTGCGCTTAACCACACAGGATACTCGACTAGTCCGCGCTTAATTTTTGCATGCAGTGCGGGCATGCTCTGATCGTCGAAGGGCACTTTGCCGCAGACGAGCACATACAAGACAACACCAAAACTCCAGACATCAACTTCTGGTCCTGTGTAGACCTTCGCATTAAGGAGCTCGGGAGCTGCAAAGTATAGGGAGCCACAGAAGGTCGACAGAGTAGAGCAAGGGTCGTAGAGATTGGACAGGCCAAAGTCGATGATCTTGATGTTACCTGTCTCAGAGATGAGGATGTTCTCGATTTTGAGATCTGCGGGATGGACAATGAGAAAGTGATACAATCCAGGCACAGCAAACACAGACCTCGATGAACCACATTGTTCCGATGACAGTAATCGAGCGCACTTCCTATCTGACGAGCGAACTTGCGAGCGACACGTTCTCGCAAGCGACCATGACTGATGATGTAGTCAAGCATCTGGCCGCCGTTTACATATTCGAATATCATGTAGTAATGATGTTGATGAACGATCATCTCACGCATGCCGCAGATGTACGGGTGATGGAGAAGCATGGAGAGGGCAGCCTCACGGAGAGTGCGTATCTCTTTCGAAGCATCTTTTGAGGCCTGCTTTGCAACAGCTTCTGGGTTCGCATTTGAACCATTTGACTGGGAAGCCTGCGGATAGACCCGGGGGAGGATTTTGACGGCGAGCTGGGAACAATAGCCAGGGCGTTAGTACTATATTCATGTTTGATATGAGCGCAGCACGCACCTTCTCTTCTGTGACATTATGAATAGCCAATTTGACCTTGCCCATGCTACCAGCTCCAAGTGTCTTGGTCAAGGTATAGTCACCAAGGATGCGGTTGGAACTTCGACCTTGTTTGCTAGTTGAGCCATCTCTAGTCTGGCGGTGTTTTGAGTCTGTGGTCGGCTGTCTGTCGCGGTCTGAAGAACTTGTTGGAGTTGAAGTACTGAATGCCTGTGGAGGCATTGAAACTGGGCGGGGTCTGTGAGACGTGGCCTGCGGCCTTGGGACGGGTAAAGGGCGTGGAATAGCCGTTATTGGCGTCGTGCTCGCCGTCGTAAATGTTGTTGTCGCTGTGGTTGACGATGTCGAAGTATGTGTCCGTGCTGGTGGAGGAGATGAGAGAAGCTGTGGCTGAAGAGCCGAGGGTGGTTGCGTGATGGCCATATCAAACTCATAACCTGGACCTAATGGATCTACTGGCGTAATAATTCCACTAGTCTCTTCAGGCACTTGCCCTAGCGGCGCCGCTTGCACAGACCACGGGTAGAACGCTGCCATGAACGTCTTCAACGATAATCAAAGCAGCACTAGCACTTCCAAGGCAGTGCTTCACAATTCAGGCCTAGCCAGTAAAACCGCCCCCATCAGCGTTGTACTAAAAATCACTCAGGGCGGTCAATGTCTATGTAATCGCAAGCGGAGATTGCTATGATAATCCAACAGATACTCCTGATTTTCTCATGTTTACTTGGATTCTAATGCCAAGAATCTCCTAAGTAAAGTCTGTCGCAAGCACTCAATTTCCGGGCGGAAACGATGCTGCTCCCTTATTCCTGATTCAGATCTCCAAGGCCGTGTAGTTTGCTCACGCTTCGAACTCAGAGGTAGCGATGCCAACTGTCGTGGAGAAATCACAGCCCCAAACGCGCACGATGGATTCATGTGAGGAAGCAAAGATAACAACCGCTGAGTGACAAGCTTACCTGGTGCTCTCAGGCTGTCGAAGCGCACCGAAGCAGCAGTATTAATAAGACTCACTCTTATGCAAATACGAGTAGATTATCAGGAAAGGAAGCAGAAGCCCTGCCTCCCCGCGCCCGCAGCAGGTAATGATATCAAAATAAACACCGAGTATTACTTCTGACTGTGATCTTGCACAGATAGCCATTTCACTGGATGTTGATTGAACATGGGCCATGGGGGCAGGACAACCTACAGCAAAGGCGTGGATTAGCCAAGTAAATGAAAGTCTCGTGATGCAAACTTACCAGACACACGGCAACAGTACAGAGTGCGAACGTACTCATTGTTATCATGAGAGAGCTGAAGGTGAACCCAATCACAAATGATAGGAACTGCCAGAGAATATCTAGTACTATGCAGCAGCAGCAGCAGCGAAGAGACCTACTGTGCTGGTGATGAGTGCCACACGAACAATGTCATCCGCCCTCTTTTGCCCTTTGAAGTCCTGAATTTTTGTGCGGTCAGCTCCTTTCAAAAGAACCAAATAAGCACACCCGCAATTCTGCCCTCCAATAACTCCTGTATGGTCATGGTGTGTTGTCTATAGAAAGTTCAATCGTATGGATTGAACATGACACGACACGCGTGGGAATATTTACCCAGGACTGTACAAAGACCCGGCGGGCCGGACGGAGGTCCGTCCTGAGGCAGAACCGTTTATGCACAGGTACTTTGGAGTTACTCCTCGAGCCACATCGAAGCCTCTACTTGATATGATGCAAGTAGCCCCTTCTATAGTACTAACGAAATTTATATCCATAGCCCAAAAGAACCACCCGCCCGCATAATTACCAGGAAGATTCAGAGTTACCTACCAACTTGAATGAGGCTCTTCCGGACGATGATCCCGGGCCTGAACTTTGTTTGAAACGACAAGTAGCAATTAAGTCAAGGCAAGTATTTATAATCATCATTCTCAGCTAACATGCCGATCTTCTATATGATCCTTCATCCAGGACCCTGACTGTAGTTGTTGCACATGTCCTTTCCGCGAGCGTACAGGGTACTACTGGGGAAGCCCCCAAGGCCAGGTACGGACTTTTAATGAATTGCGTCCTGAACCAGGGTCTAGCCTTAATCAAGCCCTCTATATCGTGCGTCATGCTTGGCGCTTGTCCTGCCGGGTACCGGCAAGTTTCACGTGCGATATATGCCTAGAAATTTACTCGTGCCAAACAGCACCACCCTCTCCCGATGAAAGAGAAATCATTCACAACTTGCACTCTTAGCAACAGCCCTCTGCTGCGCGGCATCCACGTTCCATGTCCCTGTCTCAGGGAACGAGCATACTTGTACAAACATATCCAGTACTATTGCACAGATTCGGAACTGGTAGTAACCATGCAGAAAGTTCAGAGCAATGCTTACTATTCGAGACCGCTATCACGTAAAACAAAAGAACGAGGTGCGCCCAGAGGCAGGTGGGGGTGTCCACGACAACGCGTCAGCCTTGTATCGCTGCACCCTTTATATTGAGCGACTCTGGGACACCCTGGCGCAACTTTGAATTGACATGTTCTCCTTCCCTTAATTCCCTCAATTGCAGGTCATCTGGCCGTGCCGCATGCTCGCTTGCGCACGCTCTTTTGCCGATGACACCCAAGCCTCTCAACCCAAAAATCACAACCATTATGCTCAAAACTGTCGATGCGAAACAAGTCCATCCAGCCGCTCGGAAACCGACCATCAAGACTTCTGGCGACTCCGCATCGAGGTGTGGATGCTTCTCGTTGTACGCTTTGGATACAGATGCCGCTATCCCAGACGTCACCGCAAGTCCTAGCGCTGTAGCGAGCTGCTCACAAAACAGCTCAGCGAGTTAAAAGGAGAGAATGATAGATCTCGTACCCTTGTGGTAACGCTGAAAATGCTACCCGCAAGGGATTGTGAATCTTCATCAAATGTTGCAGCGATTTGTTGGTTCCCTAATGGATACACGATATCCACCCCAACTGCAGTAACATTAATACCATTAGCCTCTCTTCACTGAGAGAAAAAATAACACACCGATGGTAATCATCATAAAAAAAGCCATGCGCCAGAAGCCGAGATCAGGATTTATTAGAGCGAAGATTAGGGTTGCCGCCTGCCCACGATTGAACATATATTCTCAGTCAAGGTTGAATAACTTACCATGCTAACGAGCAAACCGAACAACATTAAGATCTGCGCGGGCACACGAGCAACAAAATATCCCGCTGCAATGCTAGGAATCGCTCCAGCGATAGCCATGGGTATGAACCGAAGAGAAGTTTGCAAGGGATTTAGTAGTTGTACCTGTTGGTAGCTGAAGACCGTCAGTCGTCAATGTGGATGAACTTATTAAAATAAATCAGCATACTATAGTGTGAAGAAATAGTTTAGAGTATCAAAGCTAAACCTGCAGGGAACATGAGTGACTTGGATATTCATGCCTCGGGAATATACTGACCAACCAAAAAATACCACACCAACGAGGGGACCCAATTTTGCTCCGGGTTGCCTCCATATGCTCGGAGGTATGAGAACAGACTTGTTTCTTGATTCCCTCCAGCGCTCGAAGTACACAAAAATGACTAGCAAAAGAATGGACACGGATAATAGGCTGGGGACCTGGGGAGCTAACCAACCCTTCGAAGCTGTTGTGGAGTCGCTCGAATTCAGATCAGTAACGCCTGCTGCCAAATACATGGTGTGCTCTTACGAGAGACTGTATGTCAGAAGCCCAAGGCCAGCTGTACTCAACACCACGCCACCCCAGTCTAAACCTTTTTCATAACGTCGATTCGAGCGATCTTTTGGGAATGCCACGAAAGCAAGACAAACGAAGAAAACAGCAAGAGCAGCTTGTATGTAGAACAAAGAACGCCATGTGGCGCGACTTTCGGTCAAAAGACCGCCTGCAGGGTTTGATGAGGTCTTCATCGGAAGTGTCATTACGGGTAACTTACTAGCAATCAGGCCCAGGATAAATCCCACAGGCTGGCCAACGCCTAGTACGCTAAAGGCCTTGTTCCTGTTTTCCCCTGGCGGAAAGTATGATGAACATAATCCAATCGCAGCAGGAGTGTTAGCAGCCGATCCTATTCCCAACAGCGCCATATCTACGATGAAAATCGTTGAGCTTGGAGCAAAGGCTGTTGCAAGACTCCTGACGTGATTCTCTTGAGCAATCAATCCGAGCATTCAAATTTGCCTACTTACCAAATTGCGAACCACATAGACCCAACTAGGAACATGAAGCGGCCTCCAATTATGTCCCCCAGTCTTCCGCAGAATAAAATCAAGCAACCATATGACAAACTATTGGAGACTGTCAGTATCTATTAAGTCATATCACAAATATTGTAGAGACGTACGAATTCACATTCACCGGCCAGTGAAGGTCAGCCTAGACGGATGCATACCTATTCTGTCATACGGCGGTATGTGCATAATATGAAACATACCTCTTGGAAATGAAGGTCTCTTCCGATAGTGGGAAGTGCGACTGTCACTGAGCCCAGGAGAAAAACCTGGATTCCATATCGAATACTGCCATGAACTGATAATATTTTGGAAACGAGTGATTCATGCTTACATTCAGAGTTGTGACGCCAGAAATGGCAATGACAAATGCAATATCGCGTGCACTCAAGCCCATGATCTAGTAGTTCAGCTCACGTTAAATTGTACGATGGATAACTGTTGAACCCCACGTTGGAACGTCAACAGCATTATATACCTAGGCACGATGCGAAGGTAGTACGTCAACGTTTCAACCTTCAGTCTAGTCGGGCGGATCTGACCTTCTGACTGGAATATGAAACTTCAGCGCAAGTTTCATCATTTGACAATTGATCGATCGTATAATCAAGAATGTGTAAGTTCGGAACCACCGTTAATCTATTTGGGATCCAAAGCCCGCAGCAATGGCGAAACGCCATGCTGACCTGTACAAATGAACAACCTTTTCAGAACAACTCAAGATTATTACGCTGATATGACAGTCCTGATGCAGATTTGTGTAGATAAAGATGTCAGTTAGCTCCTGGCCATGATAACATCATAAGTGCATAGGTGCCTCCTTCTGCGAGCCATTCCTTCTCCAAGTAAGCACGAGCCGCCGACTGCAACAGCTGTCGTTCTAGATCATTATATTTGTAGGAGCAGGCAAATTGAATGACCTCCCCTTCGCACACCATTATGGGTGCGGAATCTGGGAGGCAGATCGTTATACTGCGCAAGCATTGGAAATATGCTTCGTTTCGTCCCTTGACCTGAAGGATATCAAAACAAGGAAATTGTATTGACGAACAGCGGACTGAACATACCTCGTTGTAATATGGTTTATACGTGAAAGCCGAGGTGTCGATGACGTTGTGTCCGAAGAGCTTATTGAGCCCTTCAAGAGCGTTGAGGGCAAAGCGCCGAGTAACACCACCTCGGTCATCGTAAGCTCTACGAATCACCTCCATGTCATGGTGCTTCGTGTCGATCGTGAGGAGGAACCGGTCTTGGGGCTTCAGGATGTTTCCAAACGAGCGAATCAAATTCGCCGCTTCGTCTTCTTCATTTAGCACACGATGTCCCTGATAAATGGAACTTATTACGTACTACGACCCATATTACCAACGGAGCATCCGAGAGACAATAACACCCTGGGACAATCGGGTATTGTAGCAAGCCATTCACGCCCGTTGTCGAAGGTACCCCATAGTCCACCACATCGTACATGCGTGTATCGGCCACGGAGTTCCCCCAATGTTCGGGAAAGCTCGGACTTATCCAGGTCCAGTGCCAAGTATGTGATTGATTTTCTCTGGGCCTCAAGAGCATCCAGTATGAGTGCTGTTTTACGAAGGGCTCTGAGGAGTATCACCAGAATGTGTTAGTCGGATATACAAAGTTGGAGGAGAACAGGTGGTATACCCAGCGCCAAGTTCGACAAAAAGTGCACCATCTGGAATGGATTCCGTTATGTCTGCTGCATATTTTGTCAAAATGTCAAATTCCAGTTGTGTGATATAATAATCAGGCTGATAGGTGATTTCTTCGAATAGACGTAAACCCGTTTCGTCGTAGAGTAACAGGATTGGCAGCTCCTTCTCGTTGTATGGTTGAGCAAGACCGATTGTTACCGCCTGGCGAATGGCAACATCAAATCCATCCGACCCAGTAGATGTGGATTTGGAGCGAATATCGATGATTGGGATGTCTCCCTGGGATTTCCAGAGTGATGATTTGAAGGTGAGTGGGTCACTGGTAGGATGATGCGTCTGGGAGAACATGGTGCACTGAATATTGTGGGGTTTGAACAAAAGACTTGCACGGTTCAATTAGTTTCATGTGGACCATTGGCCACCCTCAAATTCCTCCGAGGGGGACGGCGCCTGGTGATCAGTCTTACCTATTCCAACTCGGGGGTTTTTCGGCTAGTGTTTCGAGATGAACGTCAGGTGTGGTTGTTCTGAGCTGCGCCGTCTTTGAGTGTCTAGGCTCGCCGCATTTAGCAGTAAACATGGTCCGCCCGACTTGTGGCAAGACTCAGTCTGAGCCTAATAGCTTCCTCGGATCTTCTGCCAAAATACAAATGCAGTATCCACTCAGAAGTTATTTCAAATGGAAAGGCAGGATGCAGTACTGACTAAGGCGTCCATGCTAGCGACTCCTTCCAAGTTGAGTTCGTTCGTTCAGGCAACCCTAATTCACAGTCTGCAAAATTGCACACGATGCTAGAAGTGGGGATTGCGACAGTGTTGTTGTTTATGAAACGGCTCCCTGGTTTTCTCCAAGAGGCAATGATGGCACCAACGAGTTGTCCTTCAAATTAAAAGTTCGACGGGGTCTTGTTGAGGTAAAAGTAGTCTCGCACCAGAGCTCACCAGACATCAGGTTCTAGAACCTAGACGATGAAGGTTGTCTCCCATTCGTAAAGCATCTGGTAACTGGTTGACATTCGGCCGACTGCGTTTTCACTTTTACCTCCTCATGTTCCCCTCAGTAGTAATCCAGCATGTTTCTTCTGCCCGCACAGGCGGTTTGAGCTTCCACATATCCCCTGTATTATGTTGTGAGTTGTTCATATGTTTTCACATACCCTGTTCTAAAGTGCAGTATGCCCATCTCCAGATAACGATGTCGTACGATGACACAATCTAGACAGGTGCCTAGTAGGCCAGCGGTTCCGGTACAGCGGACAAGTTTCATGTTACTTACATTGCCACCTTTGCGTACGGGTACTCCTTGGCTGCCTGGGAACCACATCAGGGGAAATGGTCTGCCCGGCGGCGACTTATAGCAACACCGACTATGAACGTTAGCCCGGTATCCACACCAAGACCTATCCTCTGAGGGCAAGGCTACTCATCCTAGTGAGCAGAATCCCCCTGAAGTTCGTTCGTTCGTTCAGGTAATGCTATTTCGCTGGAGGGTGATCCAAGAATGGTGCTGGTACATACTAGTAGGATATTACAGCAGAATTGCTGCTCGCGAACCTCTGGAAATTTCACTCCTCTGTTAGCCGCCTGGATCGGACGCAACGCGATTGTTGATTTGTTTTCACCTGGGTTTAAATGGGCTCAGCTGCAGTAGTCGTTTCGGCTTATCCCAGACCGCGCGTCTGTGCACTGCAACCTGTCCGATAACACGGACGTCTTGGCGACGATAAATTCAAGATAAGGTCTGACTGATATGATAGATATTTTGATCAAGGCACACAGTATACCAGAATCAGACTCACCAGTGGGATAACCGACCTTGTGCTGACATAGGTTCTCCGACCACCCTCCAACAACTTCAAGCTGAACTTCCTCGTGAACTGCATTAGCCCTCCGGAATAGCTGGATTGCGCAGTCCAGAGTAGCCCATCATGTCTGACCACTCTGACACCCTGGAGAAAGCAGAAGTTGCAAAGCCCGAGGCTGTTGATAATGGAGCGGACGAGTTTGAGCTCGCGAGGATGGGATACAAACAAGAGTTGAAGTGAGTGTCTGGTCGCTTCCTTTTACGACAACACACTGAATATACCATTTTTATAAGACGCGAACTGGGACTTCTTCAGGTACTTCGACCGAACTCAATCCATTCGCAAACAGCTAATGAACTAATTGTCTTCAAGAATTTCGGAGTCTCGTTTTCCATCATAAGCGTTATAACTGGCATCCCTTCTTTGTTCTTGTATGGCTTGGTGTGTCACATACTACAGTCTCCTTCATCATTTCCAATGAGTATGAATGTGGAACGTGGATACAGAATACAGGAGGCCCGGCGGTCATGGTGTGGGGCTGGGTGATTGTTGGTGAGCAACCTAGCATGAATTTTGACCTCAGCCTGTACGTCATAACGACTCGTCTCCAGCTTGTGCCACAATGCTTGTAGGACTTGCCATGGCAGGTGAGTCAGTGTCACGGTAACCCAGTATTCGGGCTCATCTTTGTGAAAGAGGTCTGCAGTGCACATCCTACCAGCGGTGGTCCCTACTTTTGGGCTGCTATGCTATCTGAACCGGGGAATGCTCCACTTGCATCTTGGATCACAGGCTGGTTTAACTTGTTGGGACAAGTCGCGGTCACGACTGGGATAAGGTACATAAATCGTAACATCTCAGTCTGAGGATATGACTTTGTTGATGTTCCTCTAGCTTTGGTTGCGCGAATTTCCTTTCTACCTTGTGTACATTCAATACCTCATTCACGCCAACCTCAAGGACTACCATGGGTATCTATGCTGCAATCTTGGTTAGCCAAGGTCTAATCAATACATTCGGTGTCCACCTTCTAAAGTACCTCAACAATATCTCCGTCTGGTGGCATGCCGCCGGTACGACGTCCTTGGTCATAGCCATACTTGCTCGCGCTCCATCGCACCAGTCGGCTGACTTCGTGTTCCGAACATTCATTGACAATACAGGAATTTCGGGCAGCGAGGGATGGGGTGCCAGAGCAAGCAATGAATATGTTTGTGTCATCGGCATACTTATGGCTCAGTACACCCTGACTGGTAAGCTCGATGAGCATCACTTGTCTCTGTCGTTGAACTTGTTGTCAAGGTTTCGACGCCAGTGCTCATGTAAGATATCGTCAAAATAATTTGAAATCGCAAGTGACCACTCAAACCTGTAGATGACCGAAGAAACCCACAACGCTGCCATGGCCGGATCGATTGGTATTGTGATGGCCATAGGAGTGTCAGCTGTCCTTGGGTGGTTCCTTATCCTTGGGCTATTGTTTAGCATTCAGGATTTAGATACTACCATTGCATCGCCCACCGGACAGCCAGTTGCTCAGATCTTTTTAGACACTGTCGGGAATCGTGGAGCAATTGTCCTCATGGTTATCGTTATCGGAGCGATGTACTTCTGCGGGTAAAATACAAGCAAAAAGTTCTGTGCGTGACACCTGACATTTTTTTTTCTGCAGTACTTTTTCGATCACTTCTAATTCCCGCATGATGTTTGCGTTTGCTCGTGACGGGGGCATCCCGGGACATTCCTTCTTTCGCAAAGTGGACTCGAAGCGCGGTACCCCTATTGGAACAGGTACGTGTTCTGTTGTGCCTTCTCCGGCCCTTTCATCGTGACGTCGTCCAGTGTGGCTTGCGTGCACTCTCAGCTTTATATTGGGCCTTCCAAGTCTGGGGAGTGCTGTAGCATTCTCGGCTGCGACTAGCATCGCAACAATCGGTTTATATATATCCTATGGTAAGTGCCTCGTCCTCTGAAGTGACTATCTCAGGTTGAACCTGACTCTTGGTGCCAGCTATACCAATCGCTCTCCGTGTATTCTACCGAAAGCGCTTCGTGCGAGGTCCGTTTCACCTCGGCGCATTTTCTATACCCATTTCTGTCGCGGCAGTTGCATGGATTGCGTTCATTTCTATTGTATTCCTTCTTCCTCAAGCCAATGTGCGTCTTGTTATCAAGTTCATTGTGCCATTCTAACTCTCTCCTGACATTCGTATTAGCCCGTCGACTCTCAGACGCTGAATTATGCCCCGGTTGCTGTTGGAATTGTCATCTTGTATAGCGTTGGATTTTGGGTACTGAGTGCTCGCAAGTGGTTCGTTGGTCCTGTCAGGCAGATATCTGGTAAGTCCGAGCACTGTACACCCCCTGACAAGATCTCACTGTTCCAAGCCGAGTAAACAGGTGTAGCGAAGTAATAGCAGTGCTAGTAGAAAATAGCAAGATATACCAAGCGCCACTGACTGTATTTCCCTTACTCAAGAATATTGTTAGTCCAATGTTGGTGCCAATGATGAAACGTCATTGCTGTCAAGACTCCACCTCCCTCTTCAGTGTCTTCACCTCAATTACCGTCAACTGCATAGAACTGCCAAACCTGGTCATCATAGAAGCTGACGGGAGGGGAGAGGATAATCTGTGCCCATGAGTATGTACAACTTCTCTAGTACATCAGACGAGCTTATTTACCTGGGTGTAGTCGTCTCCGTCAGGTAGCTGCCAGACGAGCTCAGAGTTAGGTGTCTGAATCCTGAGCGCATCGTTTGAGCCTGAAGACACATGATAGAGAAAGGATACTCGCTCATACTCTCCATCCTTCCTCTCGTGGAGTTTGAAAGTGGTTTCGACGGAGGTTCCTATGATCCCAGAGCCCTTGGTTTCACCAGCGACTCCAGCCCAACTGTTGGTGGCGAGGTCGACCAACTGCACCAGACCCTTTTCTTCATCGACGACCTTCAAGTACCACTGCAGAGTCGGGTTCAGTCAAATCATCACCCATATTTTTCAACATCTGCACCAACCAGCATGTTCTCGCTGCCTTCGTTATAGGTGTAACCGACGACAGGAGCGCCGTCAGTAACATTGCCAAACTTCAGATCGACATCTTGGCTGGAATATTGGATGTTGTAGATCACGTATGTACCCGGAACTGGGATAGTAGTCATGGTGGTGATAATGCTTCAGTAGATGTGAGGATTCGATGTGTTTCAACAAGAGCTCACTCTCTTGCGTCTTTTATACCTCTTTGTTGGCCTACTAATGCATTAACTTCGTTTGTCATTCGCTTTACTAGGGGCTAGGAGAAATTCAAGCAATGCCATCGCAGCATAGCATCGTTTGCCATTTCGTACACACCGAGCAAACATTTGAATTTGAGACCAGAGAAGGGATCCCCGAAGCAAGTTTCGCTTTCGATGTGATCGAGAAGCTTCGTATGTTCTGATTTAGCAGGGTTCAAGCAGTCGGCGGTCCTTACGAGGGTTGGAACGAAGCATAAGAATGAATGTATTCGCTCTGTTCCTTGGTGCGAGTGTATGAGAGATTGACTGACTGGGTCGGGCTTCTTCTGTAGACCGGGGAGATTCTCCCGCCGAATACAGGGGTTCCTCTAACTTATGCTTTCAAGATCGTCAGGTTCATGAATCACGATGGTCGTCTTAGCACAGGCTCTTCCTCAATTATGCGTTCTCAATACCAAAGATGGCTGTTTCGTATTTGTCTGGACACGGAACATGATGGCTGCGTTGCGTCTTTTCGCCGACTTTACGTATGTCGACGGCTTCCATGCGGAGGCACCAGGGGAACGTCTGGACTCTGGTGAGACTGGAACGTAATATTAAGTGTTAAACTTAAGTGGTTCGACAATAGCAAGGAAGTATATAGTAAGTACAGTAGACTATCTCATAATGCATAACGTTTGGGCCGGTCCCATTGTGGGGCAGTGAGAAATTGAATCATAATGCATAATGCATAATGCATAGACTTTCGGCGCCATTATGCATTATGAGATAGTACTTTTGGCTGGTTGGATAAGCTTCAAGCATCAAGGGTCGTGTTCGGTTCAAATAATTCTTAGTGTATTTGGACTGTCGGACAATGTACAATTCATCCCACCTCATTCAACATATCTACAATGTCTGCACATAAACGGACAACCCTCGAGGATGAAATTACCACCTCTCTTCAGGACTTGAAGACTCGCAATCGCATTTTTGGTGAACCGCCATCTTTAGACGAGTTTCTCGAACCAGTCGAAGAACAGGAAGTTGTAGATTCCCTTGCATTTGAAGGTGGGGATAAGGCCATTGTTGCTGCAGTAAAACGAGAGATAGCCGAGAAAGTTGGTGAGGTGATTGAGGTGGAATCCGACGAAGACGAGGACACTCAGGCTGAACCAGAGTTTTCTCGCGCTGAAACCCTTGGGCTGTGTCAGCAGCTCGAAGGAGCCTGCCTGCAGTTCGGAAATGCTGACCCCACACTTCCACTAGAGTTGTTGAAGCAAATCCGTCTTTTTCGAGCTCACTTGCGACGTGACGAGCTTCTTCATGGAACGCAAACTACGATAGACTCTTATTTCATTAGTCCTTTAGATACATGAGCGGAGTCACACTATGTCACAATTTGTCACAATGTGTGACATATGTGCTAATGCATAAATCTCATAATGCATAAGGATTTTGTGTTCCCGACATTATGCATTATGAGATAGTCTACTGTACCGCTTTAATCTTGTTCGGATCGGGGCGTCCAGAGCGCTGGGATAGCCTATTTAATGAGACTTTGACATTAGAGGGGCAACTCGGCAGGAAGTATTCTCGCACCAGCCTGAGAGTTTTGATTCATGTAACAACAGTTCTCAATTGACCTTTCAGAAACACATGTATGGGCAACGAGGGCCGTGGCATTGTCGAACTCTGCTTTGAGCGTACGACTTTTCCCCGACGCAAAAAAAAGACCCGACCAGTATTTGCTAGCAACAACCTACCTCCCTTATGTCGAGGTAGTCAGTGACCTAATTCTAGGCCCATCAGGAAAAACCCCCTTTTAATATTAGAGAGAATTTAATCAAATTTGATCAAAGGTGGAAAACCGTGTACCATTTTCTCAAATGTGCGATAAAAAGATCCAATATTCAACAAATTCAGACAATTGTTAGCAGGGCCCCAGAATTCACTACAGTTGGGGAAAGTTATTTGGTACTGGCAATACTAGTATTTTCTGTATAGTGATGTTCCGGCCCGGCTTGGGCTCAAAGCCCCGGCTTAGGCTCGGCCTGGGGGGGCTTAGGCCCACCAGATTTCAAGCCTGAGCCGTGAGCCCAAGCCGGCCCAAAGCCGGGGCTTGGGCCCAAGCAAGCCGCAGCCCATGCACTGAATTGCTGCGATGACAATGCAATGTACATAGATATATATATAAATGCACCTATATGCCAGGAACAATGCAGGTAAGCACAAATGAGTGGCAGCATGCGGAGACAAGTAAAGCAAGGAGCAAGGATACTGTATACATGATCAGTTATAGTTGTAAATCTAAAATAGCGCACACAACAAGCAGTGACTAACAGATATGTAAATAGTTGTCAGTGATAGATATAAGTGAAAAAAGACGCACCTAGCTTGCAGTGCAAACAAGCAGACGAGCTGCAGGGACAGTTGCAGTGAGCAGTTGATCAATAAATTATCCTCAGAGTCACTGAAGACTTCGCGAATTAGCATCTTGAGACCGCCGGCTCTGCTCTTCTTAGTTGCCTGCTGCAACGATAAACAACATCACTTGCGATCGAGTGACCACAGAATTCACAGAAATTGCTGAACACACAATGGCGACTGCTTGTGGACATGTGAAAAATGAAAATACGAAGGGAAGTGGGCGCGATCGAGTTGATTTTAGCTTAGGCAGGAAGGGTCGGTCAAGATCAGCGCATCGTCGAGAGTACGAGTTACAGGAATAAGTTAATGGGTAGATAGAAAAATAGAAAAGCACCAGGGCTTTCGAGCCCACCAGTCGTCGCTCATTGGCGTTAGCGTCAGTGCAATGAGTTGCAGGCAACAAGGGCGCTGATCATGATCGTGTCAGTTGTGGTGCATGGGCGGAAGAACAAGAGACCGTCACAGAGAGGACCGAGATCAGCCCGAGCCGAGTGCCCAATCGGGCAGTACACATGGCAGTTCGCTGCGTACTTGCCTGGTCATCATGATGCTTCCCTGGTTTGGCGAATGTGGCCACCGACGTGACCAGGCTGGTTCGCGGTCATGTACCAAAGCCGCGGCTTGGGCCGCTGGCTTAGGCTTTTCTAAATCCAAGCCCAGGCCTAAGCCCTGCTCAGGCCGTGACTTAGGCCTGGGCTGGGCCCGGCCTATTTGGGCCCGGCTTGGGCCGGCCCGGGGCTTCAAGCTGGGCCTTGCACATCACTATTTCCATATACCATGTAACTAAAATACAGTTACATATGCATCTCAGTCAGTGAAGCTGTTGACAAAAAAAGTGCTACACTGATCTAATACATTGCTCGTAGTCCATTCACATGGAGCCACTGCCCCAAATTTGGGTATTAAGTGGACAGAGCGTCAAATATTGCGGATAGGGATAATGCTGGATTGCCTCTCACCATCGTAAAGGGCATGTGAAACCTTGTTATGTGACAACCATACCAACACTACCTTTGGTGAGTGACCTGGACTGCTAGGTATGTAGTTGCACATGTCCTTGTAGATGCTGACACAGGCAGAATTTCTGGTTTGTGCAAGGTGACGTGAGTACCCACTCTCACTAAACGTGCAACTGCAGCCATCACAGACTGGCATGTTGCAGTGGCTGTAGTGCTTGAAGTGTATGTCAGGATATAGTGGAACATTGAAGTCCAAATTTGTAAGTGTCAAATTTTTCAGTTGCGCATCCAACCGACTCAATTCTGACTCTGATCTCTTGCTCTCACTCTATCAGATTTTTTCGATGTCGACTCCGACCGAAAAGGCTGCTGCAATGCGTGCTGCCAAGCTGAAGAGGCGTGTGGAGGCCACCACTACTCCTGAATCTGCTCCGAGTCGTATGTCATGGTTTTATCAGTCTCGCTTTGTTTTTCTGATGGCCTGATCATCTGGCATTAAGGACCTTCCTGACAATCCAAGGCCACAGCACTGAAAAATCAAGGTGCGCCAGCTGTCTGAGTCAAGCCACATCTTCTGACTCACTTGAGCAAAATTACAGTTTGGATGTCAGAAAAGAAGACACAAAAGTGGGCCGCATCGCGCATCGAGCATGGCTGAGCCTGATCATGCCAAGCAGGCACAAACTTGTAAGTTTGATTAGACTTTTGTATGTTGTCACTAATATGCCATAGTGGACAAAAAAAAACCTGACCCTGCGAACAGACAGAAGAGCAGTGTTACACGGCCAGTGGCACAACTTTTTGAGTCTGACTCAGACGACTTCAAGGTTGATGGAAGCGATGGTGCTGTATCTGATTTTGGAGCCGAGTCAGACAACAAACTTGAGGAATCAGATGATGACAGTATTCTGGGACTCATTGGTGACAAGCTGAAGGCCACCCTTGACTATGAGGTATGTGCTATTGTCATCGATGATTTTACATCCGAGGGTTTTGATTATTCGCATAGCGGCCTCAATTTACCCCACGTAATGACCGTATGTGACATCCTCCTCCTCCTCCTACTAGTACTAATTGACACTCTCGTGTAGACAGCAGCCTGAGCGCTGCTTCATCATTCAGCTGTGAGAAAACGGCTTACGAAGGATGCGAAGTATGTACGTGTGTTATCTTCTGTGGTATGTGTATCATGTTGGCTTGAGTTTACTACCGTCATCTCATCATTTGCAGCCTGAAGGTCGTATTGGCACCATTCGCGGGAACGTCAGGAAGGCTGCACAAGCACATGTGGCAAGCCACTATGGTCCCATGAAAGGTGCTGACGAGAGGGTTGCAGACCTTCTCAAAAACAAGGCTTACATTTATCCTGTGAATGCAAAGGTTCGTAATACCTTTATCGTCTATTCTATGCTTGAGCTGATGCCAGTGGCTTCATACACTACAGGGGGACCCTATCCGAACCAAACCATTTCAAGCGCCGGCGATTTTGGACACCATCAAGGATGCTTTCTTCAGCGACGAGCTCACAGTGGGAGTAAAGTGGCATGATCATCTGACATCAACAATTGATGATCATCCTGATGAGGTTGAGCTTCCTGTCGCGATGGTGGCACTTGCTAGCGCTGCGGTATGTTTTAATTGCTGTGGGTATGTTATATGTATTAATCAATCCCACAATTCAAGGTGTGCTCCGTGTTATGACCAATGTTCACCAATAATGATGAAGGTGAGTTCACAACCACTAGGACTCGGTCAAAGATGATGAGGAACAGGATAGTATTGAGTGTGAACGTCTAAGTCACTACAACAGTAGAAACGAAGAGGTTAAGTCTAAGGAGTACTTACGCTAACTAACCTACTCTTATACATAACATTGAATAGGAGTCTGAAAGAAATCAGCCAATGAGAAAAAGTCGTACAATACTGTGGATGACTAAGTATGACTCATGATATATAAGCGAATGAGTAAGATGGCGACTAAACAGAAACCCAAGTTCTGACCAGTTCTTCTTTGGGAAGCGAGATTGTTCTAGCCCGTGGAGTAGGGGAGCCAATCGGAGAAACCACAGGTGATATGTGAAGAGGTGAAGGTGTGACAAGGTGAGGAGTCATGTGACCGGTTTGGGTACTGGAAGTAGCTGAAGGAAAACCGAGAAATGAAAAATGGTTCGTATTAGGAATTTGTGACACTCCGTCATTATGCAGTACTCCTCCGAAAAATTTGACCGAGACTTCAACTCGGACATGTACGGCGGGATCTATCGAACATTGGTTGGCATGTTGAATGGCATCTTCGAGGCCAGCAAGCGCAAATTTCACGTACTTGTACACTCACTGTATAAGTCTGTCTAGTGAGTTCCAACTTTTTTGACACTAGTCATTGTCTGATTGCATCGTGTTGTAGTGGGTCGAAGCGCAAGACTGAAAAACCTAACACAGCCGATAGTCTCATGTTCCTCGATATTGAGGGTATGGCGGAGGAATGATACTGGTCACTGGTTGTATTGTCTAGATTTGAGATCCAATGGTACTCATTTGATAGCATTGGACAAATTTAAACTGCCTGAAAATCGTGTTCTGATTCACGCAAATTGAGATCTTGCTCTGTTCTGATTGGTGAAAATTGAGATCCAATTGTCGAAAATCCTCAAGGGACTAAAATAATTGATCGAATGCTCAAATCCATCAAAGTCTTGCAGATTCATGCAAGTTTTATCAAATTTCATCCAATTTGAGAAGGAGGTTTTTCCTGATGCCTCCAATGTCATTCTGGATGAGGAGACGGTGTTGATATTCCCCGATGTGAGTGTGTTTCCGCCTGTCCAGCCAATAGAGTTAACCATCTCTATGATCTCCCTCAATAACAGCAGACAGTGGTCATCATCAGCCTATAGTCCTTATCTCACCAAAGTAGTCATCAGCTGAACCGTATGATATAGTGGTGCCGTGTCTCGTAGGTAGCCGAGATTTTTTTGGGGCAACTCCACACAGAATTCCTTGGCAATCCCTACCACGTGTCGCTAATTTGTGCAAAGTTCTGTGTAATATTTCTGTGGACTTGGTCAGGAGGAGATTCTTGTAGGTCATACGCCAACTATTCAGGATTGACGCGATCGCCATCCACAAGTATGTTCTGTTCTATGATCGGTACATTGAATGTCAGTTATTGTTACTAGAGATCATTGATGTCAAGCATGAGTTCTCCTGCAGTCTCCACGCAGATCTTCAATGTGCCGTCGTGCAATGCGAAAATCCCTGCTGAGGACACGAGCTCTGAGCTGGCATGTTTGACTTGGCCTACATGTCATAACCGTACATGATGGCCATTTCACACTCGGAGCCTGGGGATGTACTTCATAGATCAAACAGCAATTTTTCGTGCAAATGTTTCCATTTTTCCACCTGCGTGACATTGACGCCCAACCATACAGAATTAGAAAGCCTACAGAGACATCTATAAAGTATTGATGTCACAATGTCTGGAGTTAGTAGGGGATCTTGCCTCTATGTGATCGACCACTTTCCCGATTGACCTGATTGACATGCAAGATACTATGCTGTGAAGACATGCCTTCACGCTGGGTATGGGAGTGCTAAGACGTCAAGCTGTAGTGTCATTGTGACCAGTCACTCATGGTCAAGGGTAGGGGTGCATCTTGGGGACAATTGATACCATGATAGGTACTGGTCATGAAAGGTCTGCGCAGCATCAGTGAACAGATTGTCCCATTGGGGAACGAAACCGATGTTGGAGTCTCGAAGGGTAGTAATGTCACTACCTGAATCTGCCTCCTGGAAGCAAGTGGCCAAGAGGTCTCTCATCATCCCCATGCCCTTCTCGATCATGGTGTCAACCACATCCATATCTAGGTTTGGAAATGATGTCTGCAAACACATCAATGAGACGACCCTGACAAGTGCAGATACTCACACCACGTGTCAGCACTTTATCATCATCAACATCGACATTGATTGGTTCATCACCCGGGATCTAAACATGAAACCAGACAGAGGCAATGTGACACCATGTATGGCCTGCGATCACTATAGGTTGATCAAGAGATGGCGCTGCAGCGTCTCCAAGCGAAAAGAAAGAAGAGACAGAACGAGCTGATGTCTCCTGGCATAGCATTTGCCATGCTTTGGACCCACGTTCAGGTGTGATAAGGATGATGTTCATCAACAACAACCATTATGACTACGAGGACTTCTGGATGGGCAGCAACTTCACATTTCAGTTTCCAAAGAACTGAATCTGTATCCTGGCGGAAGGCGCATTCGCCGATGATAGGGATTTGCCACCAATGACTATGCTTTCGTGAATCCGGTCCACCATGTCTGGTACAGCAGATACAGTTGCAGACCTCAGCCCATAGTTCGTAGATACGACGGTATACACAGGGTCGTCACGGTGTTTGAGGTCACGCAAAAAGAGAATGAATACTGAATAAAAGCGATCAAATGGGACTTCGTGTATGAAGCTGCGCGTTTCGACGAGGACCAGAAACCAACATCTTCATCCGAGTCCAGCTCAAGTTTGACCATTGCTTGAGCACATTGAATCAGCTCAAGGAGACAATCAGCTAAGGACGCATCACGAGATTCGACATTGCCTATTGCATCAACAAGAAATTTTGTTGTTTTGACGAGTTGTCATAGATGAGGCCAGTATTGTCGATCATGGAGAATTGTGCTGATGACATCAGGAGCAATGGGCAACTGGTTGTTGATTTTCTGCTGCACATCATCTTGTACACAGACACATGATAATGCATCACTACCAAACTGAATGAGCCTAGTATCTTTGGACTTTGTTCACAAGTACATACTGATATGCCAATACACTCAAAGATTGCAAAATCAAGGCGTAGAAATGGGATTCACAATTTTGCTTCATTTTCCGTTTCACTCCCAGCTTCCTTGCTTCGTCATTAAGTTGTCCTCCCCAATAATGAGATGAATTAAAGAAATTGACAGCTTTAGTCGTCTGTGAAATGATAGTCTTCATAGTGCCAAATGAGCAAATGTTGCCAATCATGGTATTCAGGCTATGAAGGAAGCAAGCAAATGTCTATAAATACAGTTAGAGTTTTCACGTTTCAAATGGGTGAAGAAACATAGAAGAACCCAATAGAATGATTCCATGAATTTTCAATGGTATGCTTGCATAACGGAAGGGTGATCCGTCATCAGTGCAATAAATTGTTTGCCATCACCGATCTCCATTCAGTCCATGGCTTTTTTCAATGTAGTGAGTAGGTTTGTGGCATTTCCATGATTGCCGGTCATGTCTTCAAGCGCCAGTACAACAGGGTATTGCTTGACCTCAGTGGCAACAGAGCCATATAGACTCCTCTTCAACTTGTCTTCCCAACCGTCAAGAAGTAATGTCAGGCATTTATGGTCCTTCAAGCGGGATATTTCTTCACATTGTACTCGCGCTGCCTCACTGTCGAGGAGATTATGGGAGAGTGCATAGTGGGATGGGGATGAATATGATGGCTGTATTTCATTGAGGAACCCTTGTAAGTATTCATCATCTCTTGCAGAGAAAGGTATATTGGCATGCAGAAAGAACCTGTCACATTCATGTTCATCATCAGCCTGAGACGTGAACGACGATAAGTTGTTACATACTGCAGTAATTTTAGATCAGCATGTGAAGCCTGTTCATTTGATAGGGGATAATCAACAAACCCATCAAGGGTACCTTTCTTCCGTCTCTTCGTGGTACTCAATGGGGCAGTTTCACCCAAAGCAGGAGTGACTATGAGAGCCTGGCCTTTAATCTTGCTCATGAGAAAGTTACATGCCGCTTCGCATTCTCCAGGTGGACAGTTAGGGCATTGTGTGGCATCGGTAAGGTGTTTTGGCAGATTATTGTCACGGTTCTCGATGTGAGCACCAGGGGAATTAAGCGGACAGTGTTTACATTTGAAATAAGATCTATTGGATGAGTTGGGGACATCTTCGAGACGGTCAAAATTGTCTTCGACAACCTTGGGAAGAGGGCGCCCTCCAGACTTAGCCATAGATAAACACGTAGTGCTAATGTTTATTTACTGGGTAGATACAGAAAGGATTCACATTGACAACTATACAGTTAATCATTAATTCGTCTCACACATCCGCCGGTACCTTTTGTACTTCTGCCAAGTTCTGCCACAGTGAATGGCAGAATGGCAGTAATCTGCCAACAACACTAAGAAGGGATCAATTCACCTTACCTCGGTATCCCTGGCAACGCATAATTGATATTGTCGTTGATAATGTTGGATACTAGTGCATACACCCCATAATCAGTATCAGAAAATTCCTATTACAATGTTCAAATGAGCACTTGTGTTTCGCATCAATTTGATGACAGTCATACCACATACTCTTCCTCAGAATTTGGCTCCATTATGAAATGCAGCACCTCATTACATTGAGCTTGAAGATTTCATCAGCATAAGCATTAGACCATGATGCATGATGGGTTACAAATACTACCCAAGGCAAAGTTGTCAAGACTGGCAACATCACTGAAAATTTCATCTAAATCATCTGCAACAGCGGGAAGCATAGAGGAAGTTAGCTTGATTCTGTTCCAGGTAGATAGGTTGAACTGGAGCAAGTTGAACTTTAGGCTCAGAGCGGAAGTGTTCTTTACTGAATCATGTGATGATGAAGGAATGACTGTCTTCACTCTATTGGGTCTGGTTAGGGGATGATGTGATGTTCGCCATTTTTATTTATGTAATTTCACTCAGACTGCTACGTATTCGCACTTGATGGATATTATTGCCCAATGCTTATTTTTATGAGCGGCACTGGCAATGCACATCATCTGAGCTTACCGTGACAGGGCGAACAGAGTAAATGTGCTGAGTGGATACTTCCGTAGACATCCTTCAGCCTACCACAAACACGCTTAGGTGCCACCCACTATACAGGCAGTCCAGCTGTTAGGTACCGTGCCAACTCAGGAAGCAGAGGGGTCAGGGCTTGGCTTCAGCTCTTGCGCTGCGCCCTTAGCCGAGTACGTGCCCCGAATTTGGAGCGGGTCCGACGTTGTCCGATGGTAGGACGATTGGACCGCTTTGGTCTGCTCTGAGGGTCGTGGAGTAAGAGCTACTAGCGGTGGGCCAACTAGGAGCGGAGCGGAGAAGGTGGGGAGTGATGCAGAGAGGGGATAGGAGCAGGGGAATGTTGGTAGGGGCGGAAAGGCGGAGGATAATGCAGAGGGGTGAAGGAGGATATTTGATAGGGGCGGAGTAATAAGGGAAGGACTTAGAGCATGGCTCTAAGTTGGAGCGGAAGGTCGGAGGGTCGGAGATGACAACAAGTTGAGACTTGTGTCCAGAGGAGGCAAGGTCCTACTGAGAATCCTCACAAGATGTAACTGTGAGAAGACAAGTAATATTAAGACTGAGGAGAAATATCTAAGTACATGATATGTTATATACTACTATGTATGAGGCAGTGATCAGGATAACTATGTAGT